ACCTCTTTAGGGCCTTAAGTGAAGATCTGTGCCCAGTGAACACATGAGTCTACTCTATTGAACACTTGTGTGTAGTGAACACTGATTCCCAGCCAGTGATTTCAGTACAGTAAAACTGTCATAATGAACACCTCTTTAGGGCCTTAAGTGAAGATCTGTGCCCAGTGAACACATGAGTCTACTCTATTGAACACTTGTGTGTAGTGAACACTGATTCCCAGCCAGTGATTTCAGTACAGTAAAACTGTCATAATGAAGACCTCTTTAGCGCCTTAAGTGAAGATCTGTGCCCAGTGAACACATGAGTCTACTCTATTGAACACTTGTGTGTAGTGACCACTGATTCCCAGCCAGTGATTTCAGTACAGTAAAACTGTCATAATGAACACCTCTTTAGGGCCTTAAGTGAAGATCTGTGCCCAGTGAACACATGAGTCTACTCTATTGAACACTTGTGTGTAGTGAACACTGATTCCCAGAAAGTGGTTTCAGTACAGTAAAACTGTCATAATGAAGACCTCTTTAGGGCCTGAAGTGAAGATCTGTGCCCAGTGAACACATGAGTCTACTATATTGAACACTTGTGTGTAGTAAACACTGATTCCCAGCCAGTGATTTCAGTACAGTAAAACTGTCATAATGAACACCTCTTTAGGGCCTTAAGTGAAGATCTGTGCCCAGTGAACACATGAGTCTACTCTATTGAACACTTGTGTGTTGTGAACACTGATTCCCAGCCAGTGATTTCAGTACAGTAAAACTGTCATAATGAACACCTCTTTAGGGCCTTAAGTGAAGATCTGTGCCCAGTGAACACATGAGTCTACTCTATTGAACACTTGTGTGTTGTGAACACTGATTCCCAGACAGTGATTTCAGTACAGTAAAACTGTCATAATGAACTCCTCTTAAGTGAAGATCTGTGCCCAGTGAACACATGAGTCTACTCTATTGAACACTTGTGTGTAGTGAACACTGATTCCCAGACAGTGATTTCAGTACAGTAAAACTGTCATAATGAACACCTCTTTAGTGAAGATCTGTGCCCAGTGAACACATGAGTCTACTCTATTGAACACCTGTGTAAAGTGAACTCTTGATTCCCAGCCAGTGATTTCAGTACAGTAAAACTGATATAATGAACACCTCTTTAGTGAAGATCTGTGCCCAGTGAACACATGAGTCTACTCTATTTAACAATTGTGTGTAGTGAACACTGATTCCCAGAAAGTGATTTCAGTACAGTAAAACTGTCATAATGAAGACCTCTTTAGGGCCTTAAGTGAAGATCTGTGCCCAGTGAACACATGAGTCTACTCTATTGAACACTTGTGTGTAGTGAACACTGATTCCCAGCCAGTGATTTCAGTACAGTAAAACTGTCATAATGAAGACCTCTTTAGGGCCTTAAGTGAAGATCTGTGCCCAGTGAACACATGAGTCTACTCTATTGAACACTTGTGTGTAGTGAACACTGATTCCCAGCCAGTGATTTCAGTACAGTAAAACTGTCATAATGAACACCTCTTTAGTGAAGATCTGTGCCCATTGAACACATCAGTCTACTCTATTGAACACCTGTGTAAAGTGAACTCTTGATTCCCAGCCAGTGATTTCAGTACAGTAAAACTGTCATAATGAACACCTCTTTAGTGAAGACCTGTGCCCATTGAACACATCAGTCTACTCTATTGAACACCTGTGTAAAGTGAACTCTTGATTCCCAGCCAGTGAGTTCAGTACAGTAAAAATATCCTAATGAACACCTCATTAGTGAAGATCTGTGCCCATTGAACACATCAGTCTACTCTATTGAATACCTGTGTAAAGTGAATTCTTGATTCCCAGCCAGTGATTTCAGTACATTAAAACTGATATAATGAACACCTCTTTAGTGAAGATCTGTGCCCATTGAACACATGAGTCTACTCTATTGAACACTTGTGTGTAGTAAACACTGATTCCCAGCCAGTGATTTCAGTACAGTAAAACTGTCATAATGAACACCTCTTTAGTGAAGATCTGTGCCCAGTGAACACATGAGTCTACTCTATTGAACACTTGTGTGTAGTGAACACTGATTCCCAGCCAGTGATTTCAGTACAGTAAAACTGTCATAATGAACACCTCTTTAGTGAAGATCTGTGCCCAGTGAACACATGAGTCTACTCTATTGAACACTTGTGTGTAGTAAACACTGATTCCCAGCCAGTGATTTCAGTACAGTAAAACTGTCATAATGAACACCTCTTTAGTGAAGATCTGTGCCAAGTGAACACATGAGTCTACTCTATTGAACACTTGAGTGTAGTGAACACTGATTCCCAGCCAGTGATTTCAGTACAGTAGAACACCTCTTTCGGGCCTTAAGTGAAGATCTGTGCCCAGTGAACACATGAGTCTACTCTATTGAACACTTGTGTGTAGTGAACACTGATTCCCAGCCAGTGATTTCAGTACAGTAAAACTGTCATAATGAACAACTCTTTAGGGCCTTAAGTGAAGATCTGTGCCCAGTGAACACATGAGTCTACTCTATTGAACACTTGTGTGTAGTGAACACTGATTCCCAGCCAGTGATTTCAGTACAGTAAAACTGTCATAATGAAGACCTCTTTAGCGCCTTAAGTGAAGATCTGTGCCCAGTGAACACATGAGTCTACTCTATTGAACACTTGTGTGTAGTGACCACTGATTCCCAGCCAGTGATTTCAGTACAGTAAAACTGTCATAATGAACACCTCTTTAGGGCCTTAAGTGAAGATCTGTGCCCAGTGAACACATGAGTCTACTCTATTGAACACTTGTGTGTAGTGAACACTGATTCCCAGAAAGTGGTTTCAGTACAGTAAAACTGTCATAATGGAGACCTCTTTAGGGCCTGAAGTGAAGATCTGTGCCCAGTGAACACATGAGTCTACTATATTGAACACTTGTGTGTAGTAAACACTGATTCCCAGCCAGTGATTTCAGTACAGTAAAACTGTCATAATGAACACCTCTTTAGGGCCTTAAGTGAAGATCTGTGCCCAGTGAACACATGAGTCTACTCTATTGAACACTTGTGTGTTGTGAACACTGATTCCCAGCCAGTGATTTCAGTACAGTAAAACTGTCATAATGAACACCTCTTTAGGGCCTTAAGTGAAGATCTGTGCCCAGTGAACACATGAGTCTACTCTATTGAACACTTGTGTGTTGTGAACACTGATTCCCAGACAGTGATTTCAGTACAGTAAAACTGTCATAATGAAGACCTCTTTAGGGCCTGAAGTGAAGATCTGTGCCCAGTGAACACATGAGTCTACTATATTGAACACTTGTGTGTAGTAAACACTGATTCCCAGCCAGTGATTTCAGTACAGTAAAACTGTCATAATGAACACCTCTTTAGGGCCTTAAGTGAAGATCTGTGCCCAGTGAACACATGAGTCTACTCTATTGAACACTTGTGTGTTGTGAACACTGATTCCCAGCCAGTGATTTCAGTACAGTAAAACTGTCATAATGAACACCTCTTTAGGGCCTTAAGTGAAGATCTGTGCCCAGTGAACACATGAGTCTACTCTATTGAACACTTGTGTGTTGTGAACACTGATTCCCAGACAGTGATTTCAGTACAGTAAAACTGTCATAATGAACTCCTCTTAAGTGAAGATCTGTGCCCAGTGAACACATGAGTCTACTCTATTGAACACTTGTGTGTAGTGAACACCGATTCCCAGACAGTGATTTCAGTACAGTAAAACTGATATAATGAACACCTCTTTAGTGAAGATCTGTGCCCAGTGAACACATGAGTCTACTCTATTGAACAATTGTGTGTAGTGAACACTGATTCCCAGAAAGTGATTTCAGTACAGTAAAACTGTCATAATGAAGACCTCTTTAGGGCCTTAAGTGAAGATCTGTGCCCAGTGAACACATGAGTCTACTCTATTGAACACTTGTGTGTAGTGAACACTGATTCCCAGCCAGTGATTTCAGTACAGTAAAACTGTCATAATGAACACCTCTTTAGGGCCTTAAGTGAAGATCTGTGCCCAGTGAACACATGAGTCTACTCTATTGAACACTTGTGTGTAGTGAACACTGATTCCCAGCCAGTGATTTCAGTACAGTAGAACACCTCTTTAGGGCCTTAAGTGAAGATCTGTGCCCAGTGAACACATGAGTCTACTCTATTGAACACTTGTGTGTAGTGAACACTGATTCCCAGACAGTGATTTCAGTACAGTAAAACTGTCATAATGAACACCTCTTTAGGGCCTTCAGAGAAGATATGTGCCCAGTGAATACATGAGGCTATTCTATTGAACACCTGCAATATTAGCAAATAGTGATCCATTTTTCATTTACTTTCGACTGGACAAATGTCTAGTCTTTGGGCCAATTGTCTTCTTATCATAATGTCAAAATTCATTTTAGAGGCAGACAATCAATTAATGTAAATTGGAATGTGTGTATCTTGCCACCACTGCAAAATAATGAACTCGCCGACTTATTCTCTTGGATCCACTTGCAAAATATATATAACCAGAAAATTGTTATGAAAATGAAGTTTAGCTCATAAAAGTTAAAAAATATTTCAACAGATGCTTTTCCACTGAATGCAAAGTCCTGGTGCAAAGTACTTTATATAATAAATAAACAATTGGCCGATGACAATATGTCAAGCAGAAGCTTGGGCCAATGGTGAAAAATGCCAGTAATCTGTAGACCCCCATATTATATGAGGTTAAGAGGATTATATCAGACCAGATGAACTAGCAGTTTCATTTTGTCTGACTTCAGTTACTTGTAGTAATTTTGGAGGATTTGATGTAGATCATTCGTTACAGTAGTATGGACACCCATGCTACTTGTATGCTGGACATTGGTAAGATGAATTGCTGTTTTCATTTGCCTGACGAGTGTTGTCAAATGGACAAAATATGGGATTCTAAAAAGCCCTGCTCTGCACCCCTCAATGGTGTAAATGATGTAAATACTGTACTCACTGAATTGATAGCTTTAAACTCTACTGCCTCAGTGCTTGGAACTGTATGTTTTACGAGGACTATGCAGGCCCCACATCCTCCCTGGTGACACATTACCTTAGTTCCCTTCAGACATGCAACATCACGAATAAACTCACTGAGCCGCGTGGACACTGCCTGGTTGCTGTCAACTGAAACAAAGAATCAGATGTACAACATTAATGTACCCCTGTGTAAGGCTATATATGATGTCAGGCACTTGTGTATGGTTTGGGCAAATCAGAGAGTGAAGAATACTGTATGCCACTCAGTGACGTAATTAACATAAATATTCTCTGCATAATCTTTCTTTATTCCTGAAATCCTTATAACTATAGGAATATTAAGTTCATGAAATTCACGTTCACATAATTAACATAAATATTCTCTGCATAATCTTTCTTTATTCCTGAAATCCTTATAACTATAGGAATATTAAGTTCATGATGTCCCTAAATGGTTCATGCATTTTTCTAAAAAGCCTTGGACATCAAAGAGGAATTGGTGCAAAATTTTGCTTTTTACACCTAAATATCCTGTTGTAGTTACTAAGGATTAATAAGGTCTGTAAAGTACAGATCCTCAAAAGTCCTCACAATAATAAATACACGGTGAATACCAACCTGTGAAGGGTGTACCATTGATGGAGAATGTTATCTTTGATGCGGATTCTGGGATTTGTCTGAACTTGAATATGTGTTTACAATTCTGACATGACCCAGCCATGGTCCCTGAAGCATTCTCATCATTCAGAGGAAGGTGTCTAAAAATAAAGTTGATATTCTATATGGATAAAGGAGTGGTATCGATATGGAGAACTAAATTCAACAATGTTTTTCTCTTAAACCAATCATTGAAAACATTCTGTAAAAAAACACAGTATTTTATGTAATGTTGACTGATTGACAACAATTTAATTCGAAAATTATTTAGAAATATTTTATATAACTGTATTTGTTAACATTTTTTGTTTTTTTAGTGCAACTGTTTTTGCTCTTTTCTACCAATTCTTGAGAATGAAATAAAATGTCTTTCCGAAAATAGCATATACAACATGTTTTTAGACCTCTCAATATTATAGTTATACAAAGTAAGTTTTGGTTGAATTTAAAAAAGTATTCAAAAAATTAAAACAAAATCACCCCAAAATAGATAAAAATCAGGATAAACCTTTTATTTCATTAACAAGATACTTTTTTAAAATCAACCAAAATTTCCTTTGTACAATTACAATATTGAGAGACCTAAACATGTTGTATTTATGCCGTTTTCTTCCAATGAGGTTCGAAAAGATGTTTCATTTCACTCTGGAAACATGATACCAAAAACAAAACAAGTGTTTGATGTGTTTTCTAAAACAATAAAAATGAAAGTATATATATATATTTCAAATTATATTGTTACCATTCAAAAGATGAGGCTTTGTATAAAAAACCTCCTACCTCATACTCACCTACCCACGTACGTGGGACATGATACAGTCTTTGAAGGGTTCAATTTTAAAGATCTTAGTTTATTAAATCTTAGTTTATGATGAACTAGATAACGGCAACTCCGCGGAGTAGCGAATCCCAACGAACAAAATATCAATTACCGAATTCCAATCAATTATACTCATTACTTTGGTTGAAAATGAAAAAATTAGATTTTAGAATTGCGAATTCCTGCAAAGCAGCCATTTTGAATTTTCTGAGGTACAAATCTGAAAAATAATACCATAATTGTGATCTACTCCAAAATTCCTTCAATTTGAGTATAATATAGCCATACTTTGAAGGGATCGAAAAATTTTTGCGAAATCGTACATTAGACGGCCAATTTGAATTTTACGAGGCTCGAATCAGAAAAAAGATACAATATTTGCAATCCACTCTTAATTGCCTTTAATTTGAGTATAATAATTTTAAAAAAAAATTAGCGAAAATTTCTGTTTTCCTGTCCCCCCATACATGGCCCCTGGGGCTCAGGATGAAAAACACGGAATATATGTGAAATAGATAAATGTTGTGAATACACTACCAAAATTTCAAACAATAATATTAATTACTTTGGTTTAGAATGAAAAATTTATGATTTTGCGAAAAAGTCCCGTCATTTTTTAAGCGGCGGCCATCTTGAAAAATTTTTTTTTTGCGTAAAACTATTCACCAATATACATCTTTCCACTAAATATGAAGAAAATCTGTCAACTAGTATTTGAGTTATCTTCCGGACAGACGGACGGACTGACTGACTGACTGACTGACGGACTGACAGACTGACGGACTGACGGACAGACGGACAGACGGACGGAGGGCTTCACTATATCCCTAACGAACTTCGTTCGTTGGGATAACTATAGATGCATTTGTAACGACCCTTGATAGCAAGTTGCAGTTGCTACTACATGTACATCCCAGCTGGGTTCGATTCCCACTCGGGGCATCGATTTTGCACACTTTCTTTCAATTTCTTTATCCGGCTTGTTGAACCTATCCTCGCTGTCGTAAGTTATTTATTCCCCGGGGCGGCCACGGGCCATTACACATTAAAATGCATCCATATGCCTTTATTTATGGATCTGTCTAGTCCAGAGCTGTCAAGTGTCCCGCGAATGGTGGGATTATCCCGCGAGTTTGATCAAAATTAAGCTACTTCGCATGTGCCGCGAAGTCCTGCAAATGTCGGCTTTGATCTCCGCAAATTCCAAAATTGTTGCAATCCCCTAGGCTATATTGTGATTATCTTGTGATATAAGAAGCTAAGTTTTTTGCACTTTTGAGTTAAGTTTACCTAATTTGAAAAGTGCTGCCAAACTGCCAGTGCATCAGACTATCGACGACTGCTTTTGGAAAGAGCTCTTGCTTTTGGAGGAATTACTGATCGTTTTTCGCTCAGTGCCCTACACAAAAGTTGACGACGGAGTACCAAAGAGAAAGTGGTGAAAGTGTGAGGTTCCCTATCCATCCGCCAAAGGGCCCAATATAGTCCATTTAAAAAACTGTGATTTTGATCCAAATAATTATCAGGTACCTAGTATGCTGTTACAGTGATCTCTCCATGTCACTTTTACCGGGGACCCCCCTACTTGAAACAAAAGGCCCCCCAGTTGGCACCCGGTTGGCAACCTGCACTTCACCTTCTGATTTGAAAAATGAGTGAAGTAAGCACGTACATTGAGACATTGTGAGCGTACCGAGCGCTGATTTTTTCTGACTTGAAAACTTGCACCAAGTTGAAATTTTGGGGGAGAACACTGTGTTATTTTGTGTCAAAATAAAGAGGAAGAGTTCAACTTTCATTTTAATTGCGAAAATAAGGATGTAGGTCGCAAATAGTTCAACATTGGCCTTTTACTACGTATGTCCCAGAACTGAGTAAATGTTAACAAATGCGAGTTACAATAAATGGACGCTGATATCTCCAACAGTAACCTGACTCCCTATAATTTGATGTAGATTAATCGAACCCCTATATGAATAGGTACATTTTAATATATAACACTATGGGAGTAAACATTTCATAGCTGGTCATAGTAGTGTCAGAATTTTTGAATTTCGTGTTGGATTACGGTACTCACACCTGAGCCATGGTTTTTGTTATATTCCTATGCGTATTGTGTGAAATTGTGTTGACGTTTATTTAGTTAAGTGCATTATTTAATATATCTTGGATTAATCAGTATCTGAAAGTTTGATTTGACTACTTTTATATTAAGTCCCAATCACGCAAATCCCTTGAATGTCCCGCGACATCCCTCAAATTTAGGTGGATGTCCCGTGAAATCTCGCGAATTAGGGGCACTTTGCCTCAAAAATCTGTCCCTCTGTGAAGTCTTTGGTGGTTACCCTGTTAACTGTCCCTCAATTAGCCTGTTTGTCCCTAGAATGGTCCCGTGAAATCCCGCGAATTTGATCAAAATTTGGCCTATTAGCGCAATCACACAAATCCCTTAAATATCCTGCAAAATCTCGCGAATTTAGGTGGATGTCCCGCAAATTCCCGCGAGTTTGAGGCACTATCTCTGAAAAATCTGTCCCGCGAGAAAATCTTTGGGGGTTGACAGTACTGTTAGTCATAAAATAAAGCCGGAATAGTAGAAATGTTAATAATTTGAGCTATTTTGAGATTTAATAATCTTTAAAATTGAACGCTTCAATGACTGTATCATGTTCCACGTAGGTGGTTATGAGGTAGTAGGTTTTTTATACAAAGCCCTTCTCCCTTCAGGAACTTTGTAACCAAGTGATACGGAGCATGGATGCCATGCCTAAACCAACGAACCACTTGAACCAAATAACATGTTCATGTATAGTAGGCCTAGTTGAGCCAATAAAAGACTTATCAGTATAGTCATACAAAAATGAATGAAAGTAAATAGATCTTTTTACAGTTTGGAACAAAATAAATGACAGGTGGATTTTCTATCACCATATCCAAACCATGGTGTTTTGAATGAAAGCCCTAAAGCCCAGACGTCAAGTAAGTTTCTGGCGAAAGCCGGAGCATAGATTATTTAAGAGGACTGGAAACAAGAATGACCTACCTTTTTATTTCCCGAATCTCGCCTGAAATTAGCTCATCTTGGTGACTGTAACCTGTATATCTGTATTAATAGAGTCTCTTTGTATCGCGTCTGCCTCAATTTTAAAGTTTTATTGGTATTTTTAATATGATTTCACTGTTTTTGTGGACTGGTACGATTGGGCCAAGCAAATGGCAGCTGACCTGTTCAAAGTACTTTTAGTACTAATTATCGCAAATGACAATAATTTTGGAAACAATATTATACTAAATAAATTACTAACCCAGATAGCACAAAGACGTCGGGCCAACGTCGCTACTGGTGGCTATTGGTTGGCATGGTCGCAGTTGGCAAATTGTAGTTGGGCCAACATTGGCCCGTCGTTGGCTGCTGCTAATACCAGGGAGCCAACAATAGCTGTACAAAAAAGTAAATTGTGTCAACAGTGGGCCAACGATGGGCCAACGTTGGCAGCCACTGTTGGCCCACTGGGCCGGCATGCTGTTGGACCAACGTTGGCCCAACGTCGTTGTGCTATCTGGGAAACATCTAAGGTAAGTAAAACTAGATGAACAACTGAGTCAATAGTGATAAATAGGCCAACACGAGTTGGCAGATTTGAAATAGACTGCCATCTTGTTTCCAGTCCTCTTTCGCCCATCCTCCTAAGCAGGTGTCCAGAATCCGTACCTCCTTCTTCCCCCTGCTATAACCAATTTGGAAGCGCCCGATTTAACTGAATCACGTGATCTAATTATGCGCAATGACTTATACATGATTTCTGTCGCAGTGTTGCGACAGCCAATCAGATTGCGAGTTCTTAATCGGGGAAAAGGTAACTGCTTATCGCAGGGGGTAAAAAGAAAGAAGTATTCTGGATTTTGAAGCCCTGTGATCGGAGGATGTCTTTCGCCAGAAACTTACATGACGTCCGTGCCCTAAAGTCTCAAATATTGTCTAAATACACATCCCTAAAATTTGTATATTTTACATTTTGTATACTGTCATCCACTGATGTATCGTATGACCTCTTGAAAATTCTCTCTGGGAAAATTCTTCACTGGGAAATCCTCACTTCAGCAAATCCATGTGTCATTATTTTTGTTCCAAAATGCTTTGACAGTTTCAATAAGTTTCAAATGGACCTAACTTCTTCGAAACTTACCTGCTTTGACACATGGGACAAATAATGAATTCCATATCTCTTCGTCGAAATCAGAACTTGTCAAATTGTTAGTACTTTAGCTTACTGCGGACACGCATAAATTACAACTTTGAAGTTTGTACCACAACTTTTTTATTATCTGATCATTTCGTTCAGTGCAATCCTACTTCCTCTCTTGAAGATGTTTATTTCCCGGTATGAAAGAAATTATGGTCCCCCGGGGATTATGGTCCCCCTTCTTAACGGCCCTTACTGGCTCTGATTCTGTACAAGATAATAAGGGAAAGAGGTCACCATATAGTTGGAGAGTAGGACCATAAATTGATAGGACCTCCTACCCTTTTACACCTGGATTGAGAGCCCTAGCCTTATCCCGTGCCACTGAGGACTAGTCTACTAAGGGAACATGGGGCAAAGCGGCCCAAAAAATTTAATTTTAAGTTGTTCTGTACGGGGTATTTTCGTTACTGTCAATCATCGCGCACTTTGATGTTCCACTTTATTAATGGTTTGTGGTTTACATTTTTCGAGTGTTTTATACTTTCCTAGGACTATCTTCTGTGATTTTTCAATGGTCAAAAATATTGTCGAGAGTGGGGCAAAACGGCCCATGGGTGGGGCAAAACGGCCCACCCTCTGTTACATGGGTTTTGAAACCAAAATTAATCAATTACAAGACTCGTCCACAAACATCTTATCTCAGACGTTCAAACCAAGCCAAGCTATTTTGGCCTAAACGCATGTTCGAAGCTATCTTGTGCTAGAAGCAATTTAAAAGATTAAAAAGGTATCAAATTTCGGCTGGCTACAATTCTCCAACACAGTGGCGTGACCTTACATGACCTTTTAATGTTAATGCTGACAGCTTTATGTTCAATTAGGTAGATAAGTTTAATATGGGAGCTATAGGATGCTTCGATCAACCACATAGCTTGACTTGCTTTGACAGATAAAGTATTCTTAACCCCTACCATAATTCTAGTCATTCGATATGTGTCGGAAGGAAATTAGGCACAAGCCAGATGTTAAAATTGTTACATTTGAAAACCAATTGTTCTTGCACAATACGATTTTTGTATGTTATAACATGTGTGGGCCGTTTTGCCCCAAAGACATGTGAATTTTCAAATAGACGTCATTTTACTTTGCCTAATATTTGAAGCTCGAAATTTTTACAAATAAATAATAAATGTGCACACTCTATGTAAAATGTTAAATCAAAACGATATTCTATTGTTGCCGGATTTTTTAGAGATTCTCGTGAGAGGGGTAATTTCCAAAAAAGAGGGTGAAAAGTAGAATTACCTCTTACGTAAAGCGAGACGCTGCTTGGTTAAAAATGGACGCTCGAGAAGGTGGCAGATATTTCAAAATTCGATTTTGTGACTTTTGAAGAACCATCTTTTTATAGTTCAAAAGATATTTCGATGGGCCACTTTGCCCCAGAGGGCCGTTTTGCCCCATGTTCCCCTAGTCCTGGTACGGGATAACCCTAGCCTATCATCACAGGCCTAGAAAGAAGATTTAATCCCCCCACTCACTAAGCTTATAAGAAAACCTAAAACATAGTGAGTGGGAGGGAGATGAACTCTTGTTCCCGTGTCTGTGCCTCTTAGGCCTATAGACAAAAGTGTACCCGTACCCCCCCCCCCCGGCCCCGCACACCCCGCCAGAAATTCTTTCTAAATGCAGTTTTCACCATTCTGAGCACTTTTCGCATGATTTTAGCCCAAACTGTCAAAAAACCAACCGCCTTGACAAAAGCTCCCCCTTGATAAAACCCAATCAAAACCGCCTCCCCGTCCTTGGTAAAAGCTGGCTACGGGCCCGGTGTGTATTGTTCTTATTCAAAAACGAATACATCATCATATTACGACGTAAATTCATTTTATATGCATCATATCCCGATAAAACTTGTTGATCTAGTAGTAGTTGTCCTAATTAATACTATTACATAACATACGTATTTATTTTATGTGAAATATTTGGTGACATCCGTACACTAATGGGCCTATGGGCGTTTATTTAAAAGAGATGTACGTAATGCCCGGTGGGCGAAACATTCGAGAAAGCGATTCTTATTTATGTATAATTTCTGTAAAAACGAAATTAGAGAAGTCAACAAGGAAGATTGATAGAGCTTTAATAAAATTTATAGTCTAGAATATTATCAAATAAAATTCCTCTAGAAAGAGTGACTTCTTACATTTTGGCGAGCACCCAAAAGACTTGTATCAAACTACTCCTTTATATCTTACAAAACATTTGTGAGATTGGTTTGTGTAAAAAAGCGGGTGACTGGGTAACCGGGTAGCTGGGTTACCGGGTACCTAACGTTCCTACCAGGGTTATGAATTTGATTTTTTGATTTTATCAATTAGCAATTCCATATTCAGTGATATTAAATATATCAATATAATCTATAAAAATGATTGCAACTTGAACAGGAGCCGAGCAGGAGGTAATTTAAAATTTTTTGTCAATTCCTTACTATTAAGGTGGTCTAGCAACAAGCCTCTGTGATGCCACTACACTTGAGTAAACATCTTCTCACACAGAGCTTGTAGCTAGACTATATAAATTGCTCTGCTGTGTAAATGGTGCAAGAAAATACCCAAGAGATAGTGCACACAACAGTGAAATTAAGAAGGGATATTTTGATGTACAATGTTACGCGGTATATGGCATATATTCATGGTTGTGCGGTATTTGTGATACGGGTGAATATGCCATACTCACCTGCGGTATATGGCATATTCCGCAGGTGAGTATGCGATATTCCGCAGTGAATATGCGATACATGGATTTCAGTGAATACCCGATACTCACCTGCGGAATATGTCATACTCACTTGCGGAATATGCCATACACCGCAGGTGAATATGACATATACCGCAGGTGAAAACGTGATACAAAAAGCCTTGATTTGATTGGTTGCAAGAGTCGACTCTAAATGTAAAACTACGCTGGATTACCAATATAGTTAGTGCGTCGAGTAATAATATATAAATCCTGGATTGTTTATTACGCGAGATTGGTGACTGATAATTCTGCTAAGTTAATATATTCGATACACAGAACTGTTGATTCAGTAATCATTATAATAATCTATAGCGCTTTACTTGGTCGTTCAATCGATTCAATTGACAATCACGTACTTCCGTATCACGTTCTCATTGGTTAGTGTGTATGCTATATACCGCAGGTGAATCTGTCATACACCGCAAGTGAATATGCCATATTCGTTGCGGAATATGACATATTTTTGTATCGTGTTTACCGCGTAACATACAAAGCCAAGAAGACACTTGGACTTTGATCGTGACTTCTGAGCTTAGACTGTCACAAAGAGTTTTCGTAACATGCTTGATTTTTCAAATTGATGGTACCAATGAAATTACAGTTAATAAATAAATGAGAATAATTATGAAATAGAAGATGAAAATTATTTCAAATTCAGATTCGGCGTTGTTATTGACGATATCGAAGACGCTAGATAGTGGCGATTCACACCTCGAAACTGAGATTTCATATGATACATCATCACAAGAGCTTAATACATTCACAGAATTAGCGACGATAAAATCCCATGAAATGAGGACCAAGTGATTAAAGTGATTATGTCCGCCACTTGTGAAAACGGTCACCATTTGACTTTACCGCTGTCAGGCTATTCCGGTGTGAATATCCCTCCAAACTTCTGCCTCCAAATAAACGTCCACTGGCCCACTGGGTTGGAAAAGCAACGTTACACCCCTAATAACGCCCGCGTCCATTGGCATTCATTTCAAATAAACCACCACTGGGCTTATTAAAGAGAAACCCCGACACTGCACGTATATTTGGTGACAAAGCAGCTTTGAAAATTTGAATTCGTTCCTAGAAATAGAAAAAAATGATTTGAAAACCTGTCTATTCTCCTTTTATGACCTCCATTTTTTCAGATAATTTTCAAATCATTTAAAGCATTTACATTGAGCACATATTCTGAAGTTATCAAAATATTTTGTTTTGTGACGTTTCCGAAAGTGAAACTTAACTATTTTTCAGTCACATTTTCAGAAGGATGAAAAGCTATTTCATCGTGTTCTTTCATTCTGAACCCGCCCATTGTGACCATCTTTGTTCAAAAAAAATTGTGATAATAAACACTGGTGTTATCTTTCATAGGCATAATCAATGAATTTCAAACCAATTTTAAACGTACTATATATTTTCCTCAAATTGGTATAATCACACAGATTGTGTCAACTAATTCATTTGGATGACAACAGATTGCAAGTTTTGTCTTAATTAAGGCGAATGCTAAGTAAATCAAACGTACAAACAACGGCAGCCATATTTTTTTTGATTAAGACACATGGTTTTAAAATTTGTTTACCTTATATCTGTGTATCTGTATGAATTGTATATCTTGACTAAAGAAACATGTCAAAGTTAACATCACACATAAACATATTTTTCATATCTATGAATTGGAGGTGTATGGGTCCCTAAAGCTAACTATGAAAACTGTGAAGTGAGGTTAATTTTTGAAAAGTTCAAGGAGTAGGGGTGCTTCGTGTCACATTTGTATTACTCCAAAATTTCCACAAATCATCTTACCTGAACATCAAAGCAGAGCATGAGAATGTGTACTTCTTGCATTGTTAGAGTATAATACAGTTCAAACCATTGTGAATTCTATATATTTCTTGTCCACCATTTTGTTTGCTGGGACCAGAGTAATCCCAAGCCATTCATGTATCCATTGTTTATCATTCCGAAGCCTCAAATATGTATCTATCATGATAATTATACTGAAATAAATAAAATATACAAGTGATGTTTTCTTTAGTCAGGAAATACATTCACATATTATTATGAGCTTTATTATACGTGTATCCCACATTTGGGCAAAGTGTACAGCTTAAGCAGAAAAAATGAAAAAGCTTAACTAATTAGAAAACGGCAACTCCACGGAGTAGCAAATCCCAACGAACACTATATTAATCATGAATCTGTACAGTCACACTGTAATATTTACCATCTACTCTTTCCTTCAATAAATATTTGAGATCATTGGAGTGTCATTTTACCATACTTTCAAGATAACTCTAAGTAATGGTGAATTCCTGCTCTAGACAGCCATTTTGAATTTTCTGAGGCACAAATCAGAAAAACAATACCATAATTGTGATCTACTCTGAAATTCCTTCAATTTGAATATAATATTGCCATACTTTAAGAGATCAAAAAATAATTGGGAAATCCCACATTAACCGGTCATTTTGAATTCTACGAGGCCCAATCAGAAAAAGATACAATAGTTGCAATCTACTCTAAATTACCTTTCCTTTGAGTATAAAGCTATACTTTAAAAGCATCTCAAAATTAATGCAAATTCCCCCCATTATTTACGGCACCTGGGGGTCAGGGTGAAAAACACGGAGTATATGTGATATAGATAGATCTTGTGAATATACTACCAACATTTCAAATAATAATATTTATTATTTTTGTTTAAATGAAAAACATAAGACTTTTGCAAAAAATTCCCGCCATTTTGAAACCGGTGGCCATCTTTTTGCGTGAACTATTCACCAATATACATCTTTCCACCAAATATGAAGAAAATATGTCAACTAGTATTCGAGTTATCTTCCGGACAGACGGATGGACGGACTGACTGACGGACGGAAGGCTTCACTATATCCCTACTATATATTATATTAACTAATCAAAGGGTGCTTGATCATTGCAAGATTTTATTGGATGCATTTCGTGTTTTTATCTCTCTCGATAAAAATATTTGTTATATATTTTGCGAGAATATTTAATATTATTCCCTCTGAATTAAATAGAAACATTAATTTATGTTCCACGTTATTCATGTTTTCTAAATTTTGACAATGTTTTTTTTTATTTTATCCATGTAATTTGACCGAACATCTTTTAATTTATTGCATTCTGAACCGGTTTTCTTGTTACACATTAAACATTTTCTTCAATAGGGGTAATTGGTTTTGTGTAACGACCTGTTTCGATTTCTAATTTATGTGCCTAATTCTTAGCTTTGTCAAGTTATTTCTGTCTATTTCATTTTTGATTAAATCCAAGTAGGGTTCCTTGTTCCATTTCAATTAACCATTATTTGATTTTATTTTAGTTTCCCAAAATTGTATGTATCTATTTTCCAGTAATTTCTTAATTTCTCTTGGTTTTAGGTTTAAATAGTTTTGCGAAGTACCATTGTAGATATATTTAAGTACATAATTGATGTGCGTGAGCCATGATTGTTTATTCATATCTGTCAGTTGTTTATTTACCTCAAGGGCCTCACATACGTAGCATATGAGGAAAACAGATACAAAATCTTGTGACATTATCAAAAATAGGACCCACGGTCCTGTGCTCACACAGTTTGGAACCTTCAGAGGAATGTATATCCTGACTTTCAAACAAAAATATTGATTTGGATTTGTAGTCCCGAACTTTGAGAAACTTAGATAGCAAAGTTGTGTGACCTAGTTTGATGACCTTTGACCTTGAAAATTTTCTTATTCAGAGCTTAGTAAGGTCTTTTGTGATTACGGTGACCAAAATTTATATCCAAAAATCAATTTGAAAAATCAACTTTTTTGACCTTTCGAAGGTCACTGAAGGTCAAATCCTAAAACTAATGTCAGATTTGAACTCCTGGGAACTTGTAGATGATTTTCAAAAAAATTTGGTCAAATTAAAGCAAGTTGAAAAATAACTTATTTTTACTGTTTTTTTACGTCAAATATCTCAAAAATGGTAAAAATTTGATCCTGACATATATTGAGCAATATGTAGGAAATGCTTAAATCTAGTAATGATGTAATTCATTGCAAGAAATGATCAAGTTTAAGGCAAACTTTGAGAAACTTGTCAATCACAAAACCTGCCATTGACTTTATATATGAGAAAGTTTCCTGAAAATGATGAAGTTCTACTTTTTGTAAAATTTTATAGAGTAAACACCAAAAACTGTAATTCCAAGAGCTTTGAAATCTTCAGATGCAACAATTAGTGCAGGGGGGCCATACAACAATCATCGACCAGTGTCAAAATATATTTAAGTTTGGATATTTCATAAAGACTAACATATATTTTTATTATCTACAAAGAAACCCCAAGGATTAACATTATTTCAGCGGATATTCCTCTCGAAACTTGGTGAATCCTAAAAATCTGTAAGTGGGACTCCCTTTATAGAAGCTTTGAACTGAATTTACACTTCTTAATGCTGAAATTGAGAGTTTATCCATACATTTTAAGAAAATAGGTATGTCAAGGAAGATGTTAATCCAAATATTGACCCGATAGCTCAGAAAAAATAAAAAAAATTCGATTTTTCTCTCTACAGTCCTTGTTGTATAAGTATAAGTCAAAATTTTAAGTCAATCCCAATATTAAAGTTTTGAGATAAAAGTCTGGTTACCTTGTCCTTTTAACTTTGTTTTCAAATCAAATCATGATTAATCTGTATGGGCCTGATAACCTTATACTAATGACATGATCTCGGGGGACATATCCAATGAAGATTAATATAAATAACTACACACATATTCAAAGTTCTTTGCTGTTTATTATCTTCAACTTATTCTATACAACACTGATATGTGATGGTGAAGCTAGTTTTTATCTATAACCAATGTTTAAGACAAAATTAAGATGTCTGGTTTAGAAAGTGATGTAGATTAGAAACAACAATATTGAAACTAAAGAATTAAGAAAATAAGCTCATCAACAGTGAGGTGAGAAAATTCTCTCAACAGAAGGAGACTCAAGTGCTTCAAGGCATGTTATATCTTAAATCCATTCACCACTTATCACAAAGAACCATTCTTGCAATAAAAATGATGACAATATTCTATTCCAATAAGCTTTTAAGTAGTGAAGGTTCACTTAATGGGCAACAATTATAGAAGTCTATATGTATACAGATATATATATATTTATAGATGTCTCAGAGTCTTTGATCCTTCTGCTGGCATTCCATTGGGAATCTAGCTGCTATCCATGGTGTGTTTGTCATAGAGGTATTCTCCAAGACCAGGACCATTGCGCTTCAAGTTGGTGATGTGATCAGATATCTCCTTGATGGCTTCTACTTGCTCTGTAAGGAAGTTGGACTCAATCCAGTCAGCAAACTGTAAATAGAGAAAATAAATGTGTTAATAAAACAGATAAAAACAAAAACAAGATAACCTAAGACATGACAAAAACAGGACTATGTATAAACACTTAAGACGCACAAACCAGGATTGTTTTGATTAAATAAAATCTGGCTGTTCTAAAACCTGCAATAAGGAAAGTTAACCTTCAAAGCCAATATGATTATATACAGCTGAGTTTTAATCAAGTCTGAATGAATTACCCCCCCCCCCTCTCCCTGTAGGACAATTGAACAGTCACTATACAGATACTATGTGGTAGTGTGTCCAAGTGTAAATATGATATCAACATATAATAGCAATAGAAATCTTGGATTATTCTAGAAAATTTAGCAGACAAAGTAACAGTAGAGAAATAAGCTAACATCCTCTTCCATCTTCTCTGGTTTCTGAAGGCTAGAGACTATTCTTCTATGGATATGAGACAGTAATGTTATCCTATGGTTTTAAAGATAACTAATCAAGTAATTATTTAATCAGCACGGTGGCCATTTTGAAAGTCAGTGGCACCTCATATGTATATAAAATTTAATCAAATTCATAAACTGGTATTTTGGCTTATCAAAGATTACCTGAAAGTCCTTGTGTTTGTCTGCCACCTCATGCAACTCTAGCAGGGACTGGTTGACACTCTTCTCCAGGGCAAGTGCAGCTTGCATTGCTTTCAAAGGAGATTCCCATTCCATTTCTGGAGCCTTGATGTCCTGAAGAACAATGCGACCACCACGCTGGTTCTGGAACTTCATGAACTTTTCAGCATGTTCACGTTCTTCCTCCGAGTTTTTCCTAAAGAACTTTGCAAAACCTTTCAGGGCTACATCATCTCTGTCGAAGTGAAAAGCCTGCAATAGATAAAGTTTTTTGAAAAACTACATCTAGGGTAGAAACCTTTTAATTGACTTCTTCATGAAAACTGACACATAACTTACTTATAATTCTTTTTTAATAAAACCTTAAAATATTCATCATGATAGTAATTGTTCTGAATTCAAAATTATGTCAACGGATTTTTTCAAAAATAACATTGCAGAGAAGCATCAAATAAATCATATAATATGATAGCCAAACTACAAAATAAACCCCCAAAAATAGGTCTTGTACATATGTTTTTATTTTTTCATTCACTGTTGCCATGTGGTCCTTTGATTGCTTATTTTTTAAATTCAAATTTGTTTACAGAATTTGAATCCAACTGTAGCATTCTTATCACATTGACTATTCACTGTTGTCACCCTGGTCATGTAAATGGTAAGTGGAACAAATAAAATTAACAAGACACACAGTGATAAATATCGCACTCTGAAGAGCAAACTGGCCACCATGCAATTTACCCAGCAAGGCCAAAACCTAATCAGACCTTGGCACTAGTCTGCTCTTGCATCTGTAAACATTTCAAGTTGACAAGGTTAGCGGTTTTCCTGCAATTTTGATGACAAGAATTTATTTGTAGTCTTGAACTTTGGGAAAATTTAGATAACATTGTTTGTGACCTAATTTGATGACCTTCGACCTTGAAAATTTCACTTTTTCAGACCTCAGTAGGTGTTTTGTAATTAAGCTGACCTAAATTTAAATCCAAAATATCAATTTAGAAAATCAAATTTTTGACCTGTTCAAGGTCACTGAAGGTCAACGAAAGGTCAAATCTGAAATCTAAGGTCAGATTTGAACTTCTGAGAACTTGTAGATGTTTTAAAAAAAAAATTTGGTCAATTTGGAGCAAGTTGAAAAATTCAAAATGGCCGCCAAATTGAAAAATTCAAAATGGCCACCATGTAATTCAGCCAGCATGCCCAAAACCTAATCAGATCTTGGCAATAGTCTGCTCTTGCATCTGTAAAAATTTCAAGTTGAACGGATAAGTGGTTTTCCTGGAATTTTGATGACAAGATTTGTTGAAAAATTCAAAATGGCCGCCACGTAGTTTACCCAGCATGCCCTAAACCTATTCAGATCTTGGCACTAGTCTGCTATTGCATGTGTAAAAACTTCAAGTTGAACAGGTTAGCGGTTTTCTTGGAATTTTGATGACAAGAATTGATTTGTAGTCTCAAACTTTGAGAAACTTGGATAACATCATTTGTGACCTAGTTTAATAACCTTGACCTTCGACCTTGAAAATTTAACTTTTTCAAACCTCAGTAGGTGTTTTGTAATTAAGCTGACCTAAATTTAAATCCAAAATATCAATTTAGAAAATCAATTTTTTTGACCTTTTCAAGGTCACTGAAGGTGAATGAAAGGTCAAATCTAAAATCTAAGGTCAGATTCGAACTTCTGAGAACTTGTAGATGTTTTTAAAAAAAAAATTTGGTCAATTTGGAGCAAGTTGAAAAATTCAAAATGGCCGCCAAATTGAAAAATTCAAAATGGCCACCATGTAATTCAGCCAGCATACCCAAAACCTAATCAGATCTTGGCAATAGTCTGCTCTTGCATCTGTAAAAATTTCAAGTTGAACGGATAAGTGGTTTTCTTGGAATTTTGATGACAAGATTTGTTGAAAAATTCAAAATGGCCGCCACGTAGTTTACCCAGCATGCCCTTAACCTAATCAGATCTTGGTACTAGTCTGCTCTTGCATCTGTAAAAATTTCAAGTTGAACAGGTAAGCAGTTATCCTGGAAATTTGATGACAAGATTTGGTTTATGTCCCGCCCGCCCGCACGACCGCCCGCCCGCCCAACAGCACAAGACGACGACAATATAGCACTTTTTCAAAGTGCGATAAAAACTAAGGGTATATCTGAGGGAAATACAATATATCTACCCGGGGGACCGTAGGGAACGAGGGTTGATGTATTGTTTTTATCGAATAATAACCTCTATATATCTGCAGATAACAGGTTCTTCCTAAAAATTAGTCTGTTTACTCTCTTGTCTCAAGAGAATGGTTAATACAGGTTACTCGAGTCTCTAGCCAATTCTTGGCTACTGTAGAAGTGATTCCATCTGGAACACCTTGAACTATTGTAAAATCGTAAGCCGTCGTTCAATAAATTTATGTAACATTCTAAAAATCGTTCTGTTAATATTTCATGAATTGAAATGGTAACGGTTTGTCTTGTTGATGAGATATTGAACGTTTTCATTTAAAATAGACGTCGTCTCGTTCTCCATTTTGAAAGCATGCCTTTTTTTCGCTATAACGATTTAGTCAAGATGGCCGCTGGTTGTAAAAATATCCTGCGAAGTAGACCAATTTATGAAATAGGACTATGTGTAAAGATCAATGAAGATGAGTTTATTATGTTTACATCAATAAAAATTAAGGCGACGCTATATTAAATAAAAAGTACAAAAAATGACTGCCATATTTTTTTGATAAAGACACATGTTTTTAAAATCTGTTTACCTTGTATATGAATTGTGTATCTTGACTAATGAAACATGTCAAAGTTAACATCACACATAAACGCATTTTTCCAAACTATGAATTGGAGGTGCATGGATCCCCAAAGCTAGCATGAAGAGTGCGAAGTGAGGCTAATTTTTGAAAGTTTCAAGGAGTAGCCTTGCAACAGTCACACATTTGCAAGAGTCTAAAATTTCCACAAATCATCTTACCTTTCCCAGGAACAACGAAGGAGCATGAAAATGTGCACTTCTTGCATTGTTAGAGTATAATAAAGCACAAACCATTGTAAATTCTAAATATTTCATGTCTACATTTTGTTTGCCGGAACTACTTCTAGACTTCCTGATTAATCCTCATGCAAGTTTTGTGACTACACCAAGTGGCATGGATTATCACTTGTATGTTTTATCTATTACAGTGTAATTATCATGATAGATACATGATAGAGGCTTTATGAATGATAAACAATGGAAACATGAATGAAGATAACTCTGGACTAAAAAATAGTTCCAGGAAACAAAATGGTGGACATGAAATATTTAGAATTCACAATGGTTTGAGCTTTATTATACTCTAACAATGCAAGAAGTACACATTTTCGTGCTCCTTCGTTGTTCCTTGGTAAGGTAAGACTATATCTAGAAATTTTGAATTCTTGCAAATGTGTGACTGTTGCAAGGCTACTCCTTGAAACTTTCAAAAAATAGCCTCACTTCGCACTCTTCATGCTAGCTTTTTGGAGCCATACACCTCCAATTCATAGTTATGAAAAATGCGTTTAAATGTGAGGTTTTCTTTTATGTGTCTCTTTAGTCAGGAAATGCATTCACATACAAGGAAAACAGTATACAAAATCTTCTGACTTTATCAGAAAAATATGGCTCCCATGTTTTTGTACTTTTGATTAACTTAAATGTCACCTTAAAGGCAAATTCAAAACAACAAAGAGTGTCTTAATTTATATTGTATGGCCACACTCAGTGGCCATAGAATATAATAAAATACAGGCAGCCAATGTTCTTCCTGGTGGAAGGGCTCGATGTCAGATTATTGATGAATCATGCCCAAAACTGCAAGTCACGTTTCAAGACTCGTGAATGTTTTGACCACGCCCCCTTTTACTCAATGAACTTCGCCGCCATCTTGAATGTTTGTCACGACGTACATGAATAGAAAAATACGTAACCCCTTTTCAGCACGAAATTTAAAATAACTAACCGATAAGCAGCCATATAGAGAAAATTATGACTTTCCTTTATAACTTACCTATCCCTGAAACAAATAATTTACCTCAAATAATACTGAAATATACATGAAAAGTGTTGCGAAATCAACTTACCATCGACTGATAAGTGTAACTGGCATACAACTCCAAGTTGATTTGCTTGTTCACTCCTGCTTCACTGTCCTGGTGGTAGTTCTGACGGGGTTGAGTTTGTGTCGCCATTTTCTTATATCTCTTGTTTCAGATGGTATGAACTTTGAAATTTTATAAAAAATAAGTGATACGTGATGCCGAACTTTGTCTGAACGTTCACTGACGCTGCAAGACAAATATACGACTGAATGTTTCAGGATTCCGGCGCTGGTCGTTTATATATTACATGGCGCTCGTCTAGCTATTGCTCACCCTCCCTATGATAATGAACTTATTCCCGGGTTTAAATTTATATGCGAGTTACAGGCGCTGAGCAAGGTCATGCTATATCAAACAGGGTAGAAGCTTGGCTCGGAAAAATAGAAAAATATCAACTTCTTAGTTGAAATCAGTCTAGAAAATGAAGTCTTGTATTTTCCATTCAATATTCCATTGAGGAGAAGAGCCGTTGGAGAATACTCCGTGCATACTCCGTGGCATTGCTAGTCTTCAACATACCCCCTTACTGGCATGGTTGTTCCCCGGGGGTTGTTCCCCCTTCAGCCTTCCGAATACTTGTGACTCGGGCATGTTGGGCATTGATTAGGCCTATTGTCTAGAGATAAAAGGGGGCTCTTATAAAAAGTTTGTATATTCAGATAGTCTTATAGATAAAAATGGGCTAATACGAACTCCAATGCAGTGTCTCGCTATATCACTACACGGGAGTTCGGGCCTCTTATAGAATTTTAGTTAAAATTTAGAATTTATTAAGGCACGGCCACTGTGTTATCAGGGCATGGCCAGACTACAATTATACAAACTACATTTATACAGTAACATTTATACAGTCACGTTAAATAATCTACAAAGATATTGTGTTGTAATGGTTGCGATGTTATAGACTTCTTTTCTTGGCACATCATGTCATTGAAAGTGCAGGACTTCCTCCATATTTGATCATTTATGACATAATGTATAGGAACTTGTTTTCCTCAGTCATGTTAGAAAAGTCCTTATTTGACGTTTGAATTTTATCTAATAATAAAGTGCGCTCACTTTCGTAGAATATGCATCTCATAACAAAGTGCAGCTCATCTTCAACACAATAGGATAGTTTCTAAATAGCAGAAAAATCAATGAAATCTCGTGCTGCCATCTTTTATTCAGCTTTTAACTCGGGCTAGAGCTCCATTCATTTACATGCTAAAATCTTGGAAAAGTGGCTTAATTTCATGATTTATCAAAGTGTGTTTGTTGAATCTGTATAAAACTTGAATGATATACCACATGATGACCCTGTTTATGTACATGATGTGATTAAACATGCAAATGTTGATTGACATACAAATTATCCACAGATTTAAAGAATTTTAGCATTGCATCTATGGACATTTGGCCCAAGTTTTTTTTAATTGTTATAGAAAATTATTCAAATTACATAACTGTGTAAATCAAAGCTATTAAAGGAGAAAACATTTCACTGAATTCAAATATGCCATTTAAAAGAAGGTAATGTAAGTCATTAGAGGTCTAATATGCAAGTCTCTTAAAATCTCACGAAAAACGAGATTTAGCGAGATTTCAAAAGCTATATGGAAACTATACTATTATCTGAACAGTTTGTACATGCGGCCGTTCTTCTACATTTTTATTTTTGTATCTTCCTGCTTCAACCTCTAATGAATGGTCACTGAGTCTCAGCTTTGTAAATAGTTTTCTTTTTTTAAAGTTAGTTTCAGTAGTGAGATATTCTTCAAGATGTATATTATTTTTGAATTTTACGTAGGTTCTCATTTTACTATTGTTACTTGGTTTGCTACCAGCGTTTATTTTCATCTTCCACTGGTCATTGCATTTAGTGATAAGTTTTTGTTAAACAGATTTTAAGAATGTATTTTTTAAGGATGAATCAGGAAGTTTAACATCATTTATATCAATGTCAATACTTTGCAGTGACTTTGCAATGAAATTGTACCACAGACTGAATTTTTTGTATTTCATGTGTGAAAGTAATTTGCTCATTAGAGAAGTCTTTGGCAGCATGCTTATGTGCGTCCAGTATCATTTAATTGCACTCAAATGAATATGATATGACATTGGTAGTCTGCCAGTCTCACTCAATATTGCCAGGTTACTGCAGTTGTGTTTGACATCAAGAATCCATCTGCAGCACTTTATTTGTATATTTTCAATTTTCTTCTTAAAATCAAACATGTTTTTTGCACTTATCTGCGTGCACCAGATTTCTGCCGTTGTAGAGTAATCCCGGGAGAGTAATATACATTTAGCTAGCCATCTGACCTAAGAGTAAAAGCTATTGAAAACGGCGCCGGGGTATCATACTTAGCCTTGCCCAAGTCGGTATTTTTTACTTATCTGATCTTGAATTATTACCGCCTTGTACAATCCAATACACCTGCGCTGATATTATGCAGAGTTATTCAACGGTTTCGAGATTTCAATAATACCTACGCTATCAGGGGTATCGCGAAACCTTATTGATTAACAGATGTACGCGTGGACACGACGTGTGACTTCAGGCTGATTGACCAATCAAAACGTTATCAGGTTGACCTGCATAAGCAAAGCAATCTTCCCGATTTGAAATTCAATGATCTGATCGATCGTTTCTTTAGAGTTACAATATACTGAATATATTATGTAATTAAATGTACATAGAGAATGTAAGACTCATTAAATCAAGGGAAAGATCAATACCCGGTGATTTCAGCGGGAAGTGGCGTTTCGTTCATTGGATGAGCTGCGCGCGCACGCATAACAAATCAAGAAACGCGTATACCGCTACCAGTATAACTATGCTGCATGTTAAATCCCTATCTAGGTCCATTAAGCTGTCAACGCAAACATTAATGTGGTCTCATATTCCAGCAAGTTGCTGAAGTTGCTTCTCAAAGCAGAATTAGGGTTTTGGTAGAACTCAGATCTGTGTTACTGTACACAGGGAAATATATTTCATTTCTCATCTTTTAGGTTTTTGAGATAATCATGTTATTTATCTTATTTCCCTTAGTCTTTTGACAAATTATAAATAAATAGAATGCATACTGTTAAAAGATCATTGTTAGATTATTTAAAAGGATGAGATTTTGTTGATTTATTTCTGAAAGATTAAGCTAATATAAAGAGTTTACAGTAATAGAAGAAACCAAACTTCTTTTAAGAGAATACGTTACACTTTACATTTTAAATGTAGCAAACTTTATCATTTAATAGTACTATTTATCGAATCCATCTAAAGCCTTGGATCTATCAGTAATTTTAATGTAGAGTACTGTGAAAGAATGCTGCTATCTCAAATATTTCCAACCGTTTTTTAAATCTATTTTGAGTGACAAATATTTCAGTAGATTGATTTCAGTAGGGGTTGATTGGAATATACGGGATAGTTATCTTTGCAAACTTTTGTTGTGATCTTTATATCCTTTTCGGTTGCAATTTTTTTGTCATATTTAGACATTTTACAAGTACTGTACATAGAGTGTGAGTTTACTGTAGGATCAGTATTATAGTACCCCACACAAGTTTTTGATAATAACTTTGACCCATGATTTGAACATTCTCCCCTATAAGCCTACTATTTAAATTAAATCTAGCCATATGCAACACATATTACCATCGTTACATTGTTTCAATGAATATGATGTTAAAATTGTAGTACATTTATGACCGGGACAACTAGATATCAAAGGCAAGTATATTTCATAAATAAAGCTTTGTTGATAGACAAAGCTTATAGCTGTCTATATACAGACTACCAATAGACTATTCAAAAAGACCATAAAGACTTACTTAAACAATTCTTAATTTTGATTTTATGACATCAAATTTGTTAAAAAGGATTAATTACATTTCAGTTGCTTTTTTTATTGTTATTGAAGTAAAATAAAAATGAAAATTTCCAATGTGGAAATTGCCTCGAGTTCATGTGTGCTAAATTCAATAACAAATAGTAGATCTCGAGTGTTCAAATCAAGGGTTAAAGTTATTATCGAAAACTTGTGTGGGGTACTAGTGACTAGAAAATGTAGCATTATACACAGCTTTACATTCAATTAACACAAGACGTTTCTATGTTTATCCATTAGACATTTTAACAGTTAAGTATTCATGTTTATGCCTTATCAATGTTAAGTAGCTACACTCTTCCAAGACTCCTACTGCAGAGGTATCAGATGGCAAACAAACTGGCTTAATCACTGATGATATGGAAATTCTATACGGCTAGTGTAGCGGTATACGCTGCCATAGGAGATTTCTTGATTTGATGTGATTATCCAATATAATTAGGGGAGGGCTATTTGAAGTAGTTTTTGGTCTCAGGCGCCCGGGGGGTTCACTATATATAAACCTTGACGGGGATCCTCGGCGCATGTGGGGTACCTTTTTCAACGTTTGGTATGGCAATGGAACCATATTTTAGGATTTGGTATGGGAATGCCCGGAAATTTCTGACTTCTGAGGTATGGCAATGGTCGGACTTTTGCTCTTCTGGTATGAGAATGGTCGTTGTAGATACGTTACCTAACATTCGTGGTATGGCGTTGGTCCAGTAGTTCCAAATTTGTATGACATTGATCCTATATTTCATATACTTTGAATTAAGGTATGGCATTGGTCCCATATTTGGACATTTGGTATGGCATTGGTCCTACATTTTGACATTTGGTATGGCATTGGTCCTATATTTGGACATTTGGTATGGCATTGGTTCTATATTTGGACATTTGGTATGGCCTTTGGGCGTCATTTTGGTTGGTATGGGAACATATTGAAATTTGACAGATTGGTATGGGAACATATTGATATTTGAGGCTTCAGCCTAGGACCCCCGTTGAGTTTTATATACAGTGAACCCCCCGGGCTCAGGCGCGACCCAGGGCTGTTGTCTTAAGGACATTTCGTTGAAAATGAGCCATTCGGCTGATAATTGGCAAGAGTTTGCGATCTTATAATGTATAACTGTTCATTTTGACACGATTCTGTTGGAAATAAGCTTTGAACCGAGAGATATTCACGATTGATATGCACATTTTTGATTGTGCCATTGCTTTTCTATTGCACAACCCATGTATTGATAGAAGAAACATTAATAATACAGATTGGTTTACCTTCAATACATGGCAGACACTACATATCGGTCTATTAATACCAGTTTGTGCCTAAATAGTTTTATATTTCCATCCACGGCCTGGAGCCTGGGTGTGTTTGTCTCTTATGTGTATGCTTGTGCATGGACTTCTAATCACTAGCAGAATTTAACATGATGCAAACTCGACATTATAACTCATGCTGTAACATTTTGACTTCGCTGGAAAACAATAGGAATTATTTTTCTTGCCAATCAATCATGAATCACAATCAAAATTTCAGAATGATCAATCAGGCAATGATCCAAATCAAGTTATAACATTATATGATATTCAGCAAGAAGTCCGGTAGAAATACAGAATATTTAAACATCAAAGCTGAAAGTTAAAAGCTAATCTGTCAATTTTCTGTCTGCAAAAGAGCGTCCCAAGAGCGTTTACATTTGACACAATCACAGACTGAGGCTTTGAAATCTAGGATTCCCCAGGAAAATATGACGTCATACTAATTAGCATAAGGATTTCCCTATTGGTGTGGGTCGAGCCTTGTTCGAAAACACAATCCATAAATACATGCTAATTTCTAAGGAGATAGGAAGTGTATAACGTGTTTATCGATTTTGTTTAAAGATTTAATCAATTATCAAATTGTTTAAATGGATAAAGTGGTCACACTTGCTTCAATTCATAGCGAAATCGACGGATAGAAACTGACCGAATTCTCGATATCCTACCCCGTATTACTGTAGGCTATAAGCACAGTGACCTACAGAGGGCGCTATCACAAACAAGTACTGGACGAACCGATAAATTCCCGGGTATTGTAACGCCCTTGATTAAATCATGCAATAGATTTAAAACTAATTTCGCGATGAAAATGCAAGACCGAGTCCAATGTAGCGGGTCATGTAGTCGATCAGTGATTGAATCGCAGTCTACATGTTCATTTGAATTCAGCGATCGTTTCAACGTGATAAAATATTTGTATTTTCATGATGTGAAAAGTCCCGGCGAAAAGTAAAAAGTGTACTTGTTTTTGACCGTGCATAATAATGAGCTAACGCTGCAGGGCCGTCGTTGATTGGTCAAATTTTACCGACATAAACATTGAGTCGGTAAAGCACGTGGCTTTCTCTTTGGTACAAGGCGGTCATAATAGAAATCAAGATAGTAAAAGAGACCGACTTGGGCAAGGCTATATCATACTCTAAAATGTACAATTTCTTTTATTTCTTTTTAATGGTACAATATGGTGAACTGGGGGTGAACTACGTTAATTATTTAAGATTCAAATTAAGCCTATATCTTTTAAAAGTACCCTTAGAAGAGAGAACGTCAAAAATCACTTAATCATGACAAGTAGCCTCATGGAGATCTGAGGTAATGTAAATCTGAGATATAAAAACGACAACTCTTAACGTTTTCGCCAAGACGTCTTGGAATGTCACGTGTAGTGTAAATAGGGCTAATACTGATGAATTTATTCGAAATAGCGCACAGACATCAGGCGCATTCCGACTGATGTATAACCGTTTACCACGATATTACTGAATATAAGATGATCACAATACAGATTTGATTTGTGATTATTTGAAATTCATGAAATTCATCGTTTTGCATAGACTAAAATTGTAAAAAAGGTCTTGGTAAACGTTCTGCACTGTAAAACCTGTATCAATGAATATCTCTAGAGAACACCTCTTCTTATCAAATATTCTTCTGACTTGTATGAAATTGCCTCTATGGAGTGAACATCTACCAACTAGGAACAATTTTGGGCTCCATATGTGTTCACTGGACACATGTTTTACTGCATCAGATAGCCATAACTCTATTGCCCCGAACCGGTCCGTCTTCTCGCTGCAAGCAGATTGCCCCGAACCGGTCCGTCTTCTCGCTGCAAGCAGGATGAAATTCTTTGTCACAAAGTTTGGCATTTTTTATAAAATCAAACGCGCGTCATTGAAACTCACAAGATGTAAATAGCATGTCATTTACATCATACCTTGATGGGGAAAAATAGATCTTATATGTTAGAAGTACTAAATAAAAGTTATCGTGAAAATGAGACAGTCGTTCTCGAGAGAAAAGAGCATAAATGCGTATTTAGAGAGTTTTGGTCCGTTTAAAAATCTGTGAAAAATTGGGGTACTTAAAAGCATCGAGAGGCATCATATATTTCAAATTAGACACGAGGAAGTCAATATTGAGCAAGTTATGGCTATTTTAAATTCAAATAAAACCGTTAACCCGTACCGGTCCAGCTTTTGACCCGTACCGGTCAATTTTCGTTAGCTGCGTATACCAAGTGTGATATTGTACCATTAAAAAGAAATCAAAAGAAATGGTACATTTTGGAGTATGATACTCCGACGCCGTTTTCAATTGCTTTTACTATTAGCATTGTTGGACTTCAAACAGAAGTTTAGTTAACCGCAAATGATATATTCATTGCATGGAGTCAGTCATTTTCTTTGATATAGCCATAGCAAAACATATGAGTATAAAAATAAATTGTGTGGATTTCCTAGTGCTTCTATGGAAAATAGCACGCTCCGTCACAGCGGACAAATTTTTCGATACCAGCGCAGCCTGTGTTTACACAGTGCTTTATGACATTTTGAAATATAAATTTTATTTTTTGAACACCAGGAGAAACACTAACCAAACCCGTCTGGCCGCCCAGTTATCTACTCCCGAAGTAGTCGTAGATCTACAACGTTAGGCCATAAGAAGTTTTCTTTGTTTTGCGTCCTGGCAAAATTCAATTCATGCAAGGGTACAAGGAAAACAAACACAAACTCAAGAAAAAACACAACTTGTTTGCTGAGAAATGTATACATTTTATGGGCATAAAAAGGGATGACATACCAATTTGCAGTAATTACAAACACATATCTAATTTTTATAAACATAGCTATTATTCAAGGGTAAAAATAATAAAATACACAATGTATGCCAAAGTAATCAATAACACTGTCAATTTTGACGCACATCAAATTATCTGCCCATGATTTCGTCTGATTCTGATTGAACTGACGAAATGCGATGGCACTTTCAGACCCTTGTGATTGCTATTTGGATGTGTGTTTTTTCTGATTTACTCAAAATCGTGCAAGCAAGGGGACGCAAAATAAAGAATCTACTTCTTATGGCCTTAGGAGTAGATACCTGGGCCCCCGGGTCCGGGCCAGACGGGTTTGGTTAGAGAAACACCAGAAAGTGGCCCGGGCCCGGGAAGTTTTAAATTCCTCAGTAATTGAATGCTCTGAACGAAGCTATGGAATCTTCAGGGGAATCCCGTGACGTATTATGTCACATGATCAATTAAAGATGGAGGAAAATCAATGAAACAAGAACCGTAAGAAACAGGTTTTTCTAGACTGGTTTCCTTGGAGAAATTGTTGCAGAAGGGATCTTAATTTATCAGTATGGATCCTAACTCACACCGGCGAATGTCGTAAGTAAAATCACATTCATAATAAATCAGCTTATATTCTATGATCTCTAGTTTTGTGCCTGAATTCTGAAGTCAGTCTGTCTCAGTGTCTGTCAGTCACAGGGGCTTGTCTCGAGGCGTCGGGCAAGCCCTCCGATGAGTCTACTGCTTATTAATAGTAAAAAGGGTGGTCGGTTTTGATGCTACCTGAAATTTGTAGAAAATGATTGTTTATAAGTTGTTAGATACTACTTTTTGCAAGGCCTGACTTCGTCGCTAACATGCTAAATATAAGAGTTACAGTTGGGGACATAAATAAATGACAGGTGGATTTGCTGAAGTGAGGATTTCCCATGTTAAAAATAAGAGAATTTACAAGAGGCCATACATCAGTGGATGAGATTATACAAAATGTAAAATATACAAATTTTAAGGGATATATATCTAGACAATATTGGAAATTATGGGCTTTCAGACCACCATAATTAGGAAATGGTGATCGAAAATCGACCTGTCATTTATTTTTGTCCCCAACTGTAGCTGACGTTTGGGAGTCTGACTTACCTTCTAAAGGTTAGAACCCGAATCTTAATGAAACCATATCACCTTTGTTGCGTCGATGATGATGCACAAACATAGCATTTGATAGAAATTAGTGTAAATGCTTTTCTGACTTTTTCATTTTTCATCAATGTTGACTTTCGGGAAGGCGTTGTAGTTATCACGAAATAACGCATTGACCCTTGAACTTTACTTTGTTGACGTGTCAACCAAGCATGTCTGGTGTGAAAATTAAAAGAATATTAAGCAATGTTCTACATCCGCCAAGCTAAGTGAAGTAGCCAATATAAAATTACCAGTTTCGAGTGAAGTACGCAACGAACGAAACTGCGTGATCTACAGTCCCACTATTTGTCTGAACGAAATGCTACGTAGAAATATGAGCCGTCTGCTGTATTAGTCGATTAATAGAGTAAGACCTGTTGGTGATGCTTAATAATTTAGACCAAAACATTGAAGAACATACGAACCTGTAAATCGTGAAAACAACGAACAAATATTCGGTTTTCATATATGTTCGGTAATTTTTCGTATTGAAACTTCCGGAACTTACAAGGAAATCATTCATTTTCTCGGTCCATGATTTACCTCTTGGATGTTGTGGCAAATGCTCCATGGTTGACGGAACAAAGGTGATATGGTTTCATTAAGATTCGGGTTCTAACCTTTAGAAGGTAAGTCAGACTCCCAAACGTCAGCTAACTCTTATATTTAGCATGTTAGCGACGAAGTCAGGCCTTGCAAAAAGTAGTATATCAAGTAAAAATATATGGAATCCTTTCAATAATCGACATGCTGATTCAAACAACACTACAGAATAAAATTACCTAAAATGGTAGCAATCCATCCACTAGTTGCTGAGATGTGTGAAGAACATGTAAGGAAGTGATTAAATTTAATTTAAAATGCAAAACACGACAATTTTCACCCTCAAATTGTTAGCTCCAGAGTCGATTTCTTCCCAAAGACACGTCCACTGTTAAAAAATGGTAGTTCCTAGAGTTCTTTGTTTCCTTAGGTTCATTCCCGTATATTATTTTAAACGAAGGACAGCCTATAACGACTGCTATACGCAAAATAGATGCATGAAATTATGTTTCGAAACTGAAAGTTGAAAAATGGCCGAATATCCCGTGTTCTATGCGCATGTGCAAAAAAGAAAGTACTTTATTCCCACGATTCAGAACGATTCAAATTACTTTTCGGCGGTTGGATCGGTACCAAATGAAAGATTATTGCCAAGGAACGGAAAACATATTTCGAAGATGAGAGTTATTTGTTTTATCACTAAAGGAAAATATTCCCGCAATATTAGGTGCATCATGGGAAGGGACTGGTGTGAAATAATGAACGCAAGTGACATCTATCTAGAAAAATATGTGGTCATTGCGCATGCGTTCATATAATATGAATTAATCAAATTGCTGGATTGAACGCAACTGCGCATGGAACACATTTTCAGTTTCGAAACATAATTTCATGCATCTATTTTGCGTATAGCAGTCGTTATAGGCTGTCCTTCGTTAAAAATAATATACGGAAATGAACCTAAGGAAACAAAGAACTCTAGGAACTACCGATTTTTAACAGTGGACGTGTCTTGAGGAAGAAATCGACTCTGGAGCTAACAATATGAGGGTGAAAATTGTCGTGTTTTGCATTTTAAATTAAATTTAATCACTTCCTTACATGTTCTTCACACATCTCAGCAACTAGTGGATGGATTGCTACCATTTTAGGTAAGTTTACTCTGTAGTGTTGTTTGAATCAGCATGTCGATTATTGAAAGGATTCCATATATTTTTACTTGATATATCTAACAACTTATAAACAATCATTTTCTACAAATTTCAGGTAGCATCAAAACCGACCACCCTTTTTACTATTAATAAGCAGTAGACTCATCGGAGGGCTTGCCCGACCCTCCAGACAAGCCCCTGTGCTGTCAGTGTAAAAAATATCAATTCAAATTCAATTGATGATGGACCCTTGATAACAAGTTGCTCATACACTTCAGCTGTGTTGGCTAGCCCTTATGCCCCAATGATAGATCATTGGTCTACTCATGGGCATTCAATAGCCCATGGTCTACTATATCCGTTTTTTATTTTCAGCCATTTTGTCCATCTGTCTCGCGAAATCCACTTTTGGACTATTTGCCTGAAAACCTCTGTCAATAGGATTCCGGTTTTAACTTATTTTTGTTCAACATCATTACATCAATACAGAAAACTCACCAATGACTCTTGATTCAAAAGCTTGCCTATTTTCAAAATGGTTGCCATTTTTGTCTTGCGAAATTCACTTTTGGCCCATTTCCTAGCTTTACAAATAATTCCAGGTGTCCTGCATTGTATAAAGCCTAATGTCACTGTAAAGAGTAGTTGTATGAAAAAATTATATTGATTTTTTTAATTTTCTGCCATTTTGACACCATGTGAGCCCAGTACCCAAGGCACTATTCATTTAGTTTTTGTTGCATCAATATGTTGTGTTTTGAAAGGTTTTAAAGATATCCATTATGGGTGACCAAAATTAGCTGAAATCAATGGATCTCATGAATTTTCCCCATGGAAAAATAATATATTGTTTTCCACTTAATTTAAAAGTCTTGTCTACTCGTTTTCAGGCAAACCGTTTGGTAGATCAATACTCCTATTCGCGATAAGAGTTCAGGTGGTAATTTACATAAATATCTCCCATGATGCATCGCTTTGGAAGGGACAAATTTTCATTGGCCCGCCGAACGAGTCGATTACTCTGAACGTTTCTCAGCTTCTGATCTTCCATCAGCCCTCAAGCATAGTTATATAATCCAATCTTTTCAATAATCAGAAAGATAATCGGAGATTCAAAGTAACATTATTTATATTTTTCGATATTCGATGGCGTCTGAGCAATTTCTGGGATATCAGTGACGTCACTGGAATTGGACGGCATTTTTAACTACACATTACTTCGGATTTGGGGATTATAGCTCAAATTACTTTGTCATATATCTTAATTACATACATACCTATCGTTTGTGCAAATGAAACACTACATAAATGTTGAATAGAGCCGCAGTGCGGCATTGAAAATAGCACCCCTGTGTAATCCAATGGGAAAGAACCCGGATGTAGATGAAGTTGTACCATACATGAGAGCTCTTCAAACGAGAGGTTGCTAAACTGAACGAAATTAAACGTTATCGCGTATTGGTATATTTCAAATTTTCAGGGATGATTGTTAGTATGAAAATCTAGAACTGATTAGTTTTTTGGAATTCTGGGTAAATGTCAAGGCAACCATTTTGAATTTTCCGTCCTAAATTCTTGTCTGTAAAGTCTTGTCTACGCGTTATCTAGTTAACTGTTTGACGGATCATTTTCAAATTTTTTAGTGGTGGTTCTTAGTATGAAAATCTAGATCTGTCTAATTTTTTGGCATTCTCTGGGTAAAATTTCGGGTAGCCATTTTGGATTTTCCGTCCTAAAATTGTGTCTACTCATTTTCAGGATAAACATTTGACTGATCAATTTTAAATTTTCAGGGATGATTTTTAGTATGAAAATTCAGATCTGATTTTAATTCTGTTGCATCAATATGTCTTTTTAAGGCGAACCGTTTGGTAGATCAATTTCAAATTTTCAGGGATGATTGTAAGTATGAAAATCTAGAACTGATTAGTTTTTCGGCATTCTGGGTAAATGTTAAGGCAGCCATTTTTGATTTTCCGTTCAAAAATTTAGTCGGTAAATTCTTGTCTATGCATATTCAGGTTAACTTTTCATCATATTGCGTAAATTTTAAGTTGCCCATTCTGGCTTTTCTGTTCTAAAATCGTGCCTGTGAAGGCTTGTCTACCCATTTTCAGGATAACAGTTTGACGGATCGGTTTCAAATTTTAAGGAATGATTTATAATATCACGCGGTCCTAACTTCGACCGTTAATTTGAATTTTTGACCTACCAGGTGCTTGAAAATCAAGGATTGCGAGTCTCATACTGCACCGTTTTTCTTCAAACTTATACCATTAAAAGCAGAACAAAATTGCCTTTCTGTCGGTGCATTACTTTATTGTAAAGAGTCCCTTGTTCTAGCAGCGTTTTGGTCCCCAGCTGTTAGAAGGCCTTCTTACAACTGGGGACCAAAATACCGCTGGAAGTAGGGACTCTGTTGAAGAGAATAATGTACCATCGGAAAGGGATTTGTGTTATGCTTTGAATGGAACAAGTTTGAAGAAAAAACGGTGCAGTATGAGACTCGTAATCCTTGATTTTCAAACATCCGGTAGGTCAAAAATTCAAATTAACGGTCGAAGTTAGGACCGCGTGAATATGAAAATCTAGAAGTAATTAGTTACTTCTAGATTTTACTTTAGGCATTCTGGGTACCGTATTCTCTGTAATTAGCGCCCAGGGCGTTTAGAAAATTGAAAATACATTATTTAGACCATTCTAATAAGCGCCCATGTATGAAAGAAATCAGAAATCCCGAGAAATTTCATGTATGGCAATTTTTCTTGACAAGAATGCATTTTCTTCAACATATTTTTATAATAATATGACAAGTGCTGTTATTGGAGAGAATACGGTAAAGATCGCTTAGACAATATTGACAGTGGTTGAAGACCCGTCTATGTCTAATTTATTTCCGGCACGCCCACTTTGTCATTATCGCCGATTACCTTCAATATTTCCACTAGAGACTGCTGGATATCGATCTAAAGTTATACATTATTTCTAATTTGATGAGAGATCATCATTATTCGTGCAAAAGTCGTGTAAAAGTCGAGAAACATTAAAAAGAAACCAGAAAGTTCACGACCTTGACCTGCGCAGTAGCTTTTGAAATTTCTGAATGCCGATAAAGAACAATTCCTTCATTCATTATGGATTATTATGATTCCTCGATGTTTCTTGAACTTTGTGAAGCGGGTTGGGTGCTTATTAGAGAGTGGGTGGTAATTACAGAGAATACGGTAAGTGTTAAGGTAGCCACTTTGGATTTTCCGTCCTAAAATCCTAAACGTTTTCAGGTTAACCGTTTGAGGGATCAATTTAAAATTTTCAAGGATGATTCTTAGTGTGAAAATCTTGGAACTGATTAGTTTTCTACATTCTCGGTAAATTTTAAGGTGGCCATGGATTTTCCATCCTGAAATCCTCTCTGTAAAGTCTTTTCTACATGTTTCCTGGCAAACCAGTTGAAAGATTGATTTCAAATTTCCACGAATGATTCTTTGTATGAAAATCTAAAACTACTTAGTCTTTGGGCAGTCCTGCTAAATTTTAAGGTGGCCACATTGGATTTTTCTCTTAAAATCATGTCTTTTCAACTGATTTAAGTGTTATATTCAAGATTTGCAGTTTATAGGATCACCTATTGGTGGGGACATGTTGTACACATTTATGTTCTTGTATTTCATTAACAAAATACTTTTTTAAATCAACCAAACTTTCCTTTGTACAATTACTCAGATGCGAGTAAGAAGTTACCAGTTTCGCCACCAGGTGGCTGATTCGGGGGAATTAACATGGCAGGGTATTACAAAATTCCCTTAAACTTGAATATGCATCAGTTTTAGTGGTTCACTTTTCATATTACCTTTATGTATCTGATAGTTATACAAATTAAAATATGTCCAGTAAAAGAAAATATTATCTACCTAACACAAGAAAAGATATTTCACTTTTTGTGGTTTTACAACATGGGGTCTATAGGGAATCTCCCCGACCTAGAAGTCACATTTTCAAACAAAATTAAATTTTCAAAGTTGATAAACTCTTTTCAAAACCACATTTCTAAATGTAATATTACATGTAGATTCCAAATATGACATCAATTTGACTGAATTGTGAATTTTTAATGACATTAATCAAGATTATTTCTACTTGCATCTGGGATATTACAATATTGAGAAACCTAAACACGTTGTGTATATGTCGTTTTGTTCCAATGAGGTTCGGATAGATGTTTCGTTTCATTCCGAACATATGATATCAAGAACAAAAGATGTGTCTGATGTGTTTTCTAAAACAATTAAAGAGAATATATTTTTTTTTCAAATTAAACTGTTACCATTCAAAAGATGATCATTAGATTGATTGTGTAAAGTTGTGTAAAATTTTCAGAATTTTTTGATGACTGGTTTATACTTATTAAGAGAAACATGTGTTCAATTCAGTTCGCCATATGCATATGGATACCAATCCTTAATTATGGTATACTAGTATACATTTCAATATTGCAAGTTTTCTAAATTAAGTAGTCGCCAAATTAAGTAGAAGTACAGTGTGAAAAATATCGAATCAAATGCGTGACATATACACAATTTTCGAACCTAATGCGTGACATATACGGAATTCACGTGAAAAGTCTGGACGGAATGCGTTCGCTTTTTTTTACATTCGTTTCTTTACTGTATCGGCGTTTTATAAAAAGCCTTTTTTTAATATCAACATAATGCATGATTTGCTAACATTTTATGATACATAAAAAATTGATTTCAATTTTTCCAGCAAATGCATGACAAATCACACGAATGTGTGAGGGTTGACAGGCCAATACCATAACTGATAACTCAGTAATATTTAAATGAATTTACTAATTTATTTATACTTGTATCTCTATCTGAGAAAGTTGCAATGAAATAGACACAACTGTAATACCCAGGCTAATTGTTCTGAAACCATACAGTATAGACATGGAATATAGAATCTATAATTCATGTTTGCACAACAATATTCAGTACTAATGTAATCTTAATATTGGTTTCATTACAGGGCATCAGGCCAATCACTCTATGCAGTATTAGGAATAGACAAATCAGCCGATCAAACAGAAGTTAAAAAAACATACAGAAAAGTAAGTAACATGGAACTGTCAATCAAAGTTATTCAAGCACATTTTCAATCAATATGTAAAACTAGTGATGACTACATCAATTTCATTCAACGTACCATAAAGCCATGCCCCTCGTCTTTGCAATCATATGTCATTCATTCACATGTTGTCATGGTTGGGTGAGAAATCCTTTCATTTACACAGTGGGTCAAAATCGGCTCTGGACCAAGTTTCAGAAATTGCAAAAATCAGTGCAAGAGCTAAGTACCAATGGAAGTTCTCCTGACTTGAATTGTTGTGACTTTTTCTTTTGGAGCTATCTCAGGAGCATCTGTGCTCACCATTCCTTCACCAGATATTACAAAACTTCGAGAAAGAATTGCCAATGGGCTGCTTTTCTCCGCCTTCATCCACAGATGACTTAGAGCTGAGCCACGAATGGCATGGAGAGATGAGGGTATCTTTGTGTGCTAAGAAGTGGTGGCAATATAGGGGAGGCATCAAAAGTTTGATGTAGGATAGAAAACTAAATAAATGTAGTTAGGGGGGAGGGGGTTCAAACCCATTTCAGTTTGCTATCCGACAAATTTCAACATTTCAAATTTTTGGCAGTTTTGACTTGGAATGGTTTAAAAATGAAGATTTTACCTGATGCTTTCTTCGTCAGGATCATTCCAATGGATTCTGTTCTATCAATAGTTGCTAAAAGCCGCAAATTAACAATAGGAATTAACAAAAACTAGATCGTGTTTTAGCAATAATTTTTCAATTTCTCAAACCGGAAGTCAGCGATCAACTTTCATGGTATTTAGTTTTAGGGGGGAGTCATCATTGGTTTTATGTTTTCTTCCAATATTGCATTGGGCCCCATGCATTGACTTTCGCAATGTTTATTACTTGGTCCCAAGGTAATTTTGGCCCACTTTGCTTAAGGAATGATTACTCGCAAAACCATGACCCAATATCAACGAATGATATACCATTAGAAAGAGGAGACACGTGGCTTTATGGTACATTGAATGAAATCAATGCTGTTATCACTGGTTTTGTGCTTTTCCGAGATGACAATCTGTTGCGTTTTTTTGATACGCACTGTATAATATATATGGAGGGAAATATCTTGTTTGGTGCTCAAATTTCTACCACTCTTTGTCAGACCCCTCTCCCTTCAATCTACCATTTACGTGTATATTATCTTAAAGTAAATCAAACAATTGTGTCTGACTATGTGATCAGTAATGGCTTATATTTATGCACTAATTCCCATCATTGAAATCGGCTGGCTTCCTTGATTGAATTTATGCATTCATTATTCAATTGAGATCTCTAAGGAGTTGGAGTATAATTAGCTGATCTACACAATGTATATTACATGTACAGTAATCTTACATCAATTTATTTTTGTATTTTAAATTCATTTAATAAAAAAAGCAAGCACAGTTATTTTATGTTTTATTCTAATTTCAGCTAGCATTAAAATATCATCCAGACAAAAATCCAGACCAGGAAGCAAAAGAAAAAGTAAGTTATTCATTTTAAATTCTTTGAAAAGTAATATTCTGATTTCATATTCTCTGAACCATCCTGACAACCATGCATAACTACCAGTTGTTAAAAAATAAAAGGATTCTGAATCATGTATAAAAATAAACTGTAGTTTTCTTGTTACATTGAAACACTTATACCTTGAAGATTCCTATTTTAACTTTGGTTTAAGACTTGCATGTAATTTGTTGGCATTGATCTGCCCAGCTAAAGTAAAATTTTAAATGTTTGCAAGTACTTTGAATTTAAAAAATAAGCAATCAAAGGACAGTATATGAAACAGTATATATGTAGAAATAGAAACATTTATCCATGTACTTTTGTATATTTTAGTTTGTTTTGTAGTTCAGCTATCATATCTGTGGCCTCTTATTATCCCACCGAACGAAGTTCGAGGGGGATATAGAAAAGCCGTCCGTCCGTTCGTCCGTCCGTCCGTTCGTCCGTCCGTCCGTCCGTCCGTCCGTTCGTGTGTCCGGGCAATAACTCAAATACCAGTTGACGGATTTCATTCAAATTTTATAGGCTTATGCCTTATATGTGTAGGACCTCTGCTCGAGAAGGAATTTTCGATATGGCCACTAAATTCAAAATGGCGGCCATTTTTCGGAAAAAATATAATCTTTCATAACTCAAATACTACTGGATGGATTTGGTTCAAATTATATATGCTGTTGCCTGGGTACAAGGGAGCCTTGCTGAAGAAGACATTTTCAAGATGGCCACCATAAAATGGCGGCCATTTTTCGTTAAAAAAAACGTTATCTTTGATAACTCAAATACCATTGAATGGATTTGGATCAAATTTTATATGCTGCTGCCTGGATACAAAAGAGCCTTGCTCAAGAAGACATTTTCAAGATGGCCACCATATTTCAAAATGGTGGCCATTTTTCGTAAAAAAACGTTAACTGAAATACCATTGAATGGATTTGTTTCAAATTTTACATGCTGATGCCTAGGGACATAGGAGCTCTGTTCGAGAAGGGATTTTCAAGATGGCAGCTAAATTTCAAAATGGCCGACATTTTTCATAAAAGAACGTTACCTTTGATAACTCAAATACCAGTTGATCGATTTGGTTCAAATTCTATATGCTGATGCCTAGAGACAAAGAGGTTCTGCTCAAAAAGACATTTTCAAGATGAAAAGAAGAAATCTAAAGATGACAGTTGAATTTCAAAATGGCAACCATTTTTCATAAAAACACAATCTTTGATAATTCAAATACCAGTGGATGGATTTGGGTCAAATTTTATATGGGCGGCATTTATCAAAACATGTTTTGTTCGGTGGGATTTGCTACTCCGTGGAGTTGCTGTTTTTCTAGTATTTTGATTCTGCTCTGCCATGTTATTTTCCAAAAATTAACATGTCTGAAACTCACTAAATTACAAAAGGCCACAGCTTTGCTGCACATTATACATAAATTCAGATGATTTAATTTCAAATGTGAGCTGAGCACCCACTGTTTCTTTTCATTGAAGTATTACATATTTGAATCTATTTCAGTTCCAAGAGATCAACCATGCACATGCTGTCTTGAGTGATACAACTAAGAGAGGTATATATGACAGATATGGTTCTCTGGGACTCTATGTTGCTGAGCAATTTGGAGAGGAGAATGTCAATACTTACTTTGTCCTAACTAGCGGCTGGTGTAAGGTAAGCTGTCAGAAAGTACAGTGGGTATAGCCACATGTATAGGGGCTCATTGTGTTGTGGCTATTGTTTAAGGTAAATTGACCAGATGCTTTCTTAAACACTGATGGCAAAATTAAGTGAAAGGGAAGAGGGAAGCAGATCTTACTCAGTAAAGATATATTACTAAATCTAATCATCTTGTCTATGCGTAAAAGTCACATTCATTTTCTGTATTTTTCATATTCATTATCTCTACTTGAAATAATTGTCTTTTGAGGTGTCTTCCTACTTCACATACATACAGAGGTCCACTTGCTTGCACTTGTGTAATAATATACATGTATTGGTGTAGTGTTATTTCTTGTTTTGCAGGGCTTGTTCATATTCTGTGGCATTATAACTGGTTGCTACTGTTGTTGCTGTCTCTGTTGTTGCTGCAACTTCTGTTGTGGCAAGTGCAAGCCACGCCCTCCTGATGAGGATGGAGCATATGCCAATCTACATGTAAGTTACATCAATTAGGTGGCAAATGGGTTTGTTGGAGCTCTCTGTAATATAATAGTACCAGATCTATGTAATACATCAATTAGGTGGCAAATGGGTTTGTTGGAGCTCTCTGTAATATAATAGTACCAGATCTATGTAATACATCAATTAGGTGGCAAATGGGTTTGTTGGAGCTCTCTGTAATATAATAGTACCAGATCTATGTAATACATCAATTAGGTGACAAATGGATTTGTTGGGGCTCTCTGTAATATCATGGTACCAGGGCTATGTTATACATCAATTAGGTGGCAAATGGGTTTGTTGGAGCTCTCTGTAATATAATAGTACCAGATCTATGTAATACATCAATTAGGTGGCAAATGGGTTTGTTGGAGCTCTCTGTAATATAATAGTACCAGATCTATGTAATACATCAATTAGGTGACAAATGGATTTGTTGGAGCTCTCTGTAATATAATAGTACCAGATCTATGTAATACATCAATTAGGTGGCAAATGGGTTTGTTGGAGCTCTCTGTAATATAATAGTACCAGATCTATGTAATACATCAATTAGGTGGCAAATGGGTTTGTTGGAGCTCTCTGTAATATAATAGTACCAGATCTATGTAATACATCAATTAGGTGGCAAATGGGTTTGTTGGAGCTCTCTGTAATATAATAGTACCAGATCTATGTAATACATCAATTAGGTGACAAATGGATTTGTTGGGGCTCTCTGTAATATCATGGTACCAGGGCTATGTTATACATCAATTAGGTGGCAAATGGGTTTGTTGGAGCTCTCTGTAATATAATAGTACCAGATCTATGTAATACATCAATTAGGTGGCAAATGGGTTTGTTGGAGCTCTCTGTAATATAATAGTACCAGATCTATGTAATACATCAATTAGGTGGCAAATGGGTTTGTTGGAGCTCTCTGTAATATAATAGTACCAGATCTATGTAATACATCAATTAGGTGGCAAATGGGTTTGTTGGAGCTCTCTGTAATATAATAGTACCAGATCTATGTAATACATCAATTAGGTGACAAATGGATTTGTTGGGGCTCTCTGTAATATCATGGTACCAGGGCTATGTTATACATCAATTAGGTGGCAAATGGGTTTGTTGGAGCTCTCTGTAATATAATAGTACCAGATCTATGTAATACATCAATTAGGTGGCAAATGGGTTTGTTGGAGCTCTCTGTAATATAATAGTACCAGATCTATGTAATACATCAATTAGGTGGCAAATGGGTTGTTGGAGCTCTCTGTAATATAATAGTACCAGATCTATGTAATACATCAATTAGGTGACAAATGGATTTGTTGGGGCTCTCTGTAATATTATGGTACCAGGGCTATGTTATACATCAATTAGGTGGCAAATGGGTTTGTTGGAGCTCTCTGTAATACAGGGCGTATCAAAAAAATGCAACAAGTAGTTATCTCGTAAAATCACAAAACTAGTGATGACTACATCAATTTCATTTAATGTACCAAAAAGCCATGTCTCTCCTCTTTGCAATGATATGTCATTCATTCACATTTGGTAATGGTTGGGTGAGACATCCTTCCATTTGCACAGTGGGTCAAAATCGGCTCTGCACCAAGTTTTAGATATTGAAAAAATCAGTGCAAGGGCTAAGTGCCAATGGAAGTTCCCCTGACTTGAATTGTTGTGACTTTTTCTTTTGGAGCTATCTCAGGAGCATCTGTGCTTACAATTCCTCCACCAGATATTGCAAAACCTCGAGAAAGATTTGCCCATGGGCTGCTTTTCTTTGCTTTAACCCACACATGATTCAGGGCTGAACCATGCATGACGTGGACAGATGAGCGCATCTATATGTGCAAGGAAGTGGTGGCAATTTGAAGGGATATTAGGATGTATTCTTGCAAGAGTATGAGTATGAACACTTTTCTGTCTATGCCATACCTGTCACACCTTCTTCTAATAGCCCCTATGCCCCTTGTACTGACTTTTGCAATGTTTTAAACTTGGGTCCGAGCTGATTTTTGCCCCACTTTGCAAAATTAATGATTATTCGGCCATAGATGACTCCCTGTGAATGAATGATATTCCATTGCAAAGAGGAGTAATTTGGCTTTTTGGTACATTGAATTAAAAGGATGCAGTCAGCAGTCGTCCAATATTGCATCGGGCTCCGTACACTGACTTTTGCAATGTTTATAACTTGGCCCGAAACTGATTTTGGCCCACTTTGCAAATGGAATGATTACTCGCCCAACCATGATCAAATATCAATGAATGATATATCATTATAAAGAGGAGACACATGGCTTTATAGTGCATTGAATGAAATCAATGCTGTTATCACTGGTTTTGTGCTTTTCCAAGATAACAATCTGTTGTGGTTTTTTTGATACGCACTGTATAATGGTACCAGATCTATGTTATACATCAATTAGGTGGCAAATGGGTTTATTGGAGCTCTCTGTTATATTTTGGTACCAGAGCTATGTTATACATCAATTAGGTGGCAAATGGATTTGTTGGAGCTCTCTGTAATATAATGGTACCAGAGCTATGTTATACATTAGTCTTAATAATGGAAAAATTTGATAACAAAACAAACTTGTATCTTTCCCAGTGGAATAAATGTTATGCAACGTCCCACTTAGGGAAATAAAGCATTATCAATAAACACATGTCTAAAATACATGTAGATGTATGGGCTAATCAATGTTATTATGACATAATAACTGACTTAATCTGACATGCAAAAAAGTTTAAAGGGTTATGTACTGGGAGGTTTTGGATAGGGAAATATATACATATTTCCCGCGGGATAAACCCTGTATCCAAAACGACCGTACATAACAGATGTATTTCATACCTACTGAAGTTCTAGGTACATCATACCTTATAAAGATCCAAAATTCCAAAACATACTTACTTACTTACTAGGCATTTGTTTGGTCTTAAAGTTTGCGAGATTTTCAAAAAATTTGAAAAAAAGAAATTTTGAAAAAATTGAAAGAAAATGTGAAAAATAATTTTGAAAAAAAATTGAAAAAAAAATATTTGACTAAATTTTAAAAACAATTTTGAAAAAAAAAAATTGAAAATAAAATTGTGAAAAAAAATTCACAGGAGCGGGACCCGGGATGGATACACACTACATATTCCCACTCGTTATGTACCTAGAACCTCAGTAGGTATGAAATACATAGAGATTATCCTATATGAGGTTCAGGATATTGGGATTATCCCGAGGCTAATATGATATATTTGCCCGAGGGCCGCAGGTCCCGAGGGAAAATATATTATATTGGCCAACATGTTTATCCCATACCAATCTTGGTCATCTGGTTCACATTGTTCAATCGTGGAAATATTCTAGAATATTCATGTCCAGTTTTGTTTTCTTGGCCGTGGGCGGATTTTTCCGTTCTCTTAAATATTCCCACATTTATGTTCTCGAATTTTTTAAGTGGATGCTCCTTCCATTTTTTAAACCATCAAACAGATCCCGATTGTCTGTGTTATCTCCATTGTCGTTTACAGTCATTACGCGAACGTTACAAATTATGAACAAATATGCGAGCGCCGATCATGACGTAGCGGGCAGATATACTATATCTGCCCGCTCGGAGCGGGACGTAAAGCTTTATCTGCCCGCTGATGAAAATATAAGTTTTTACAAACCGGCTTTATGTACCTGTAACACGTCCAAGTATGGGATAAAAATGTGTATGCTCATTTGTTTATAAATTCTCAAAGTTGATTCTGAAACACTAAATCTACAAAAAGTTTGAAAGTACTTGTAACCTTGTCTGCTTTTAGTAAATAATATAAGACCTTGGTGCCATCTCCAAACAAAATGTTCAAAAAGGCATGATTCCAAATTTCTTAATAACAAAATTGCCCTCAGCTCATATCAATTTGACTAAAACTAGATGCAAGAAGGAGGCTTTCAGAAAATAATTTAAGTAATCCACTCATTTCTTCATGCTTAATTATCCCACCGAACGAAGTTCGAGAGGGATATAGGAAAGCAGTCCGTCCGTCCGTCCGTTCGTCCGTCCATCCATCCGTCTGTTTGTCCGGGCGATAACTCAAATACCGTTTCACGGATTTGATTCAAACTTTATAGGCTTATGCCTTCTGGGTGTAGGACCTCTGCTCGAGAAGGAATTTTCAATATGGCCACTGAATTCAAAATGGCCAACATTTTTCGTAAAAAATGTAATCTTTAATAACTCAAATACTAGTTTGCGGATTTGGTTCAAATTTTATCGGGATATCCTATATCCTATATCCCTGCGGCCCTCGGGCAAATATATCATATTTGCCTCGGGATAATCCCAATATCCTGAACCGACTATAGGATAATATGTTTATCCCATACCAATCTTGGTCATCTGGTTCACATTGTTCAATCGTGGAAATATTCTAGAATATTCATGTCCAGTTTTGTTTTCTTGGCCGTGGGCGGATTTTTCTGTTCTCTTAAATGTTCCCACATTTATGTTCTTGCATTTTTTAAGTGGATGCTCCTTCCATTTTTTAAACCATCAAACAGATCCCAATTGTCTGTGTTATCTCCATTGTCGTTTACAGTCATTACGCGAACGTTACAAATTATGAACAAATATGCGAGCGGCGATCATGACGTAGCGGGTAGATATACTATATCTGCCCGCTCGGAGCGGGACGTAAAGCTATATCTGCCCACTGATGAAAATATAAGTTTTTACAAACCAGCTTTATGTACCTGTAACACGTCCAAGTATGGGATAAAAATGTTTATGCTCATTTGTTTATAAATTCTCAAAGTTGATTCTGAAACACTAAATCTACAAAAAGTTTGAAAGTACTTGTAACCTTGTCTGCTTTTAGTAAATAATATAAGACCTTGGTGCCATCTCCAAACAAAATGTTCAAAAAGGCATGATTCCAAATTTCTTAATAACAAAATTGCCCTCAGCTCATATCAATTTGACTAAAACTAGATGCAAGAAGGAGGCTTTCAGAAAATAATTTAAGTAATCCACTCATTTCTTCATGCTTAATTATCCCACCGAACGAAGTTCGAGAGGGATATAGGAAAGCCGTCCATCCGTCCGTTCGTCCGTCCATCCGTCTGTTTGTCCGGGCGATAACTCAAATACCGTTTCACGGATTTGATTCAAATTTTATAGGCTTATGCCTTATGGGTGTAGGACCTCTACTCGAGAAGGAATTTTCAATATGGCCACTGAATTCAAAATGGCCAACATTTTTCGTAAAAAATGTAATCTTTAATAACTCAATATCTTTAATAACTCAAATACTAGTTTGCGGATTTGGTTCAAATTTTATATGCTGATGCCTAGAGACACAGTAGATATGTTCGAGTAAAAATTTTAGATTCTAGATTTCAAAATGGCGGCCATTTTTCGTAAAAAAACTTAATCTTTGATAACTCAAATACCAGTGAACAGATTTGGCTCAAATTTTATATGATAATGCCTAGGGACACAATAGATCTGTTCAATAAAGAATTTTCAAGATGGCAGCTTGATATTCAAAATGGCAGCCATTTTTCGTAAAAAAGGTAATCTTTGATAACTCAAATACCAGTGAACGGATTTGGCTCAAATTTTATATGATAATGCCGAGGGACACAATAGATCTGTTCAAGAAAGAATTTTCAAGTTGGCGGCTTGAAATTCAATATGGCGGCCATTTTTGTGAAAAAAGGTAATCTTTGATAACTCAAATACCAGTGAACGGATTTGGCTCAAATTTTATATGATGATGCCTAGGGACAAAGGAGATCTGTTCGAGAAAGAATTTTCAAGATGGCGGCTGAATTTCAAAATGGACGCCATTTTTCGTAAAAAACGTAATCTTTGATAACTCAAATACCAGTGAACAGATTTGGCTCATTTTTTATATGATGATTCCTAGGGACACGGTGGATCTGTTCGTGAAAATATTTTCAAGATGGCGGCTGAATTTCAAAATGGTAGCCATTTTTCATAAGAAAAAACGTAATCTTTGATAAGTCAAATACCAGTGAACAGATTTGGTTCAAATTTTATATGCTGATGCCTAGAAACACAGTAGCTCTGTTCGAGAAAAAAATGTTAAGATGGCGGCTGATCTTCAGAATGGCTGCCATTTTTCATTTTCATTTTCGTAATCTTTGGTAACTCAACTGCCGTTCGGTGGGATTTGCTACTCCGTGGAGTTGCTGTTTTTCTAGTTTTAAACCAGAAAATAGCATAACATGAAGACATTTGCAAGTTGTCAATATAACAATGACTTATTTAAGAGCTAAATTTGCACGAATGTTGCTGAAAGTATGTATGAATAAAAATGATAACAGGTGTTGGTTTAATTTGATTTGCAGGATGGAAGCCCAGAAAACTCGGAGGATGAAGAGGCAGACTCTCCTCCTGTTAGAAATCAACCAACATCTACAGCAATTCCAATGACCACTCTCTCTGCTACTAAAACTAACTGACTGAGAAAATACATGAATATTTTGGATTTTCCAGGAGGAATTTAGCAGTCCTGAAACATCAGAGGGAGATGGTCCTGGGAGTCCAGTTACTAGTCAGCCAAAGAGTACTACCATTCCAATGCCCCCTCCCTCTGATCCTACAGCTGAGAGACAAAACATAGACACAAAAGGACAGCCGAACTATGGGGCAGGAACTGGAGACCCTCTTACCACCCAACCTTAATGAAAATAAATTGTAATGGAAGTTTTCCACATGTATGTTGATTCAAGCATAAACTCATGTTGGCTTGACTCAATAGAATGTGTTCATTTTATAGCTAAGTAATATTGTGGTAGACATTCTACCTGGCCAATACATGCAATATATTACACTTCAACTGCATGTAAATTTACAGTTCTTACTAGGCTAACATTTGGCTTTGGGGATACTTATACTTAATTATCAAATATTTGTCAAATTGGCATGTATAAAGTGTATGCATGTAATAAGTGAATTGTAAAACCGGTCTAATCCAAGCATCAATGGGACCAGCAGAAATTTTTCGGATTAGCAGGTGTTCACACTGAAAGTTTTAGTATATGAGTCATTGGGAGATACCAAAAATGGGACTAGGAAATGGTGTTCACATTGAGAGGTTTTCACATTAGAAAGATGTTTGGATATATAGGTTTTACTGAATATGTGACTTCTGACCAGGCAAAATGTCGACCACTTCAATAGACCATAGTACTGACTGCATGACTGTATGTATGTAAATATTAGATATATTATTAAAATTAATATTAATGACATGATGGAAGTTAAGGTCTCAAGGTAGTGACTTGAATCATTGTAATAAGCATAAATGTAATCAAAGATTGTACAGTAGTTCTTCAGAAAACAAATCCCTCACATCTGTGTTGTAAAAATGTTTTTATTCATAACTTATTTTTAATTCGATTGTATTTGTAAGTCATTCTTGTTCTTGTTAAAGCTGGTGCTTTTTTATAATTCATAAGTTAAGACCATGTAAAACAATATAACCTAGAATTGCAAATGAACCTAGAATAACCTAGAATTGCAATCTTCCAAATGGCCCATCAAGCTACTGGCAATGCAATGGCTGACCTATTTGAAGTCCACACACAAAAATACACTTAGAGACATTCTTAAAAGAAACCATTTACAATATTTAGTTGAACACATGTCTCCATTTGAATTGGATGCAATTTTCGGAATTCAATTTTGATCTCAATAGAATTCAATTCTGATTTCTGGATTAAGTTAAAATAGTTTACCAGCTGTTAACAAATGCAACTTAAAATGCAAGCTTCTGATATAGCATAATGCTGAAATCCAAGTGTCTTTAATTATATTACTAATAAATATGTACAAGTATCACTTTTTGTCCATGTATATAATACAGAGTTTTTGTGGAAAAAAGAATATCCGTGTCCCCTGTAATAATATTGTTATAGTACACTTGTCTGTATATGTATTAATAATTATTTGCAAGCTTATTTAATGTAGCCATGATTCTGGCATCTGTGATTGATCGTTCTAAATGTTTTTGCATTCTGAAGCAGTAGAGCAACCATTTCCATGAGCATGTTGTACAAGTACACAAGTACACATGGGTTATAAATCATTTCCCTGTGTGAGATGGAAATGTGTTTCATTATTGGATTAGCCAGGTTGAAGTTTCTTTGATCTTATTCGAAACATATAGGTTTGGTCACATATTTTCTAAGCTTTTTAAATATTTCATATTCATTGTTTTTCACTTTTTAGATATCTCCTTATATGGTATATTTTCCTAGGCAACACCATACACTTCAAGGTTGCAAGTGGAAAACAATGATTACACATTTTGACAAAAAAAGTTTCATAAGGAAGGATCTTTGAGGAGTTACATAGCCACATAATTCTTTGTTCGAGAGCTTTTTCTCAAAATGCTTTCGTAAATACTTTATGGGGAATCCATTTAACCCAGCTGTGTAACAGGATTACAGGTACCTATATTATATTAGCACTCTCTATCCAACATATGATTACATTGGAATCTATCTATTTATATTTTAATGTATATTGATATTGTGTTGTATTATTGTAATACTTTATGTGTCACTTATGCTCATCATGGCACATTTCAATAATGTTATTTTTCCTAAACAGCTTATTCTTTGACCATCTGATGTGTGAACATTAACTTAATTCAATTTCAAAAGACCAAGGTCAAAGGAGATTTTTGAGTAGGTATTTCAAAATAGAAACATAATGAATAAGCTTTTTAAAATTCCAAACTTGTTCTTTTCACATATACTTTCATTCATTAGTTGTTTACTGAGGCAATGCTGTATCACACCTGACACTATAGTTGCATTATGCCAACATTATATACCATTGTCCCCAAAAGGAGAAACCGTACACAGTTCTTTTGATTGCCATATAAAGTTCTTGCACCAAAGAGCATTTAATACTGTATGAGATTGTGAATGTGTCCAAGGGAATGCTAAACATAAATAAATACACTAAAATATAGTTAAGACACTGGGTTTTTACCTGCATTTAAATAGTATGTTTAACTCCCTAGGTTCACAGAGCGTAGATGACCTAATACATTGTGGTGGTGTTGCATGTTGAACCACCTGACAGTTATATCAGTGTACCCGACATGTGCAATAAATATAATAAAAACACACCAATTGTGTACCATTAAAATATGAGCCTTATGTTCAGTATGAGTTTGATCTAGTTAGCTCATGCACATGGTGAGCTTGTCCATCATCAATATACTGTAGGTGGAAAATCAGTTGCAACACACTAATTCCCTTTAAAACAGTTTAGAAAGTGCTGTAATGCAGGAATAAATCCCAATACTTTTTATGAACCAACTTAGGGGTAAGAAGTCAAAACGCAAGAATTTTTGGGAAAATTAACAATGCTTTATTTTCAATCCCATTTCTGCTCTTGGGCCCATAGGTTGCAGCATTTAGGCTTATGGGCCATGTAAACCTGCACAGAATATGCAAATTAGATAGATACATACATTATTATATGTATTTATATATATGTATGATATATATATACAATCATGGAATATGTTAATTAGATAGACTAGATACATGTATAGAACTAGATACATAACAATTAATTTATTAGTTGGCATAGAATATGTGATTAAATAACAATAATTCATGAATATCCTACATTCAGATATCTATGAATATGCTTTAATTTATGAGATATATGTGTATTGTATGTTATGTTATATATGTATGTATTTGTATATATCTTCTAAGCTGGTCCCCAGTCCCCAGTTCCCAGTTTGAGATACCTAAAGTCCATTTCACTGCTTCATTTCGTCAGTAAAACGGCAAAAATAAGAAATTGGGAGACCATTGTGCAATAATATATGGAAAAGTTTATTCATAATGTACATGAATGACATTTGTATATCTTGGATTGCTTCTAGTTTGGCTTATAAAGTGTGTGGCCTCTTATATTTGGATGTTTCTCTGCCATGTTATTTTCAATAAGATTAACATGGCTGAAATTCTTCAAATTACAGGACGGCACAGGCTTATTGCACAAAAAACTAAAAAATCTGAAATATACAAATGTCATTCATGTACATTATGAATATACTTTTCCATATATTATTGCACAATGGTCTCCCAATTTCTTATTTTTGCCGTTCTACTGACGAAATGAAGCAGTGAAATGGACTCTATATTGTTATATATAATATGTATGTATTTGTATGTATCTTTTAAGAAAGTCCCCAGTTCCCAGTTTGAGATATCTATATGCTATATATAATATGTATGTATGTATTTGTATGTATCTTCTAAGCTGGTCCCCAGTCCCCAGTTCCCAGTTTGAGGTATCTATATGTGATATATATGTATGTATCTGTATGTATCTTTTAAGAAGGTCCCCAGTCCCCAGTTCCCAGTTTGAGATATCTATGTTTGTGTATATATGTATTTGTATGTATCTTCTAAGTTGGTCCCCAGTCCCCAGTTCCCATTTTGAAATATCCATGTTAAAGTATGTAAACTATTTTAAAGTAAATTTTAATCATTTAAGATTCATCTTGATCCATTCTCTTTCATGAGTTGATAGCACTGAGGATGAATCCTACATAAAACCTCATTTAGATGTGATTTAAAACATGGAAATATAAGTTGTGTACAGAGAAAATTAAAACATAATCATATTGACCTTTTATATCAACTTCTCTTATTGCATGTTTAATGGTATAGACTGGACTGGTGTAGGTGGAAGAGTCATCTAATAGCCATTAAGTTATCGTGTTTACATAACACTTTAAATTCAAGAACAGCCAGATTTTATTTAGGCAGAACTTCAATGTCTATCTGATATACATGGAAAACAAAATATGTGAAAATTATAAAGATTGACCTTTTTGTTATCATAGTCACAAAAAGTTTAACCTTTCCATATAGACTGTAGGGTTGACGTCCTGGATATTTAGGAGAACCTGTAGAGGATTGGTATCAATTATATGGTGAACTTTTTGAACACACGTTTCTCTAAAATCGGTCATCAAAAAATTCTAAAGATATTACACATCGTCAATTTAATGGTCATCTTTTGAATGGTAACAATATAATTTGAAAAAAATTTATATACATTTCTCTATATTGTTTTAGAAAACACATCAAACACTTCTTTTGTTCCTGGTATCATATGCTAAGAATGAAATTAAACATCTTTCTGAACCTCATTGGAACAAAACGACATAAATACAACATGTTTAGGTCTCTCAATATTGCAATTGTACAAAGGAAATTTTGGTTGATTTTCAAAAAGTATCTTGTTAATGAAATAAAAGGTTTATCTTGATTTCTATCTATTTTTGGGGGGTTTTGTTTTACTTTTTTGAATACTTTTTTAAAATCAACCAAAAAATTCTTTGTATTCAAACAAGGTTCAGAAAGACATTTATTTCCTTCTCAAGAATTGGTAGAAAGGAGCAAAAACAACTGCACTAAAAGACAAAAAATGTTAACAAAAACAGTTCTATAAGATATTTCTAATACTTTTACTTTCTGAATTTCCAAAGTTGGAGCGATATTACACTCTTTACAATGGAGTTCCTTAATTGAAGTTGGATTCCAAATAAGCAAACTTGGAGATAGATATGTTTCTGGAACTCCAGTTATTTGCAGCTCATTACTTTTAAAAAGTACTGATGACCTTTGATTCTTGCTTTTTTATAACTATCTAATTTTGCTTCAATATATTGAAAAGGTAGAGAATTCATAATACATTGTAATACATTAGACTGAAAGTTTCTGAAATTGACTCTATTTAAAATCAGTATCAAGATAAGACATAAAATGATCCATCTTAAGTAGACATATATGTTTGGTTAAGTAACAGCTTATCAGCTTTATAGTGCTACATATAACTGTATAATTCTTTTCCAATCTGGAAAGCATCTGTGTTTCTTGTCAGTGTTTGGGTTGACAGCAGGTTGACAGATTATTTAGGATTAGATGTAGGTTATGGGTTTGTCTCATTACTGGAGTCTTGACTGAATTAACTGTTTTCCTCTAGAAGATACTGGCTGATTCAATGTAAATATATAATTCAAAGACAATTTTAAAGAGTTCTTTAAAGTTAAAGTACTGTCAAGTCTGGAGTAAAGTTAAAATTTCTATAATGAAATATGAAGTATAAAAATACAATATTGGAATCACTTATATTTTTAGAGACTATGACCATTTCCGCTTACCATTTTTGACTTATATACATGTACCTATCATAGGCGTAGCCAGGAGGGAGGGACGATGACCAATAAAAATAAGAGCTTTAAAATGCATTTTATTTGAAGCTTCTAGCTTAGTATTGAGAGAAATAGCAAAAATTTGGCGATTTCCCCCCCCCCCGACTGAAAGCTGGCTTAGCCCCTGCATATATTTGCAATAAAAAAAAACATTAGAATGATGTCTTGCTACTGAAGGCAAGAAGGCAATCAAATACGATTGATTGGAGCATGGACTGCCACGATTTATGTTACAATGTTATCAAGTGACTTTTTGCATTTGTATCACTGCTAGTGAAGTGAGCCCAAAAAGCGGAGGTACGGGGGTTCACCCGAGGTATTTTTAAAAAATCTACACTGTATAAGGTACACTGTATAAGGTACATTCTACATATTTCACCCCCCTCCTGGTTGCGCTAATGTCTTTTATTTCCACATATAGGATAACATTTAAAAACAGAAATAACATTTTTCAAATTTAAAAGTCCTCAATCAAAATCAAGTATTAAGCAATGCTGTTAATTAAACTCACTAATTCTGACTTTCTGTACCTGTTAAAGTGTGGATGTAACCTGATATTTTAATGCGAGTTGCTAGCAACTTTAAAACTGGCCTTTAAATATACAAGTTTAATGTTAAATGTTGTTCTCAAGTTCGTGTAACTGATACCTACCTCTGGTGTGCTCATGTGGCCAGTATGAACACACATATAAAATTTCAATTCAAAGCATAACATTAGTCCTAATCTCTTGTGTCACTGAGATGTTATTAATGGCCAAGCAGGTTTCTGAGATTTAATGTGTTTCATTCATTTCTACAAGAACTCACACATTCTATATATTAAGTCAGTGTTCTCCCCCCAAAAAAAATTCCACCTGGGTGCAAGTTTTCAAGTCTGAAAAAATCAGTGCTCGCTACGCTCACAATATCTCTGTGTAGGTGCTTACTTAACTCATTTTTTAAATCAGAAGTTGAAGTGCAGGATGCCAACTGGGGGGCCTTTGGTTTCAAGTGGGGGGGGGGGGGTGACATGACATGTGACTAAGTGATATGATATTTTTGATTTAGTTTATGTTCATAGGATTATCCACATTCTCATTTATTGATTCTTAATCTTTATTTATGGAATTTCCTGAATCCTTGTAATGAGTATTATTCCTTCTCTGAATAATTTTTGGGTGGTCAGTGTAACATTTTAGGCTAGTTGTGGCTGCTATGGGAACATGAACACTTGTGCCCTGGAGAAGCAGCTCAAATGTCTTCATTGATAGGGAATCAATCTTTTTCTATGTTTTTTTATATTTATTTACCTATCTAAAATATGCAATGTATTAGATCAGATAGACAAAAAATATAACACCTTCATTATGTACAAGCAGCTCATACCCGAACAGAAGAATAAAAATCTGTACAAATTGATTGATAAAAAAACAGGTTTTAAAATGCTCATAAATATTAGATACCTTATACATGCAATACACTGGAGTAATACTACTCAGATAACATTTTGGTTATTTTACCTTGATATTTAAGAACAATTGTTAAATACATATAAATATTAGATTTAGAATTGTACTTTTTCGTTACGATGTTAAATTCATTTCATATTCTGTCAATGTTAATTACATATACCTACATATAGATATCTCAAACTGGGAACTGGGGACTGGGGACCAGCTTAGAAGATACATACATACATACATATAACATTCATAGATATCTCAAAATGGGAACTGGGGACTGGGGACCAACTTATAAGATACATACAAATATATATATATACACAAACATAGATATCTCAAACTGGGAACTGGGGACTGGGGACCTTCTTAAAAGATACATACAAATACATACATATTATACATGTATATAGCATATAGATATCTCAAACTGGGAACTGGGGACTGGGGACCTGCTTAAAAGATACATACAAATACATACATATTATATATAGCATATAGATATCTCAAACTAGGAACTGGGGACTGGGGACCAGTTTAGAAGATATATACAAATACATACATATATAACATGTATAGAATACACATATATCTCATAAATTTCTCAATGTAAGATATTCATGAATTATTGTTATTCAATTAACATATTCCATGCTTGTATATATATCATACATATATGAATACATATAATAATGTATGTATCTATCTAATTTGCATATTCTGTGCTGGCATATAATATACATTTGCATAAATATGTAGATATATGTATATATGCATAAATATATAGATATATGTATGTATACATATACATATATGTATCTATCTAATTTGCATATTCTGTGCTGGTTTACATGGCCCATAAGCCAGCATTTACTAGATTTGTCTGAATAGCACATGTCATTATGAAAAGAGTTTACTTATATTCTTTATACATGACCCTGATGATGAACAGACAATCAATCAGAAAATCTGAACTGCAAAAGTACTCAATATGTTAATTAAAAGTGGAGCAACTTTTTTTTTATATTTCTTACATCAAATGGCAGTTATCTTGTTTTTCCTCTTTCAAATTAAACTGGCGTGAAAATTTGAAAAAAATTAAAAAGCTAAGATATACATGTATTTCAAAAATATGAGTTTCTTTTCAATCCTTCATATGTCAGTTATTTCTACTTTGATTTCATACATGTTGCCATTGGTGTTTTTTCCTATGATATGCCAATTTGTTGTTAAAAAATCCTTAAGCTCTAGTCCCCACCTGGTGCTTTGATTGTGATAACATAACAAAGTCATACTTTACATTTATATAATCAACAAATCTTCAGTAATTTATTAAATACCTGACTGACAAGTCACATATTCATTACAAAATCAACAAAGTATTTATTTTTTACATGTGCAATTCTCAATCCACACAACAATCATGGGAATCCCTTCCTGTTTTCAAGCTATATAAATGTTTCTCTATGAACTAATTTGAAAAGCAGATATCCTACTATAATAGACATGTAATACTGAAAAGTGAAGTTGGTGCCTCTGATATCTAATATCAATCTCATTTCATCTCTGTAGCAGGATTTGTAATATATGTGGACAATGGTACAACGGGTTTGGTATATCTATTAATAATTACATTCAAAGTGAACATTTCGAATGCTTCAATTTACTTCTACAGCAATCATTAATGTTCACTTAATTATTCTGAAGAAAATTACACACACATTCTTGCATTACAATACATATATTTGAAGATTCTGGGGAGCTTTTTTCTTATAAGCCCCATATCTTATACAAGGTGATTCATGGGAGAATTCCTCCATTGCACTCTACAAAGGATTTCAATAGGATGGAAGAAACAAGTTCTTTTCCATATAATAAGAAATACTGCAATTAATAAATTGAGGGTCATACAGCAATTCGATAAGTCTTGCATCAAGCCTTTCTGTAAAATGCCAATGGCCTTAACACCTTTGCCTTCTGCAGTCATTAATTTCTATTCATTTAAAAACTTCTGACTGGAAATACATTTCAAATTCAGTGATTCACACATGCATACTAGGTGTTAGAGGTGCTATGCCCACATTATGGCAGACCAGTTTTAAACAAACAATTAGCGCTCCCTAGCTTTGAGGTCAAGAAAGACTTGATGCAAAGATCAACCTTTACTCTGGAAGACACAGCTAAAACAATGAGACGACTCACAATATATACGCACATCCTTTAATCTAATTGCTGCCACCATTTCTATCGCAACAATGTATTTTATATCAAGGTATTATGCATGGTTCAACATCAATATGATTACAAATGTATGGTTTGGCTGTTATATAAGAGATTGGACTAACTGGGGAAGAAAAACTGTTATACTTGTTATGAACTATTCTGCCAAATACTACTAATTATTATTTATATTAGAATACACTGTATAGTGATTATATTGTTAGCAAAATGGTGATGCTGTGGGATCAATTGTTTTAAATAAGTCCTTTACATTAACATTGGGGTCAGAATTTGTGTCCATATTTTGTAAGCCATTAAGGGGGGAGACGCGAGCTTGAGTCTCGTCATAGTTAGATGATGTTAATGTAGGGGGTGCTGGCATATTGGCAACTGTTACACTCACATCAGTGTCCATAGCTGAATTGTCTTTCACAGTTTTTGCTTTTTCAGATTTGAGAGGTTTCTTGTTATAAGCTGTATTATTTGGTGGTCGATTGTAAGTTGAATAACTAGATTGTCCATCTTGTTTTGATTCAGCACCTAGGGGGGAAGCATAATCCATGCTCCCTTTCCTCACTCCTATGTAACCCTTCCTCTGCTGAGAGGCATCATTTTCATTATTCCCTGTTGAGGATTTTTTCTTGATTTTGAACTTAGCTCCTGATCTATAGTCCCTACTAGTTGATGGATCTGTCTTGGGAGAAATGCTCCCATCATCAGAGTCCTTTTTGTCTTTCTGAGCTCCCCATAGTAGTTTTGGATCAACTTGTGCTTCCGAATCATCCCCAGATGATCCTTCTTGTAGGCTTTGTTGCCGGTCAATAAATGGCTTGAGGGAAGGTCTGGAAGAGGGAGGGGGAGCAGTGGTTCGATGAACTGTAGGGGGATTGGCTTCTAACAAAGGTGGCAAGTCTCGCGGACTTGAGTTTGGGGCATTAGGACTCTGATTGCCCGATCTAGGATCAGTTGCACCAACATTTCTCAGCCTGGGATCTGTATTTTGCTGCAGTCTGGGGTCTTGAGATTTGTTCTGAAATCTTGGATCTGTATTCTGACCTTGAGATGGGGAGTCATTATTGTTCTGTAGTCTTGGGTCAGATCTAGTCCTTGGATCATTGGGTTTGTTTTGGGATCGTGGATCATTAGGTTTATTTTGAATCCTTGGATCTACTCTTTTGTTCTGGTTTCTGGGGTCATTAGGATTAGGCATAGACCTGGGGTCCTGCGGTCTTTGTGGTCTGGTCATGTTCTGCATTCCTTGGGACATTCCAAATCCTTGATTTCCTCCCATGAATCCTTGGGCTCCTGGACCCATTCCCATTGGAGGTCGGTTGGCAAGCAAAGGGTTAAAAGGGGGCATTATGGGATATCCTGGGGGAGGTTGACTTAAATTAGGCATTGAGATAGGAGGGTTAAAGTTAATTTGACCTTGTGACTTTGATAATCTGGGATCAGGTACTATGTTCTGTTTAACCTCAGCACTAGATCTTCTCACTGGTTTTTCAGCTTCAGGTCTGTATTCATTGGCATATTTTTCTATTCTAGGGTCCTTTCGATATTTTGGATCTTCTGGATTGACTGTAAAATGGGGCTTATTTCGCAAACTTAGGGAAATAGCTATGAGTTTATAAGAGCCATGGTAGCGCTCAGCGGGTGCTTCCTTTATTGGTATTTCAACTGGTTCTGGGCGGGGACTAGTAATCTCAGCTGGCTTAGTCCTGGGATCAGATATAGGTGGAGCCATTCGTGGGTCCTTTGGCTTGTTGCTGTTAGTTGAATCTTGTCTGAAATCAAAGTTTTGAAGTTTCAGTTTTCATTCATAAGATTTTATTAATTACAATTTTTCAAGTGTTACCACTATTGCTGAATGGGTCTTGAAACTACCAATAGGTGTCAGGGTTTTCTTCACTATTGACGGATTCTTTACTTTGGCCGATAAAAGGTGTCAAATTCATATGGAAGTGCAAAGTGATAAGTTTTTAAATGAATTTATGTCCAAATATGTACACTTTAGACTTAAATGACTTACTCAGGTCCATGTCGTATTATTGAAAGCATCTTCCCAATGTCAAAAGTTGGAAGGTGAGATTGATTAGCACCCTGGGTTGAGTTGGCTTGGTTGGACATCTGGGACATGGGAGCCTCTTTAGATTCCTTCGTTGGTGCATTATGTGCTAAATTTTTTAAGACATCTGCAAGTTTTGGTTTCGATGCTGCGTCCTCATCACTTGAATACCAGTTATCATCATTCTCATCTGAAATTACATTTAAAGCTAAGTATTAATAGCTGACAAAGAAATTGTTCTCAAACATAGGTTAAAATACTGTCATTCCTGACTACAAAAATCAATCTGTTTCCCAATACCTTTGCTTTCATTGTTTTCTTGCTTCTCCTGATTGGGTGACTTCTGTTGATTCTGGATACGCATAAGGAGGTCCTTCTGAGTCTGAGGGAGGTTTGTTGGGATATCAAAGTCTGCTTTGTCCTCAGTGTTTTCTAAAACAACACCGATAAATGTCTTCAATTTTCCTCTGGGCAAAGATAGTTAAAAATCCGATTACAATGGTATCTGATTGACTTTGGATCTTTTTATAGGATTTTCTGAAGCACATTTTCAATATATCTACAGATCCCAGAATTCTAAAGGGTATCTTCAATGTGGATTTTGCCATGAAAGGATGAACAAAGATTTGTGAGAAAAACTGTTAACACTTTTAAACGCAAAGCTTGGAAGTACAATAATTAGCTTCATACCAGGGGTACCTCCACCAGCCTCCTCATTTGTTTGTTCAGATGGTGCCATCTGTTGGCCACTTTGCTGCTGGCCCCCCTGGTTGTAGAAGTTGTTATAGAAGCCCTGGGCCTGGGCAGCTGCTGCCATGGTCAATGCAGCACCCAAGGGACTATTCATCATCATACCCAGGGGATTGGGAACATTAGGACGCATTGGGGACATTCCCATTCCTGGGGGCCCCATAGGACCTCCTGGTCGGGCTGGTGAACTCATATCAGCATAGAAATTTGGCCTAAAATTAAAAAAAAAAATAACAAATGAACCTTAAGATTTAGGTGAAATAAATGATTAACAAAGGTGACTTTCTTGACATTGAGAATCTTTGAAGCTAATTAATTGCCTACATTATTTGAGAACTTTTTTGTATCAATTATACAAAATACTAGATATAGCATTGTGTGATGTCTATAAAAAATAACTCAAATATTGGCAATGATGGATCATACATTTTTATGAAGCTACATTTTTAATGATTTGGAGAAAGTACACAAAACATCAAATTGATTGTCGTTTTTGGGTCACTCTGTATATTAATATGGCAATTAGCCGATGACCTTTTTTCCATATATTTGTCCCCTAATTTAATGTATTTTCAACGTATCCTACCTGAGCATTCTATTTCCCATTTGTGCCATATTATTGCCACCCATATTGCCACCACTGCCACCCATATTGCCACCCATATTGCCACTGTCTCCTGCACCCGATTGGTTGTTCATAGCTGTCATGGGTTTGTGGGGACTGGTACCAGGAGCAAATGTTTGGATATCAAACAGAGAAGGAATCTTCTTCTGTGCCTCAAGTTTAGCTTGAAGTTCCTCTGATAGTCTCGGAGGAGATCCTGAAACAACACAAAACTTTTTAAAACACTATCTAAGGTGACACTTTGAGATATTTTGTCATAATTATACACTTAGTGTTCTTTTGTGATCACACAAAGGTGGCCTTCAAAATTTTTGGGTTTTCCAAGCAAATGGACTGATTTCAAAATGTTAAGAGTGTTTTTAAGGGGTGCATGGAAACGAAGAACAGCTTGGTTTGGCCATGTTGGATGAATATTAAGGCAGCCATTTTGGATTTTAAGATTTTCTATACTTTGTCTCAAATCTTGTCTACTTTACAGTATGTGTCAGCATTCCAAACAAACTGATCAATGGATTAATTTGAAAATGTCATGTTACTGCAAATTGTTACAAAAAGGTAATATCTGTCACAAATGGCAAAATGTGAGCCAGTCAAAATTACTTCTTGGTGGACGGTGGTGACATAATAAATCGATATCACCATGCATATGAGTAGGAAATCAACTAGTTGCAGATATCAAAATTACCAATGTCACTCTTTTAATCTGATATCAGTGCATTTGTATTTGAATGCTATAAAATGTGTTCTAGTAGTAGTTATTAGTAATCATCTATCAATATATACTCCCACTTCCAAAAATGTCAGTAGTGTTAATGAAATTGAACATACTTTTACCTAGCAAACTATTTTTCTTTTTCGCCTTTCTTTCCTCATCAATTTCCTGGCGAATCTTTTCTATAATTGGTCCAGTGACGTCATTTAGTGGCTCATGGGAGAATTTACAGTCATCCCCAGCAAAACAGCGCTTGTCTTCCAAGAAGAAGTACTTGCATGGATAATCACGTACCAGTGAGTTAAGAAAAATATGAGTCACTTATTATTTGTAATTTGTATTTGTAAATCAAATTTTATCTAATTCCTTCAAATTCAAAAGAGAAACACAAATTGAAAATATAAACCAATTGTATTTTGTTTTAAGTCACGAAAAACTCTCTAAGATGCTTGTTAACTTTGAAAATGCTCTCAGCTTGACACAACAAGACCTCTTGTCATGTGTTTTAAAAAGGATATCATGCATGTAGACACAATTCTCCCCCTTCTGACAAATACTGGTGATGTAGAACTTGCACAATTCTGGTCTCTTGATCAGCTCACCATTGTGGTCAAACTGGCACTCATCCCCCTAGAATAATTAAATATGATTATTGAAGAAGGAAGAGCAGAACAAGGAAATAATAGTTATATCTTTAACATCTACAATGTGCTTATGGCTTATGGGGAAATATGAAGCACTATTTATGGATTGTAGCAGACTGGGGGTTATTACTTTAACTATTAAATTCATTGTTGTATGTAGCCATGGATATCCTGAATTATCATTATACTACAAATAGATTTATGAACTCAAAAAATTAGGAATATCTATGAAAATCTGGCCAAGTTGATAAAACTAAACATAGCATTTAATGATACAAAAGGTGGTCACTCGTTGAACTTCAAGTCAATCTTTGAGACCAAGACTTCTCATACTCTGCAACAAATATTAGAAATCATTTGCTTGTTGCCATGGTTAGTTGGTTACAGATATCGGCAAAAATCAGAAACTTAACAAAGTAATCTTCGGATTGACTTGAAATTAGTGTCACCAAAAAGTTGGCAGTCTTAACGATGTGTTAACACCTTTTGCAAATTTGAAAAAATGCATTGAATATGTTAGCATCTTCAATAACACAAATTAAATACAACCAGGGGTGTAAGTCAGGATAAAAATGAGGCAAAGAAAATGTGAAGATCTTATGACTTCATTTTCAAATTTTTGGGCGAAAAAATGTCTGAACAAATGAGAATTTCTGTTAAATTTTGGTGAGGCTGCCTCACATACCTCTTGCCTGACTACACCCATGTTAGCATTGGTTCATGCAAAAACAACAAACTAAAACCAGCAAACTTTTTTACAAAGGATTATTGTTAAATCTCCCACTAACACTCTTTGTAACATGATAGAGCTAGAACATCATAAGCACTACACAGCTGAGAGTCCTAGGTGTAGTATGTTACAAAGAGTGGACATAAAATCAAATATACCTGTTGTACATGATTCATGTTGCAGTGGTTGCCCTGTGTAGAGTAAGCGTGAAAAAAAGGGAAACATATTTTAGTAATCATATCTACAATTTTCAGTACTCTTGCGCCTATCTAAAATGGATTCAGTTGATGGAACAATGAAATAAATAGTGCCACGGGTACTTAGCCCACACTGACATGGAGAGCAATCTTAGCTGCTATTCGCTATTGTTTCAATACACAAAACGATGCATTCCAGTCACACTGTAAAATGTCACGGACACTATTCACAATATACTGAAAGGGGAGTTAAAATAGCTCATAATGTGAGCTAAAATGCAATAAACAATGCCTGAATAATACTACTATTATAGGTAATAATAATTATGCATGCTTTGTTAGGTTTACAAAAAGTATGCTTAAAACAAAGCATGGATCTGTTGTTTCATTAGAATCGGTCACATTGGAGAAAAAAACATTTGCAATCCATTGTAATCTAACAATGTGTACTGCAATCCATTGTTATCTAACAATGTGTACTGCAATCCATTGTAATCTAACAATGTGTACTGCAATCCATTGTAATCTAACAATGTGTACTGCAATTCATTGTAATCTAACAATGTGTACTCCAATCCATTGTAATCTAACAATGAGTACTGCAATCCATTGTAATCTAACAATGTGTATTGCAATCCTTTGTTATCTAACAATGTGTACTGCAATGCATTATAATCTAACAATGAGTACTGCAATCCATTGTAATCTAACAATGTGTATTGCAATCCATTGTAATCTAACAATGTGTACTTTCCGATTCTACATCTCAAAAGATCCACAATTTCTTATTAAATGGTGCAATTATTTAAAGGCAGAAAATCAAAAATTACAAATGTGGCTATATATGGAAAAAAAGGATTCTAGTAGTATCAAGAAAGATTTTGAAAAATTGAATGCTCAACATGCTCTAAGAACCACTCATGTCCTTACAACTTCTCATTTAAAAGCTCTAACCTTTTGGCAATTTCCTTCAAGGTAAAATTTACATATGCCAATTTTGCCAGTATTGCCACCATCTCCCCCTCTCCTTTGGTTCTGCCTCTCTAAATATTGCCGTCGTTTCTCAATTTTCTTCTGTGAGGGTTGCTTCTTGCCTCCACGCTGTTTTTTCTCATACATTCCACTTGGTGCTTGTTTCTCAGATGCAGCTACGCTGGGATCAAAGTAGTTGTCATTCACCATGCTTAACATACTACGCTTACCCCGAGAATCATCATACCTACAAGCAACACTCACCACTGAATTATAGTATTTATAATATATTCATGTAATAGTAAATTTTGGCAAAGACTTGTAGCCTATGTCACTGGCAGTCTGATATTACTTACCCATTTGCTTCAGTGTCAGATGGACTGTCATAAGGACCAGGTGGACTCTGATATGGACTATCATATGGTCCTGGTGGACTCTTGTATCCAGAACCATAAAGACCTCCTCCACTGAAAATAAAATGTTTGTGTCTATTTTATTTTAATACCCTATGGGCTCTGTACATAGCACCTATTTCTCAATGACTAAGATACAGTTTTCATTATCAATAAAAGTACATGTAATACAACTAAGACAGTTATTGAACAACTTAAAGATAAAGCCACCTTCCTGATACACACAAGTTGACATCATTACAAGAACTCCCTTTGTACCATGACTACATCTAGCTTACCCATAGGACTTTGAAGTTGTGGCATCTCTCTCTGGGGAGGCATCAGGGCTGTCATAGGGACCTGGTGGTGAAGATCTCTTGGAACGTTTGTTGCCCCAAGGTTGCTGGGCATCAAGAGCAGCAAAGTCATTGTCTATGTGATCGTGATCAACATATCTGGGCCGCTTCTTGCTATGCCTGCTGCTTTTCTGCAATTATGATGACAACATAATTTCTGATTCTCTATGCAGAATTACTAAAATATTGGTCAATTATGGTCAAAATGTCAAGTTGATGAACAACATTAATAACAAACATAAAATAAGAAAGTTAGTTTTGTTAAGTGGAGGGATTAAATGATGGTTTCGCTGTAAATAGTGTTGATAATATTTTTGTGAAAGACAAATCAACATTTAAAAATTTATCTTAGACAAAGGTATGTCAAATCATAACAAAAATAACTTCGTTTTTCCAAGACAGTTGATAACTGAACCCCATCCTAATAATAAATAAAAAATTAAAATTTCGTTGGCAATTGTGTAATGACTAACATCTAACTTACCTTATGTTCCTTGTCATCTTTCTCTTTGTTCTTTTTCTTCTTCCTCCTCTTGCGTCTCCTTGATTGTTTCTCATCATCATTGTCAGACCCTGCTGCACTGTCCCCTCCACTTGGCATAGGGGCATCTGAAATGAAACTCAAACATATCAATCAAGTTAAAGGGGAAATAAAGAGGCACATTTGGGGTTCTCATTTCCAGAGGCTGCTGTCATTTGTATTCATTGTCATACATGGAGATGGAGTAGCAAAACCAAAGAAATAAATTATCTGTGATCTACTCTTTACACATTTCATTGGAATAAAACAAATGCATATTTTGTATGGATCTTTAAGTGATTCATTTGGGCAACCATTTTGAATTTTATGTCTTTTCATTCATTGGGACAATTAGACTTGAGAGAAATGTGTATATAATATATATATTGCACAAAAGTGCAAAATTTCAAAAGTATATAACTTTTGAGGGGTTCTTGGATTGGATTGATATTTAACAACTCCCCTCAGGGTAATACAACATGTGTCACAACATGTACCTGGTATACATGGTATATAGGGACAATTATAGGGTACAACAGTACATAGTACTGATTATCATGGATACATTTCTTTACATGCATTGTGGGACTAGGAATGTCATGTCACACTACATACAATAGGATTTGTTGATTAAGGGTAATATAGCACCATTGGCATGAAAAGTAGCGTACCAATTGACACAGGCATTAGGAAGTTTAAGGGAATACCAGGGTGACATTGGGCTAACTTATATTTGATCTAATATGTGTGATACCTGAGCTATCACTGTTTGCAATAGGGTTCAATTGGATTGTTCACTTGGCTGTGAGGCTTCTCCTTTAGGAGACAATGGGACACATTTGACATGGCTATTTATTGTGGCATCACATGGCCCCAACAAAACATACAGTGGCAACTTTATAGTTTTTAGAGTACAGGGTCCCTGTACATCTCAGGGATTGTTTTGCAATACTCTGTAGTATTTAAATGGGTTCAGGACAACATGTGCACAACATCACATGTATGTTTGGACTGAATGACTGGAGATATACTACAAGTATAAACCAGCCATATGGTGGGAGGGTAGATTACAGGGTATACCAGTTTCAACTTGGCATATAAATAGATAAGATTTGCATAGTGAAATGATATTTTTATCACAGATCATGACATGTTCACTACAAAGGTTATGAAACATGTTTTTGAATTTTAAACACAATACTCATGCATTTAAAAGGATTATACACGAATAGAAATTCACCATCCAAGAATATGGATAATATCAAATTTGGTGACATGTGTTTCTGACACATGGGGGCCTACTTAAAGGTCGGACTGATTAATAAGTGATTTACCAGAGAATCAAGTCAGCAAAAAGGTTGTATTATATCAATAAGCCCTTTTGGGTCATTGAAGGGCAAGAGTCATATTATTGTGATACAATCATTCCACAAAGCCACATTTTTTGATTGGTCTTGGACAAGGCGCAGGGTGGTGAAAGGATCAAATTTACCCAAAATATTAATATATAGATAGAAATGTGTTGGCAGAAGGACATAAAACACTGAACTTGGGTAGTTGGACTGTGGAAGACTACCTAGTATCTGAGAATTTAGCTTGGATTAAGTTTAAAGGTTTAGGATTAATGGGTACAATATAGAACACAACTGATAACAACACAGATTAATATAATAGACACCTTGTTCAGGAGCAGGGGGCATAGGTGGAGGGTCATCTTGTGGGAGGGGAGGAGGGACTTCCTCCTCAACCCCATCATCATCCAATTCACCATCCTCCAACTCTCCATCTTCCATTTCCTCTTCAACTTGCTCAACTTCATTGTCAACTTCCTTTTTTACTTCAACTTTAATGTCTTCTTTTATATCAACTTGTTCATTATGTTGTTCAATTTCCTTTTGAATTTCAACTAAACTTGGTTCAGTAGAACATTCTTCTTTTACCTTGGTAGTATCATCATGTATCTCAGTTTCATTTTCCATTTTAACAGTGTTCATATTTTCATATGCTTCCTCATTGTTTGTATCCTCTTTTATATTATATTGGTCACATTGAGTAACTTCAGATTCACTAAGTTCATGCTCTACATTTTCATGATCTACATCATGTTGTTCCTCTTCCAAGTTATCATCAGTTTGAATATTTGTTTCATCGACTGATTGTTCATGTTGGCTTTCATTGGCTGATTGTTCAAGATATTTAGTTTCATCAGTCAATTGTTCAATATCAGCCTCATCAGCTGATGGTTCTATGTCTAGGTTTCCATCAGTTTCAACAACATCTCTGAAAATATAACAAAATAAATGCATCATCCTATATAGATCTAGGCTGGAAGATAATTCTGATGACAAGTCACCAAAGTGTTTTAGGTTAGCTCCAAGTTTCAGTTTTTGTTTCAATATTAACACATTGGATGAAAATCTTGAAATTCTCTCTGAATCAGAATTTTAAGATTTACTTTAGTTTCAAACAGTTCTATGTAAACATTGCAAACATATGAAAATACTTAAAGTGGACGTGGTGCAATGAAGTATGAAAAACAGACTTTGAAATAAAATAAAATTATCTTTAACCTTTAAACATGCTAAACAGGTTATGTTACAAGTGTTACAATAAATTCATTATTTTGTTTGACATGAAGTTTGCTTTCAAATTAAAAGTACTTTTTAACATAAGATATGTCACTATGAACTGTAGCCTTGCCATTTAAACCAATACAGACCTTTGATCATTCTCCGTTGTTTCTGAGATAAACTCTTTATTTTCTATATCAGTGGTATGAGCTTGAATGTCATTTTCATATACAGCTGTAGTGGTACTTTCAGATTCGTCATCATCATCCACAGTTTCATTTCCAGAGTGAAAGTGTTCAGGTGTTTGCTGTTGATTACTGTCCATGGGTTCTGCATAGTCAGCATGCATATCAACATCATGTTCACTGGTAGTGTTAACTTTCTCAGTTCCCATACTAATAGGGACTTCAGAGTTGGCTATGTTTTCCTCCATATTTAATATTTCAACAGCAGTAGAAGTTTATCTAAAAAGAGAATTGTTTAAGAATAGAATAAATGAAAATTGCATCCATGAACATAGTAGACCTTCACACATAGCTAAGAAAGGTCTGTACGATAAGAGCCACCACTCCAAACACAGTATTTCATATAACTGCACTGCATTATATAACCAATGGCAATGACTCACCAAAGTTCATTCATTGAATGGTTGTCAAGGTGACAACTCTTCAGATTCATTTTGATACTTGACCCTTGCGAAAATTTCACTGAAAATATGTTTTTTTTGTGATTTTTAAGGTGATTCGTAGAAAATATTTTGCAATGCAAAAATAACTTAAGCCTAAGACGTGATGTTATGTGGCTGATTCATTCCACTCGGGTGTTATTTCCTTCACACTCAATGCTGTGCATCTCATGCAAAGGTTGAAATAACACCTTTTTGAGGAATTATTCAAATCCTTATATACCAAGATCATCAGTTGATCTTAAATATCTTATATAATGAAAAGAATAAATTTAATGACCTGCATTTTTTATTTTCACTGATTGCAGAAATCATAAACCCTCAACTAATGATCAAGGGACATTCATTTAAGGATTTAAGCCCTGGACTCAGTGCATTGTTTGCTGAATCATACCATGAAGGTGTTGTTTCCAAACCTTTGCATGACCATGTAGCGTGAATGCAAAGTTTAGGAAACAATGCCTGAGTATGAAGCAGCTACAATGCATTGGGTCTTGGGCTTAAATTCACAGATTGCAATTTTTTCTACAAAATCATCCAAAAGGAACAAAATCACTAAAAGAACAATTTTTTTGCAAGGGTCAAGTTGGCCAGTCATCAAATCCAACGTGAAAAGTGCATTCATCACCATCCAACTGTTTAACTAGTGACCTTGCATGTGTTACTGATATTTCACACACTTCTATGTCTGAAATACTGTGTTCTGATTGGCTGGATTCGGACACACCTTGCCTAGCTATGTGTGAATTACAGGAAGATGTAGACCATGCATGGTTAAGTTTAAGTGTACTAGAATAAAAAATAAGATGGGACTCAAAATTGGAAGCTTTTCAGAACATACAGAATGATTAGTTCTACTTTTCTTCAATGTAAACAATTATATTGACCATCAACTGAATTGATAAATCACAAGGAATAATGAAAAATATGTCCATTTTAGATACTTCTGTATGTTCAAAAATTTTAATGGCTTCCTAATTAGAGTACTAACACAGTATACAACTTTCAGTTTCACACAAAAAGTATGCAATTATAAAAAGATAATTTGATGAGCATAATAATTACATATGCAAAAGGAGAATATTCATTACATTTTATGATTTTTATGTAGACTACAGTGAAAAAGTAGGTCCCTGGTAGAACTGATTGACCCTCTAGGTATATGTACATGTTTTACTCTTTGAGCAAAACTGAAAGATGTGAAGTATGGAGAGAGTTATGTGTACCTGAAAATCACAAATCGGAGTCATTAAAATTTCTAAACACACGGACTACCTAAATTCAAAAGAAACATCTAGCATTTCAATGTTAGGACGTTGGACGAGTTAAATCAAAACCAAGGGGTGGTGGGTTAGAGGCACACCAGAATGTCATGATTGTGTTCAAAATTGAATAAGTCGATTCACTTTATTTATAAAAGTTTAGCAAATGATTTGTTCAGGTTGTCAGCTATTTTTATTTGAAATAATCAAACCTGTATTCCATTCTAGGTGTTCTATAAAATTTTAGATATAGTTGGTTTACAATGAATCACAGCATTTACAAAATGGATTGGTTGAATTTTCGCGCAAGGGGTGTTAACTTACCGAATGTAAAAACAAGGGAGATGACCCAGTTCGTTAATCAGCATACTGAACTTGATTCATAGTCAAATTGTATAGCATTAGAGGCTATATGTTGTGATACTATCAAACAATATAATGAAAAAATATACATCCAGTTTTCAGATTCTGCTGAACTCACAATTAGTGAAGGTTGAAGGAAATAGCTATTTTATACATGCCTTTGTGGAAGATAATAATACTTTTGAAGTATTAGAACGATCAGTTAAAATTTTGATTACGATTTTAATCATACATTTTCAACAAGCATTCTCTAAAATAATACCTAGGGTATGCGTAAACAATAATGTAACCCAACACCCCTTAACTTACATCAGTTACACAAAAGTCAGTGTTTGAACAAAGTTTCTTGCACATTAGTAGCAGATTCACGAATACTTTATGAGAGAAATAAGAGAAACTATCGAATGTGTAAATTCTGATGATTTATGTGTCGATAGAGGCTATGATTGATAAACGAGAGATATGATGATATATACAGTAAGCAAATGGTGTGTACCCAAACACCCCTTCTTCCCAAGTAAATACGTGTTATGGCCTCGTCCATTACTATTTGCTAAATGTGATCGAGTCTTCATGAAAATCTGTATTATTTAAAAGTTAATGGGAAAACATTATATATCTAGAGCATGCTTGTAAATTATGTCACATAGATCATGCAACAACGACTGAGCTAAATCGCTGATTGAACACTTCCAACACTGAATGTACGTGGCAAAATGGCGGCATCAGCCTCATTAGCATAATTTATGCAAGTTCGGTTTCCTTTGTTTCTACCGTGTTTTTTACCTTTCCTCGTCATATAGCGTATACTTTCCTGTTATGATAGTTTTTATTCTATTATAATGCTCTGACTACTGGATGTAAAATCAAGTGTAAAGGTAATACACCAAGTTATACCTTTCTTTGTTGTCGATTTCCAGGCCCATTGCCATTCATCAACCTTCAAAGATGAAGTGTTGATTTGGTTCACTTTCAAGGGACATGAAATTCACAGCAAATAGGATGAACCAAGGATCAAATCATTAACCTAGAGTGTCTTAACGACTTTAACTTTCATATGAACGGAAATATTTTGACAATGCTATCCTTTATCCACTAGAAAATTGTCTGATTTCTCCTGTATGTGCTACCACATCAGTCGTGGCAAAAATGGCGATGACTATGAAGAAGGCGAGACGAATGACGTCATATTTTATCGATTTCCTAATATCTCCGTTAGTAAACCATTGTTTCATGTTTTATAACAACCAAAACAAAGCTAAATGTCTTTTTACTCATTACCTGTGAATTTCTAGTTAATATTAAGACAAGTAAATGCTTTAAAATCAGTTTGAAATCGTTTAAATGTTGTGTAAATCAAAGGGTTAATAAGGAGGTCAGAGGTCATAGTTGGTTCAAAGGTAATTTCATCTTTTTTCCGATAGAGATTTGATAAAACAAAATTAAAGTCATGAAAAAAAAATTAATAATTATTTGATTGCAGTAAATACTTAAAAATATGTGTTCCAAAGAATCCATTTGAAAGAAATTTAATCGGAGCTCATTCGCAAATGTGTATGCAGCTAGCTTTGTTCGCCATTTTCCTTTTGGGAAAAAGCATTCTAAACATTTATGGTAAGTTTTGTGCATTTTACCTTGCTAGATAAAGAGATATGTCAAAATTATGATTGATGGTTATCAGAATTAGACGTTACATATTTCAAAGTTCAATTAGAGCAAATGACTATCATCGTACCTTGTAGCTTTTAGATTCAATGGCCTCCAATTTCAGAACTGTAGATCTAGCTCTACTGCTTTTTTCATGGCCTGACTTCGTCGCTTACATGCTAAATGTAAGAGTTAGCTGACGTTTGGAAGTCTGACTTACCTTCTAAAGGTTAGAACCCGAATCTTAATGAAACCATATCACCGTTGTTGCGTGGATGATGATGCATAAACATAGCATTTGATAGAAATTAGTGTAAATGCTTTTCCGACTTTTTCATTTTTCATCAATGTTGACTTCCGGGAAGGCGTTGTAGTTATCACGAAATAACGCATTGACCCTTGAACTTTACTTTGTTGACGTGTCAACCAAGCATGTCTGGTGTGAAAATTAAAAGAATATTAAGCAATGTTCTACATCCGCCAAGCTAAGTGAAGTAGTCAATATTTAAAATTACCAATTTCAAGTGAAGTACGCAACGAAAGAAAATGCGTGATCTACACTCCCACTATTGGTCTGAATGAAATGCTACGTAGAAATATGAGCCGTCTGCTGTATTAGTTGATTAATAGAGTAAGACCTGTTGGTGATGCTTTATAATTTAGACCAAAACATTGAAGAACAAACGAACCTGTAAATCGTGAAAACAACGAACAAATATTCGGTTTTCACATATGTTCGGTAATTTTTCGTATTGAAACTTCCGGAACTTACAAGGAAATCATTCATTTTCTCGGTCCATGATTTACCTCTTGGATGTTGTGGCAAATGCTCCATGGTTGACGGAACAAAGGTGATATGGTTTCATTAAGATTCGGGTTCTAACCTTTAGAAGGTAAGTCAGACTCCCAAACGTCAGCTAACTCTTATATTTCGCATGTTAGCGACGAAGTCAGGCCATGAAAAAAGTAGTAAGCTTATGCTGAAAGTGCAAATTAGGCTTGGGCCTAGCCTAGGCCTAGGCTAAGTTAAATTTTTTATGCTCATGTTAGGAACAAGTTCATATGGTTAAAATAATGAAATGATTTGATGTAACCACAAGGAGTTGGCTCCCAGGGACGCCAATCGATATTCTGTTCCATATACATGTATCTGGGTATCACATAGGCGTTATGAATAGTAAATTCAATCAAGAATATCGGCAATTCTCCTTTCAGCAGTAGTAATATAGAGGCAGGATTGGAAACTACAGCATCGATTGAAGATTACAGAATATCGAGTTGGAACCCTGGCTTCCAATCCTCCTTGATTACCCCCATACATGTGGGGTTATTTTGAGTTTTTTTGATATTTCGGACATTTGTTTCTCAAAATAACCCCACAAATTTAAGGCTTTGATTCTTTTCGTTTTTTTTCACATGATTTGAAGATTCAAGTTCTGACAATATCGGCAGTTTCCTTACCTTTTTCTTCTCTTCTGTGAAGAAGATTCTTTTTCCAATGTAAGGAGCGATCGATCAGTAGAAACAATGCTTTATAACTGGAACAATTTGCTGTAATATTTGACTCTCGAAATCTATTCAAATTTTGGCCATTTTCGCGCGTTGCATTTTGGGAGGAATTATGTGGTAGATGGGAAACTTAACAGTGCCAAACGAAATCACCTGTCAAATTAATAACAAAATTATTGCTTATGCCTAAGTTCAGGAAAACAAAGGCCGTAGACGTTACAGCGGTCAAACTTGAGGTTGACAGTCCTTTTAATACACCGGAAGGTGAAAATCATTTTCAAAATTTCCCTCCATTTTTACTTTTGGATTTCGTATTTACGCGAAGTTTGTTATTTAGATAAAAAATATCGACTGCGCATGAAATTTGAAAAACTTTTCTAGAAATATCTGCTATCCGTATTAAATCGTCATTACAAGAATGAATACAACACTTAGAGGGCTATATTTGGTAGCATGTTGAAGATTAATGTCTTGTCGATACGAAAAACATAAAAAGGTGAGTAAATTCTAATAATATTAGTACAAATTCTATATGTATGCTATTGTTTAGCAAACCCCCAAAGAATCAAAGCCTTAACTTTGTGGGGTTATTTTGAGTAACAAATGTCCTAAATATTAAAAATCCTCAAAATAACCCCACATTTATGGGGGTGTCCTTGATGTAACCATCTTTCTATTCGGAGACTTCAACTTACCAGACATTGATTGGGAGAATGGAAGTATAAGGCCTAATTCTCAATATCCTAATGATCTTAATGAGAAGATGATTACAATAACTGATGATCATGGCCTAACCCAACTAGTCAAGGAACCAACTAGACAAAATAACATCCTTGATTTAGTTTCTTGTCCCTCTGGGTTTCAAGGTCATTTCTGAGGTGACAAGAAATCTCGTCATTCTGGGTAGTCAAGAGGTTAATGCCTTGTTTATTCACCTTTCCCCAAAGTCCAAAGTGTACTCATTTGACCGCTGTGCTGATTGGTCGATGAAAATCAATGACGTCAAAGCAGGGCACATTTCGCAAAACTTCAATTACTATTAGATCGCCCAATGAGTGAAATAGATCTCATTATAAAATGATAACAAAACTAAGTGAAATATATTTTTCTGACTATTTTGCCTTAAGCTGTGTCTTAAATACACCATCCGGTAAATCAAACCATAGAAATAATTGTGATACGAGTGCTAGTCTTTTAACAAAGTGAATCCAATTACGCAAACCAAAGATTGACAATCATTCAAACAATAAGACTGTATGTATTAGGAATATACATTTATCATGATTATTCAATTAAATGGTTCATTATGTTTCTAATGTTTCTAATAAAAAATATATGAAGAACAGTTTTAAATGTCAGAGTCCACTTGCATTTTTCTCATCGGATTGCCCAAATAATTTGCGGTTGGTCATGTAGTTTTGCAATTTATATATTGAAATAACTAATATTCATCATACTGTAGTAGTTTGCATTTAAATTGCAATTCAAAGCTTAATTACAGGCCAGTAGCCAAAGGGGGGGGGGGGGGCAGTGGGATGAGCAGAAGGAACGGCTGCCCTCCCCCTAGCCAGAAATTCTTTCAAAATCATGCAGTTTTTCACCATTCTGAGCACTTTTCGAATGTTATTTTGCCAAAACTGTCAAAAAGCTCCCCCTTGGTAAAACTGCTCCCCCAGGTAAATCCTGACTACGGGCTTGAATTGTCAGAGTTTCTCTCTTGTAGGTCTACATCAAAATATATCCTGAAAGTTCGATATTTAAAAGAATGCCCATGGGCTTTCAAGAGATAAATCTCTTCAAATAGACGATCGTGGGTAAAACAAGCAACTCTGGTACATTGTCTCAAAGCATACATGAACGGCCTTAACATTGTTCAATGAAATTAGTCATCACTCATGTAACCACTGTCATATTCTTCGGCAGACATAAAAGTAACATTGTCATGTGGTATAATAGGTGGCTGAACGTAAGTGAAAGTAACACACCATTGGCCCAGATTAGAGAGCCGAATACTTTTTCTTCAAGGTTAAGCCATACCCCTTTCTTCAACCCATGAGAAAATATTACACAAACTTAAGATTACCATGGGATGTTGACATTTTGACATTCAAGAACTAAACTTGGGGTTTTGTACAGTCGGCGTAATTTGAAAATGTACAGGAAACATTGGACTCTATTTCTCTATTCATTTGATTCCCCAGAACAATATAAACAAGGGGGAATATAGACGTGAGTATAATTGTTAAATTCCATGACATTTATCATAAATATTATTACTACTCAACATAATTTGACAAAAAAATTAACCCATTTCCGTCACGATTCACATTGGCTTCTAATGTGTTAAGATTTTCCCGCGAAAATCTGCCCTACTCTGACTGTCAGAGATTTCAGGTTTGCTTATTATAATATTCATTAGCTGACTTTGGGGAAAGGTGAATAATGTTTTTTTACTCATTTTAAAAAAACAGTAATGACATACATTTTGTGATGATAACGTAACCTATAAGTATTTATTATTACAGGTATTGTAGACCTCCACTGCTTGATTTATAGCAAAAAAATTGACTTTGCATACTATTGACATTGTTGTACCTTTTTAAATAGATCTCTCATATCTAAGAAGCATATCAATCATAGAAAACCTAAAATATTTTACTATACTATGTGCCAATCTGATCATTAAGTGATTTTTTTTAGTAAACTTTCACGTGTTAATATTGGCCCATATGTTGGTCCTTTGTATATGTATTTGTTGTGCTGTTAACTCATAGATGCTTACCGGTTCGATTGAAAACATTAGACCGTAGCAATCCGAGATGAATATCTATTATTTGTAGATTAATGGTTCTGTAATACTGTAAACATCATGTCTGATAGTGAGGGTAGCTACAATTCGGATGCTGATAGTGATGCTCCAAGTGGAAGTGGGGTAAGTAAAGTAAAATGAACAAAGGGTTTTAAATGTATAGAATTGGTCAGGTAATTGAGTATGTTGCCCCTTGCTCATAACTAATCTGTTAGATGTCATAATGAAAATACATGGGCTATAAGATACATCTGTTTCCATTGTCAGAAAATACAATGCAAGATAGGACTCTATGGAGTTGGCTTCACTATATTAAACTACCTTTGTTAAAAAAAACATAACCCTTGAAATAAAAAAAGTAAGTTATATCTGTAATAAAACATTTTAAAACATTTGTGAGCTCAATCAGGAACTTAATGCTTGAACCCAATACATTATTGTTCAAATACATGTAATAACAATTTCACTCTCCTTCTATAAATATAGCTTCATTCAATGCAATGTCTAATTTTTCTGCAGGGAGGTAGTCCCCCGGGAAGCCCTGGTAGCATTGGAAGTGGACCTGGGAGCCCAGGGAGTTATGCAGGCAGTCCAGCACATAGCGCCTCAGAGGATGAAGATGATGTAAGTGCACTATTTCCTTTTCTTATGTTCCTTTAACAGTGGATATTATCTATCTAAAATCACACTGCAGGAATTTATGTAAATGCTTGGAAGAGTTTGTTTTTGATTTTATTTGTAAATCATTTTTCTGTGGAATCCAGTGGTGTCTGTCTTTAATTAGGCAGTCAAATTGGTGCTGGAATAGTTTTATCAACTTTAAGTGAAATATACAGGTTGAATTCCTGATAAGAAGAGATTGTTTTAAATCAACTGTTAAAATTTCATATAATGTCTATGATTTGTATTTATGTCACAGTTAGATGTCAGAAACCACGTCAATTATAAAAATGTTGAACTTGTCTAATGTTGATTTGGTTTCTAACATTTAACCCTTTATCACTCAGGATTCAGAAGAAGAAGTTGGTCGTAGAAGAAATAACAAAAGAAAGGACAGTGTTAGTGGCATTAGTCTATTTTTCCCAAATTCCAATTTCCTCCCTTGAACTTTTTAGGCTCAAAACCATGTTCCCCCTATCTAGCCACTTATCAGTAGCCTATGAAATGACATTGAATGAGTCACAATTTTATGGACCATGTTACTACAACTTATCAGTTTATTAGCATGAATCTTGTATCTTTACAAGATTCATTATGTCCACTCAATATGTCCAGCTAATTAAAGTACACCTGAGTATCAGTAAAATAAGAGACTAAGTGTCCTACTGTGCACCAGTGTGCAAGTATTTGGAAATGTAGAAATAATATTCTATTTTTGTTATAAACAAAGCTGTTAAAAGTTTAACCACAGCATATATGATACCATCATTTAAGAATATTATTTCTACATTATGCATGCATATATTGTCCTTAATAGATTTCCTGCTTTTCATGTCACTTGCTTAAATATGCATGCTCAGTCAAAATGTATATGCAATGCATCACTAATAATATCTCAGATACAAGAAGTCCTTCATAATATATTGGGTGTCCCAAAAAGTGTTTTCTCAGCAATCAAAGTGTCTCACTTTTTTGGGACACCCGATATATTGGTCAATAATTTGCATGCTTTTGAATGCTTTATTGGGGTAATGTGGTTGACTGAATGGCTGGTCTCCCTGCTTCATCTTATTACATCATTGCATGGTTGTAGGCTAATATTTCATAATGCAGGTGGTGGCCAATGTTAAGTAAATTAAAAATTTTGCAGTTTTTTTTTATGTCACCACCAGAAGTGGCAGGTGGTGACATTTTGCATGTTAATGGCATGTTTTGATATGTGACAACTTGTATGCTTGCAATAATGTTTATGACAACATGTACTGTCATTAGATTGTTACATATTGAAAGACTACTGCTATAACAATTATAGATACATGAAAATTATGTTTTACCATTACTCTTTGAGCTTTCTTATTTTGCTTTTATACATACAGTATAAATATAGCAACAGCTTAACTGCCTCCATGCTAGTAGTGTAATCACATTTAATACTAATTCAATTATCAATTCAGATAAATGTATCTTATTCATACTGTTATATTTATGGTAGAACTTTTGAATCTCAGGCTCTAAAATCGGTTGAAACCAGAGAATTTTTCATTTTTGCAACCTTTTGACATTTTACTACATACCTATTCAACTTGAGATGCTCAACTTGATAAAATTAGATGGCAGAGATCATTTCTACACATTTTAAAAATTTTTTTGTGTAAATTGAATGAAAATTGTTCAAATAAGAGCAATTATAGTGAAAATTTTTGTGACAGATTTTCTCGTCACTCTAGGTTTCAAGGTCATTTCTGAGGTGACGAGAAATCTTGTCACCCCAGGTAGTCAAGAATTTAAACTGGTTATGAAAATAGATGCGTTTCGGTAACAAAATGTCACAGCCAGAATGATCAAAATAATTCCTTACCATTGCTACGTTAATGGAACGGTTAAAAGTGCAGGTGTGTTTTGAAACATCCATTAACATAACAAAAGTAAGAACTACATCGATAATTCTGACGTCCTGTCAACTGTTCATCCGCAAGTGCTTAGATTTTCTTAACATAAATGTATTGTGTTGACCCACATATGTGCCAAAAAGGTTGTGAGGACTCTGCCTACATCTCATGAAATCATGGAAAAAGAAAAATTGTACCCTGGAACATGTTACCGAAATGGATCTGTTTTCGTAAACAGCTGTATTTTCCACCTGAATTGAAAAAGCCTTAGAAAAACCTAATCCTTCTTACACTACAATGTAATGTTATGTTAAGATATGTGATTGACTGCTATATTATGTTTGTACCCCTATATACACTGGAAATTCCATTTAAATTGTTTCAATCTGTTCAATCATTTCAATGCATTCACCATTTCCCCTGTTTCAATGCTTGCATCATTTCCTCTGTTTCAATGCTTGCATCATTTCGAACATTTCAAGCAGTTCAATTGATATACCTTCGAAAATGAAGTTAAAGTTACGCTGCTTGCGTCTGTTTCGCCATTTCAAGCATTTCACTCACATGACCAAATCAAAAAACATGAACGTTTCTTGTTTCAAGTATTTCACCCAGGCTTTTCAATCGTTTCAATCATTTCAATCGATACTTCTTGGAACATGAAATTACAGTTTTGCTGCTTTAGCTTCTGTTGTCATTTCAAGCATATCAATCAATTTGCCTGGGCTTTTTTCACATTCACTTTCACATCAACCATTTCACCTGCCAATGTATACAGGGCTTGAGATATGTGATACGACTGCTATGTTTTATTAAATTAAAAGATATGTGATAAAACTAAGAGGACATTCATATGTTTGTGATATAAATGCTATGATATGGTTAAGATGTGTGATATGACTGCTGTGATATGTATAAGATATGTGATATGACAACTATGTTATGTTCATGATATGTGATATGACTATGTGTGATATGTATAAGATGTGTGATTTGACTGCTATGTTATGTCTAAGATATGTGATATGACAACTATGTTATGTTCAAGATATGTGATATGACTATGTGTGATATGTATAAGATGTGTGATTTGACTGCTATGTTATGTCTAAGATATGTGATATGACAACTATGTTATGTTCAAGATATGTGATATGACTATGTGTGATATGTATAAGATGTGTGATTTGACTGCTATGTTATGTCTAAGATATGTGATATGACAACTATGTTATGTTCAAGATATGTGAGATGACTATGTTATGTTTGAAGTATGTAATGTGACTGCTATGTTATGTTTACTATATGTGATATGACTATGTTAATTTTGAAGTATGTGATGTGACTGTTATGTTTATGATATGTGATATGACTGATATGTTATCTTTGAGGTATGTAATTTGACTGTTATGCTAAGTTCAAGATATGTAAACTGACTCTTGTTATGTTTAATACATGTGATATGACTGCTATATCAGATTTAAATTAACATATTTGATATGACTGCTGTTATGATATGTTCAATAGATATGACTGCTATGTTTTGTTTTAGTGGAATGAGGAAGAGGAAGATGAAGAAGAGAAAAGATATAGGAAGAAAAAGGCCAAAGTCAGTGGATTCATTATAGATGAAGCAGGTAGGTTAACAGTCATACTAAAACTTGAGCAAATGCAGATTTACATTTCTACTATGGTTTTTGAGTCAATACAAGAAAATGACATTTCAAAATTCATTTTATATCAAACAAACAAATTTTCTTTGACTGAAATTTTCTTCCAAATTGGTCTTCAGCATGGGTGTTTGCTATTAAGGCCAAGGGCTTATATATAAGATACAGAAAAATTGAGCATTTTTAAGATCATCTTATGCAGAGAACTTGTGTAACTTGAACACTGTTTCAGAGTCCTGAAAGTATTCACATTATGGATTAAGTGTCACGTTATGAAAAAGTTACAATCCAAAATTGAAATCTGAAAAGGGGTGAAATCAACGCATTAATAAAGCATTTTTAATTTGCAGAGGTTGATGATGAGGGAGATGAAGATGATGAAGGAGATTGGGAAGAGGGAGCTGAGGACCTTATTGACAAGAAATCAACGTATGAAGGCCCTAGTGCACGAGATATTGAAGGCAAGCGGCGACTGGAACAGATGTGGAGGTACAGTGTATTTCATAATTTCTGTATAACTGGCACACAAGTGTATAGATGAATTAAACATCAGATTGGATCATATCAATTGATAAAAAGATCACAATGAATTTATAGAAAATATTTACAATGTTTACAGTACCATGACATGTTCATGAATTACACTACTTCATGGAATTGTGATATTTTCAGTCAAAAGGAGGATGAAATAGAGGAATACTACAGGAAGAAGTACGCAGAAACATCTACTGCTGACCGCTATGGGGAGGGGGAGAATATGTCAGATGAAATCACACAGCAAGGTCTATTGCCAGGAGTCAAGTGAGCACATTTACAAGTCTACATATACTTATATATATAAATGAATGTCATTAAGCTTCTGAAGTGAAATTCGAATTAATGTCAAGTAAATAAAGCAAAGTTTGAATTTGAAGGTAAAGTGATCATTTTTGTGGCATCTTTATAAAATAAAAATAAAAAGTCACAAAAAACTTCAACATGGCCATCACGTTAATCATGGATATAACTGTATCATAATATGAAGGAAACATATCTTCCCATGTATGATTGTATGGATATAACTGTATCATAATATGAAGGAAATACATCTTCCCATGGATGATTGTATGAACTGCCACCAAGAAAGACAGGAGTAAATAGACATTGTTTTTAATCACTTTGTATTCCTTTAGGGACCCTAACTTGTGGGTTGTGAAGTGTCGTATGGGGGAAGAAAAAGCCACTGCTATTGCACTTATGAGGAAGATGGTCGCCTACCAGTTCACAGATGAGGTAACAATTAGTAAAAGACTATATTAATACAAAAAATGAATCAAACATTCTATTCAGCAATCACGGGTCTCGAGGGATTCAAAATACATCAATATTAGGCCAGAAATAATAAATGCATCCAATATAATATCAATGATATAATAAAGTGTGTGATGAAAGGTACTTGACACAAAAAGTGTTGTTGGTTTATATAAAACTACAATACTCTTTAAGTTATTTCTTGCAGTTACTTTATTATGAAGAACTAGTACTAAAGAGCTTTGGTTGGCTCATTAACTTTGAATTGAAGCTATTGCTTAAGTTTGGATTGTATTAAATGATTCTCTATTTAATAATCCTAGCCTTTAGCCATCAAGTCAGTGGTGGCCAAGGAGGGTCTGAAAGGGTATATCTACATTGAAGCATTCAAACAGACTCACGTCAAGCAGGCCATCAATGGTATAGGCAACTTGCGCATAGGCCAATGGAACCAACAGGTATGTAGTTATAGTACTACTGGAACATGTGTTACTGCATAAAACATACCTAGAGAGTGTTATTTCTCTTCATATCTCATATGACTTTATAATGGATGATTGATTTAAAAAGATTTGAGAAATATGAGTTTCCCAAAAAATTAATCATTTTGTGTCATCCAAATCTGCACTATTTAGTAAGTAATTAAATTGTGAATTTGTTTAGCTCATCTATTCTATAATCATGTTGTTGTTTGTCAGATGGTTCCAGTGAAGGAGATGACAGATGTGATGAGAGTGGTAAAGGACACAGTGAACCTAAAGCCAAAGGCCTGGGTTAGGCTCAAGAGGGGCATATACAAAGATGATCTTGCACAGGTTAGATCAACACTTCAGGCTCCGATTTAACAGTATAAAATATGACAAGAGAAAATTCATATCTCGAATAAAGCAGAGCTGAAACAAACTTTTTCAAAATAATTTCAATTTGATATATTTTTCACATACCATTCAATGTTAATTTGAATCTTTACACAAATGATGATTTTTTATTTTCAAGGTCGACTATGTGGATCCTGTACAGAACATTGTGTTCCTGAAGACCATTCCCAGAATTGACTATACTCGGATGAGAGGGGCCCTTAGGGGAACTGGGGTAAGTGCAAATCTGTTGTGCAATAAAACAGTGTATCAAATAGAGAAGGACGCATCACTGCATTATGCATTAAGGCAAAAGAGAATTATGAAATAGCAGCTTGTATATCATGAATGTTATGGGGGCAACAATTAAAAAGATCTTTTATGACAAATAAGAAAAAAGTTGCTTGCTGTATATTTGTTGACTTAATGATTTGCATGCAATGCTTACTTTGAACCCTTCATCATAATCAAGAATTATTTTAGGATGCTGAGAAACGTAAGAGAAAACGCAGGCCTGCCCAGAAGTTGTTTGACGTTGACTCCATCAGAGCCATTGGGGGTGAAGTGTCATCTGATGGTGACTTCCTCATCTTTGAAGGCAACAAGTACTCACGTAAAGGCTTCCTCTACAAGAATTTTGTCATGTCTGCCATTGTAAGTTTTCAACGATTTACTTATTTGATCTTACATTTTACATATTTGACTCCTACAAAATTAGAGAAAATGTTCAGGAGTATTAGTAATAATTTTTCAATGAGTTACTGATATTAATGTGTAGTTTTCTTGCTTTAGGTGGCTGAGGGGGTTAAACCAACACTATCAGAGCTAGAAAAATTTGAGGATCAGCCAGACAACATGGAGATGGAACGTATCCTTATTATAAATTTCACCAGATTTTTTTAATGCTGTTGCGACTAGAAGTCTTGAACCCTTTTGTTATATTGATGAAAATGACAAATGTTCTGAAATAATGCATAAAAAGTCAAATTGTTTCTGCATGTTTGTTGAAAAGTTTAGAAGTTAAGATTCTGCAGTTATTCCCTTGGAGACATAATTTCCCATGCATGATGTTACATGACATTTAAGACAAAGGGAATATTCTCCTTAACCTTGTCAGTGATCCCAAGGTCTGGTGGCTCTGGAGAAGTGACCCATAGCTTCATCCCAGGGGACAATGTTGAGGTGGCTGAGGGGGAGTTGATCAACCTCCAGGGTAAAGTCATTTCTGTCGATGGCAACAAGATCATCATGATGCCAAAACACGAAGATCTCAAAGTAAGAACTTTTTTTTATCTATGTTACACATATTTGATATTTCCTGTTGGGTCTCTTTTAGTTTCATTGGAAGATGAAAGGTGAATGAATTAGAGAAAATAGATACAACAGTAAGGGATAACTAGAATTCAATCATAGATATCAGTGTTGTGTTTCAGGATCCACTAGAGTTCCCAGCACATGAGTTGAAGAAGTTCTTCAAGATGGGAGACCATGTGAAGGTGATAGCTGGCAGATATGAGGGAGACACAGGCCTCATTGTCAGGGTGGAAGATAGTATGGTTGTACTATTCTCAGATCTTACTATGCACGAGGTATGAACTGTCATAGACATGCTTTGCAAAGTGTTGGGCTGTGTTTAGCTTGGGTCGTTCATGAAAAACAGTGTCTTTTACTATCAATGCCAAAAAAGATATGTCAAATTGAAAGAAATCCATAAAAATTAAGATAAATCTTGAAATCACAGACATGCGACTTTTTTTCATGCCCATCTTTAATACATCTCCAATTGTTGATACTGTTTGAAGGCCAGTATAAATCTGATTATAAATGATTGCCAAAAACATTTGAACATGAACATTAACATTTCAGATATTTTACTCTAAAATTGTATTCTCTAAAGAACAGCAAGTTTTAATATAATGTGATAATACAAAGTTTTGATATCACAAGTTATGCTTATGTTATGTTTACAGCTGAAGGTTCTTCCAAGAGATTTGCAATTGTGTGCAGATATGGCCACTGGTGTAGACACATTGGGACAGTTCCAGTTTGGAGACCTTGTGCAATTAGAGTAAGTTCACCTGTTTTTTATCAATCATTTGTTCATGTTATTGTAAAACATTAGCATTTACCACAAGATAGGATACATTTACTAAACTTCACCATCATAGGATGACAAATATTTGCAGAAATAAGTCTGTACTTGTTAATTGAATTTCATCTGTAAAATTATTGGTCAATCCATCCATTCATGCATGTGCATCTGAGTAGGGTTAATTATAATACGGCCTTCTTTCATTGATGCAATCATTGAACAATGAATCAATGAAAGATGCAACAAAATTATTAGCAACATTTTCAATTACCCTACTATCACACCAAACTAGTTCTCACTACGTTCTCAAAAACGGGCTTCAACTGTGTACGAACGGACTGGACCTACTAAGAACCGTTTGGGATCTATTAACAAACTTCATCGAACGTACTCGAACGGGTAGGTCCTCTAGAACTTAGACAATGCTCAAAATGTTCTCGTGGTCGTCACCTTCTACAATTAGAACGAGTGACAACGTACTAACGACGAGCTGGACGTACTACGAATGGAACCGTCGTACTTCAATCCTACTAGGGACGTTTTAACAACGAGTTGAATTGTCTGAGGACGTGTTGAGAACGAGGTAGAACTAATTGCAAACGGGTTTAAACTGATTGAGAACGTATTTAACACTGCTTATGAACGAGTTAGCAAAAATATAGCTATCACACCAAACAAGTTGCCACTGCGTTCTTCAAAACTGTGTGCGAACGGAATGAACGTAGCTGCAACTTTCTAAGGTCTATTTACGAACTTTATGATCGTTCTCAGACGGGAATGTGATTTTAGAATTTTGAATCGATTCAAAATTCGATGGCGACCATAACGTTCTGTAATCAGGTCATGTTGACCGTCTAGACTAAGGGACGCGTTCTACTACGTTGCACACCGACGTGGTGCGACCTGAACGAACAGCGAACGAGAAGGACGTATTGAAGACTGTTTAAGAACGAAGAAGCTAATTATTTCAGACATATTTCCCAACCACAGCCAGATTGAGCCCGTTTTACGACGTTTTCGTAGGACTGGCAAGAACGGGTAAGAACGAGTTTGGTGTGATAGGGGGGTTAACAACATACATTTCCTCTACCTTCCCAAACATAATATCACATAAGTGATGCAGAAAATGCCAATAAGACTATTGAAAACATTTTAAAAAGGATTCTACTGCAAAATCTAGAAATGAATGTACCGTATTAAGTTGATGCTCCTACAAGTCATTGTTTCCCACATACCAGGTCGTTCAATAAGTTCTCATAATTTTGCTCTCATTTTAAGAGTTTTTTATATTTTTCCATGAAAATTTCACAGACGATGCAGAATGTATCTGTGTAACAACTCTGCAAAGATTATGTATTAATTCTAATGGTTGTGGAAATGGCGGTTGCTATAGTAACGTCAAAAATCGGTAGGCGGGGCAACTTTATTTGATCGTAAAATCCATGGATGTAGTTAGATTTCATCTTGAAATGTCATATGTTTTATCTGAAAGATTTGCAACCATAGAAACAGGTTTTGACATCAGTGTGAAAGATGCAACTTTTCTGAGTATAGTTATTACTGTGACATCACATAAAAAGGTATGACATCACAGAAAAGGTTTCAATAGAGAGACCCAAGATGGCAGCTGACTGTGGTCTTGTGAAAAGTCAAGATGAAATTCAAATTCAAATCCGTAGTGTGATAAGATTTTGTGTGTTATCCAAGAAATCAAGAGGAGAAACAATAAAAGCAGTTCAAGATATTTATGGAAAGGAGTTAATGAGCACACCTACCATATACCAATGGTATCAAAGGTTTGGTTCAGAGGGAAGAAAATCTGTGATGGATGAAAAACGGACTGGCAGACCGGTAAAAGTCACCAACCCAAAGGCTGTTGAAAGAGTTAAGACAGTTCTAGATGATGATCGCCGCATCTCTGTACGGGAACTTAGTGAGAATGTGAACATTAGTATAGGTAGAACACACTTCATTCTGAAAGAGAAGCTTAAAATGAACCTCATGTGTGCTAAATGGGTGCCAAAGGAGTTAACTAGTGACCAGAGAGCCCGCAGAGTTGAGGTTTCCCAAGAATTTCTAAGACGATACCAAGATGAAGGGGATAGTTTTCTTCAACGAATTATCACATGCGACGAGGTGTACGTCAGCTATTATGAGCCCCTTGGGAAGAGAGCATCAAGTGGTTGGAGAACTAAGAACTCACCTACTCCCATTTCAACCCTGGCAAAACTGACCAAAAATGACGGCAAGGTGATGTTCATTGTGTTTTTGGATAGCTCTGGGGTGCTGCTTACGCATGCAATTCCTGATGGTCAGAGAATAAACAAGGACTATTATGCAATGGTAAGCTTATTCATTATTAATAAATTAATCAATATAAGAGTAAAAACATTAAATCAAATCAAATTTAAAATCAGATTTGAACTATAAAAATGGTTAAGTACAAATGTTAAAGGCATTAGTATCCTATCCTACTGACTATTTCAGGTTCTCAAGAGGCATCTCAAACGGGCCTTCTCAAAGAAACGCCCCCTCCTAGAGTTGGCGACAAGAATATTTCATCAGGATAATGCCCCGTGTCACCGGGCAGAACTTGTACTGAACACCATAGGAGAACTCGGAATGGAAGTTCTCCCACAGGCACCATATTCACCTGATGAAGCCCCATGCGACTTTGGCGTGTTTGGCCGAATGAAAGATGAGCTGAGAGGTTTTCGATTTGCATCGACAGAAGATTTGCAGAATGCAGTCCAAAATGCTCTCAGAGCTAGATTTCCTGATGGATTCCATAAAATCTTCCAGGATTGGGTAGAACGTCATCGAAAGTGTGTCGCATCCAATGGACATTATTTTGAGCATTTAAAGTAGGAATAGAAACATTTACCCCATACTATTTCATGGGATAAATGGGACTACATGACATTAAAACACTTGTTACTCTCCACAATGTTGAACTGAATTATATGCCACTATGACGTCAAATAATCTGCCCCGCCTACCCATTTTTCATGTTACTATAACAACCGCCATTTTCACGACCATTAGAATTAAAACTTAATTTTTGCAGGGTTGTTACACAGATACATTCTGCATCGTCTGTGAAATTTTCATGGAAAAATATAAAAAACTCTTAAAATGAGAGCAAAATTATGAGAACTTATTGAACGACCTGTATTTATCATAATAATTCTTATAACATTTTATTTCAGTGCACAGACAGTTGGTGTGATTGTTCGTTTGGAGAAAGAACATTTCCAAGTGCTCAGCATGCACAACAAAGTAAGAATACAAGATTAATTAACGTATGCAATCCTACTGTAAGCATCACTGATGTGTTCTGGATAAATGTCTGTTTAGTTAAATACCAACAAAGCAGAAATTCAAGGCATTCAATTGTTATGGTTTGCATTTTAGCCTCATATTATTTTAGTCAGTTTACTGTGAGTTTATTTTAGCGTGCCAATGATAAAAAATGTTCTTTTGTATTTTAAGGTTATACATGTAAAGCATCAAGCTGTTACTAAAAAGAAAGAAAACAGAAGTGCAGTTGCCTTGGATACTGAAAGTAATAACATACAAGTGAAGGATATTGTCAAAGTTGTAGATGGGCCACATTCGGTATGTAGAAGTTATTATTCCATAGTTAGCATGATATTCATAGGATAACATTTCAAAATAAAAACGGTATTTTTGTAATCAGTGGTAAAATATGATATTTTTGACAAATTTTCACTTAACCATAGCATACGGTGTTTTAGCCATGACATACGGCGCCGTATGCTATGAATTATGGATTTTTGCTACTTCAGACTCAAAACGAGGCTTAGTGTCAATATCGCCGGATCGTTTGGAAAATTCGATTTAAATCACTTAATTCCCGACGATTCTGATGATGACTTTACTATGGAATAAAAAGAACATCCTATAATTTACTCGTGATATGATTTTAATCCACTCATGGATGTTGATATCCGCACTCTCTCGCTACGCTCACGCGTGCAGATATCATATCCATTCATGGATAAAAATCATATCACTCATAAATCATAGGATATCCTCTATATATGTACAGTATTTTTCATGGTGTAACATATTGTTTGTCCAAGATGATCTGCAGCCAAGCAATTCCTTCTGTAAATTAGGCCAGCTGAGCTTTTCAAACATGTTGATTACAATGCAACTGAATCTACAAATATTTCGTATCAGTATGGATTTTTAGCTCACATCTGTCTCAGTTCTGCTATCTATCAACACTTCAAATAATAAACAACTGCCTTTCATATTTAATTTGGTCCAGCTCTTACTTTTCCCTTGTTTTGGAGAAATCAGCTTGTTTGTCTTCTAAATACCACGTTGTTGATTATAAATGAATCAGTAGTGTATATAATGTTTCCAAATCAGTCAGATAACATGACAAAATGTTGAATCAGATGAATCGAATTATTTTTAACATTACACATATAGGAATAAAAGATTTGAATATGCCAGTTAACTAACTGATTATTTCACCTCTTACTGTTAACATTGTAGGGTCGTCAAGGAGAGATTAAACATTTATACAGACACTTTGCCTTCCTCCACTCTCGGCTAATGACAGAGAATGGTGGCATCTTTGTGTGTAAAACCAGACATGTATCCCTTGCTGGAGGCTCAAAGGTAGGTTCTTGCAAATATATTGAAGCTTCAGGTTCTTCATTCCATTATACTAGTCACTAAATTTTATTACACTATATACCCTTGTGTTCAGGTGGTTTAGTATGAGGAGTTTGTTTCAAAGTAACTAATTTCTATGTCTATGTGTACTGCCCAATATTCTATATCTTCTGCATTTCTGAAGAGTTTTATGCTAATACGGTTCATGAGGTCAGTTCTAAGACATCATCAGACATATACTTGCCATAAGTAAATGAAATGAGTATGTGTTTCAGCAAAGTTCTGGGCTTACACCTGGAGGGTTTGCCCCCATGTCCCCACGTTTATCCAGTCCCTCCCACCCTGGGTCTGGAGGAGCTCCAGCAGGTGGCGCTGGTGGTGCTGGCAGAGGAAGGGACAGAAGAGATAGAGAATTCATTGGCCGGACTGTTCGAATCATCCAAGGGCCTTTTAAGGGCTATATTGGTATTGTTAAAGATGCTACTGAATCTACAGCCCGTGTTGAACTCCATTCAAGCTGTAAGACCATCAATGTTGATAAGGCAAGACTTGCAGATGTGGCTGGTGGTCGTAGACCTGGAAGTTCCTCCACATATGCTGGTCGCACACCAATGGGTGATGGAGGAAGGACTCCCATGCAAGGTGGAGCCACTCCAATGTATGGTTCGCGCACACCCATGTATGGCTCACAGACACCATTGCATGATGGGAGTAGGACTCCTCATTATGGTGGAGGCTCCACACCAGCTCATGATGGGTCCAGAACACCAGGTGGAGCTTGGGATCCTACAAATGCCAACACACCATCCAGGTTTCTAACCTTTCTTACTTGTTTTGCATGTTTGCTATTACTATATCTAGTATGTGTAATTTTACTCATGGCCGTTTCAGTTACTGTGTATCCCCTCAACATTTGATATGAAAATATTCTTGAAATAAGATTTATAGGGGACTCTTCCCACGTGAGGATATACCTGCAGGACTAAATATGGTTTATTTACATTTCAGAAATAGTGAGTATGACTACAACTTTGATGATGCTGCTCCCTCTCCCAGTGGATATGGCACACCAGAAACAGAGAACCCTGCCACCCCTGGCTATGCTGCAGTGGACACACCTAGCCCTAGTGGACCTTACACCCCTCAAACACCAAGTGCATACTCCCCTTATGGTCAGCCAAGTCCTTCACCAAGTGGATACCAAGGTGTGTATAAGTTGATTTAATGAATTGTTATTTAAATAGATGGCACAACAGTCCACATAAAGTCTCATAAAAGACAAAGAAAATATGTCGACTGAGATACTTACAGTACATGCAGGGAATACAATGGATTCTGCAGACCTGTAAAGTGTAGGTACAAACATGAATGCAATGTCACTAAAATTACCCAAATGTAAAACACCTCCATAAACAAGGTAAATCAAGGAAATGGAAAATAGGAAACATTTTTCTTCAAAAACAAACAATTTATACAATAAAGCAAAAGTTGAAAAGCAATTTCTTAATAAATTCAAAAAAGGAACGTCTGAGCTTGTTGATGAAAAGCGATTTACAGCTAGTGCTTTAAGAGCTGTACCAAAACCAAATGCGAATGAGGCGCGAGTAATTCTTGACTAGTTTACTCAAAGGATTATCCGTTAATAATCATCCCTCCATAGACAAAAGCCAATATGAATCAGTAAATCAAGGAGCAAAGTGTCTGTGGAATAATAGAGAGAAAAGTATACTTAATCAAGTCATTAGGGTGTAAACAGTTACAGTTAAATAGATGGCACAGCTGTCTCATGAAAATCCCCCAATTTTTTCAATGTACTTTATGTTCACAAAATAATCAAGTAGCTGTATGTTATACTCCCACACCAGCCAAACTTACTACCATTATATGTCTAATATCTATACTCTTTTGATGTGCTATCTTCATTTCTGTTGTTATATCAATGCAAAAAGCAAGATATTATGGAGACTTCTTCCACTATGCAAGCTAGATATTTATGCTGAATGTACAAGATAGAAGTCCTCCCACACAAACCTTTGAATGGTGCATAATTAGACATTAAAAAGTATAATGGTGCATTCAAAGAAGTAAATGTTTTGGTTAGTTCATATTTCAAGGATGATGGCATGCAAGAATAAAGTTGAATGTGATTTGTCCTATTATTCCCTTGTATCTACTTATTTGTATGACTTTGCCATGTCTCTAGTTGTCTATATTAATCATTGCAGGTACCCCAAGTCCAGCTGGTTATACAGGTACACCTAGCCCCCAGGGATATGCTGGAACCCCCTCACCCTCAGGACCTTATGGACAAAGTCCCTCTCCCCTTGGCTATGGCAGTCCCTTGACTCCAGGAGCCCCCCTCACCCCACAGACCCCAGGTGCAGGTAAGAAAGATATAATGCTACAAGAAATTATTGCTTCAAATGGTCCAAATGCTCAAGATCCTCACATGACATGTTTCTTTACCAATCAAGGCATATTTGGTACTTCATTTTATGAGCAATAGTTTTGTCCTGGCTTTGAACACAGATTTTATCATTCTCAGTGGCAGTCTTCCAACATATCACGCCAGCAGACAAATCTTTAGTCTCAGCTTCTACTGTAAGGTGGCGATTTCACCTACATTAATAATTATATGTTTGGTTCTTGTCCCATGCTCTTGCCACGTGTTTGGAAAATCCAGAGAACTTGATTGGTTGCAATGCCCCTTTTGATTGGTAAACCCACATGCGATCCTTGATTTTTGAAATATTTTGACAAATAATGATTGAGCGAAGTAGAGAATACACATCTCATAATCACGGGGTACCATCGAATAATTTTGGCAACGTACCGGAGAACGACATTTTACTAAGAAATGGCAATAATTTAGCACAATATATTTTTTAACTAGAGTCTTCTACTTTGATTTTGACAAAAGTAAGTATTCCATGCAATGGCTATTTCATTCATGAGTTTGTAGGAATTCAGTTGGAACCCAGTTCTGATCAAGTACGAAGTTATTGAAATCGGCGCAGTTGGACTTTACTCCGAAAGATGGTTTTTCGATTATAACTTTTTACAACATTTAAGTATAGACTTTTGAAAAATGTACAGAATAGTCCTTATACTATTGAATAATTCTGTTATTTCTGATTCACACGACTCTGATTTGTTTAATTAAATAAAAAGTTTTAAAAATATTACTTGGGAACGTAACCGGAGCTGGGAACGTAACCGGAGCAGATCAGTTGAATTATATAATTTAAAAAAATAAAATATATGATTTAAAGCATATATATTAATAAATACGCATTCGAACAATCCCGTATGTTTTTAAATTAGTATATGTGCTTTAAATCATATATTTTAATTTTTTTGATTAAATAATTCATCTGATCTGCTCCGGTTACGTTCCCAGCTCCGGTTACGTTCCTAAGTAATATTTTTAAAACTTTTTTTTAAATTAAACAAATCAGAGTCGTGTGAATCAGAAATAACAGAATTATTCAAAAGTATAAGGACTATTCTGTACTTTTTTCAAAAGTCTATACTTAAATGTTGTGAAAAGTTATAATCGAAAAACCATCTTTCGGAGTAAAGTCCGTTTGCGCCGATTTCAATAACTTCGTACTTGATCAGAACTGGGTTCCAACAGAATTTCTACAAACTCATGAATGAAATAGTTATTGCATGGAATACTTACTTTTGTCAAAATCAAAATAGAACTCTAGTTAAAAAATATATTGTGCTAAATTATTGCCATTTCTTAGTAAAATGTCGTTCTCCGGTACGTTGCCAAAATTATTCGATGGTACCCCGTGATAATTTAATCGAGACTTGAACGTGACTAATTTCTCCAGATTCTGGATATTTTTCATTTGTTTGCCGTAGTGTCTATTCTGAGGCACTGCCATGAGAGTTTGAGATTTTATTTTTATAAGCCTGTGACCTTGAGTTGACCTTGACCTCTTTCCAAATACCCTCACACAGAGCAGGGTTGACGTCCAAGAACAGTCCTTTTTAATAACAATACATTGAATTATTCAATACATTGTCTTTTGTCCTATTGAATCTGATTGGCATCTTCCCCTTCATGCAGGTAAATCATAAACATGTTACATGTCAGACATGACACGTCATTCAAGACAAATGGTAGAATTGTTATGTGGGATCATGTGCTTCTGGTTGCACATGTTTCACCAACGTGACACTTACATAGAGCATTAGCAATTATGTATTATATAGTAGAGTCTAGACTGATTAGAATGTGTAGGATCATTTTGTTATTTTCATATACTATGTATGTAAATAACAGAATAATCATACACATTATACAGTAATTTTCAGTTATGTGGATAATAAGAATAATTGTAAAGGGTATTCCATTCCATGTATTATATAGGCCAAACGTTTGTAATGAATACATACTTTCTTTGACATGATGATTCAGTTATGTAATGTGCTAATTTCTTTCTTTTTTCTTGCTTATTTATGAATTGTGTGTGATACCTAAATTTGGTTTTAAATGAAGTTACAACCCCATGAGTGTCAAAACCTTAATATTATATTATTTGTTATCTTCAGAGTGTATAATTTTTAAGTTTAAGTTCTGGGTTTCAGGGTATTAGAGGTTGTGGTGACAAAATAAAAAGTTTTCAACATTGTTTGAAGCATAACTGTTATGAATTGGACAGTTTGGAATCCAAGTGTAATCTAGTCCTTATGAATAAGTGGGAGGTACAAATAGCAATTCAGTAGGTGGGGAAATAGATAAAATTGATTGGGTGAAAGGCATGCACCACTAGGACATATTTGGGGAGGGGGCAAATGGTGATAATTTTCATGGATTGTTCTTTTGATGAAAACAGTGCTATATTGACTGGCCCATAAGAAGGGACAAATGATGACTCGGTGTCCATATCGTGGTATCCATGTAATTGTTATAGTTCATTTCAAGTACTTGGAGGACTTATATAGTTTTACTGCTGAATTGTGAATGTAATCTCACCCAATCACTATTATTTATTTCTTACAGTATATGAGAACACATGTTCAGAATTGATTGTTCCAATGTTTATTGTTTCTAGGCATGGAGCATGGAGGTAGTGATTGGCACACCACAGAAATTGAGATCAAAATTAAGGAGACTCATGAGGACCCAGGCCTTATTCACCAAATAGGTGTCATTAGAAGTATTTCAGTAAGTATAAGATATGTTTGTTATCCCTGACATTCACTTTGAAAGTAGAAGTGGGTATAATAAAGAGCTTTGCAACATTAACTTTTAAATGACGTAAACATGACTAAAAGGTTGTGAAAGTGCAGACTGCTCCTGTACCTTGTTAAAATATATTTCATATTGCATCCTTTGGTGATATATTGCATTCTGCTGTGAACCTGATTAGTATTAATTTTTTACTCTCCAAGAGCACAGTATTGTTCACTCTGTGTCTTGCTCTAAGTATCTTTCAAGGCAACAATTTGAAGTGAAGGAATGCTACTGCAAGTGTTTTGTTTTCATTTCTAATCAAGATAATAGCCAGCTTACTCAAAATATGCCATGCTATCCATCAAGTGAAGTTGTTTTTCAAAATATTACTTGTTTCTCCTTGTCCTTGAATCTCTTTCCTCAGATCAGATATATTCAGTCAACAAGTGTGTTGCATAATACTGTAGGCGATGTTAATCTTAAGAATGCATGAAGACTATCATAGTTATATTTTATGATATAACAGCCTCTTTGTTGAAATGTGAGTAATACAAGTACTGTCTGGCTGTGACATAATTGTGCATCAACCCAGTTCATTCTAAGGTCCAACTTACAATTATTCCTACAATCAACTAGCATTACTTGTTTCTCCTTGTCCTTGAATCTCTTTCCTCAGATCAAGTTATCCCACATATAATTACATACTAGTGTTTTTTATGAAATGTTAGCTTTTTTCATAAGACATTATTTCTATCCAAAATTTTATTTTTGTCCAAACTTTTGATTTTTATGTCACCACCAAAAAGTGGTGACAAAAAGGTCTTTTTCAATTTGCTTCAAATTGACCATATTTGTTTTTCAAAATCATCTACAAGTTCTCAGAAGTTCAAATCTGACTTCAGATTTGAGCAACTAGGTGGTGACATTTTGTCATTTGTTTTGCCTTGTTATATGTTTATATAATTAGTCAAAATAACATTGAATGTTCACTCTGTGTATGTGCAACCTTTGATTCCCATATTTAAACTGAATACTATATGTGGACATGACATTTGTGTTGCAGGGAGGCATGTGTTCTGTGTTCATCACTAGTGAAGACAGAGTTGTTAATGTAGGAGCAGAACACATTCAACCAGTTATACCTGAGAAGGGAGACAAAGTAAGAAACATTCATTCCTGCCATTAATCTCTTGGAATTGAATTTGCTGCAGTCCCTAGTTTAGAATAGCATTCTCTGTTGAGTTCCACTTACACCCTGATTTTATCCATTAAGGTGGAGATTTAAATAAACCATGAAGAATTAGATCCTTTCCCAATTTGAATATTTTAATTGTGAAAAAATTTCAATTTTTAAATTGTCTCTAAATTGTCTCTGTTTGACGGAAAAAATGGCAGTCATATTTACTTATATAAAATAGGTACAATTTTGATCATGAGAGGCATAGACAGACCTTTTGTATTGATAATCACCTTGAATTTGTAGATAACCTTGCTTTTTCTACACGGTTCTTGACTTTATGTGTACATTTGCAGGTGAAAGTTATCCAGGGAGAAGACAGGGAGAGCACAGGGCAGTTACTCAGTATAGACAGTCAAGAGGGTGTTGTCAAAATGGAAAATGGAAGCCTCAAAATGCTTCCCTTATCTTACTTGTGTCGAATGCCTGCAGAGTGAGACCTCTAGTAGATTTCATTGTATATTTTTGAGTCGATATGGATTGTATAAGAAATACAAAGAAATAGTGAACCAGACAGTACTGCATTAAACAATACATATATTCTGTATAATGTGACGCTTAATGAAAAAATGAAAAGCCTAGCATTAAATCATGGAATCGAGGATGGATGCCATAACATACAATCTGAAAACAACATGAATTGTATCATACATGGTGTCCAGAAAGCTTGGTCAGTCATATATTTTTATCATACCATTTGGTGCTGTTTTGTGATTGGTTAACCAGGCATTGGCAGACAGTGGGTCATTCTTGGATCAAATGACTCAATCCAACAGAATAACTCCTGTGGATTTCCAGAAGAATTGTTGCTGCATTTGAAGTGCAGTATTCATTTAAAGATGGCAGCCCAGTTGAAATAAAAAACACAGTTTTGATTTGACAATTTTAACAACCCAAGTACATATTTTCAGTATCTCTAATCTGAAACAGAAATTCAATCAACATACTTTGAAACGATTACTGTTATGTAGTGTGAAAGCACTTATCATTTTTACTTTATGTAGTTTTCCATGTGATTCAACATAATCGGTGTTTCATGTTTATGTTTAGTTTCAGCTTCCCAAATCCTCCAGGATATTCTGATCCACTTTACAAGAACATTGGCAGTTCGCATATCAGGATCTTATCATTTCTTTATTCATCATTGCCAGTGCTTTAAAAGATGTGTTTAATGAGTAACCAATGTAAAAGGTGTTATCAAGAACATGCTGTACAAAATAAATGACAATATAAAACTTTGAATTCCATGTTGTATTTTGTGAGTATTTGTGATTCAGAGAACATAGAAAGATCATTTTTTAACATTTTGATGAATAGTTTTATGACTTCAGGTTTTGAACATTCTCTTTTGTTTACAAATATATTAAAACAAAAACTCTTTTTTTCTTTAAAAGCGAAACAGTTCGTTTTATCAGTTTAAAGTTTCTATGTTTCTGTTCAGTAATCCGTGGCAGCTCAAGTTGAACATTCAGAAAATACTTTTTTGAATAATAGTTATTAGTGGGTTGATTGATGATGCATACAAGCCATTACAGGATCCGGAAAGAGTAGAGTAGTTGAAAGTATATTAGCATTACCTAATAAAACTGATTTTAATGTACTTAACATGAAAAGTTATCATTAACTGAACAAGTCCTTTTGAAATAACTTCCCAGTTTGCCAGGTGTTCTAGGTCACTGTGTGCCGATTCTTAATTATTTCAGTTATTTATGAAGGTTATTTAAAGTATTTACAAGTTTTTGGTTGGGTTTATTAAGTGGTGCAATATATTAACTTGTCAATACTTCTAATTTAAGAACACTAAACATTCTTCGCACTTCTCACTCCCCTCACTTCCTTATTGCCACTACATTTATTCATTTATCTCCATAGAAAAAACTATTGGGATAAGAATTAGTAAAGTCAACACATACACCCACATATGTAAAAGGCATATATATTTTTGCCTCACAAGGTGAGCCTATATATTTACCTCCTATAAAATGAAAACAGAAATCTTATCTCAACTATACTATACAAAACACTGAAAACTGCATATGACCATCTTTGAAATTTTGGGCCTAAGGATTGGTATCGATATGGAGAACTGAATTCAACAATGTTTTTCTCTTAAACCAAACGTTGAAAACATTCTGTAAAAAACACGGTATTTTATGTTATGTTGACTAATTGACAACAATTTATGCGAAAATTATTTAGAAATATTTTATACAACTGTTTTTGTTGACATTTTTTGTTTTTTTGCTCCTTTCTACCAATTCTTGAGAATGAAATAAAATGTCTTTCCGAACCTTGATGGAACAAAATAGCGTATGCAACATGTTTTTAGACCTCTCAATATTATAGTTATACAAAGGAATTTTTGGTTGATTAAAAAAAAGTATTCAAAAAATTAAAACAAAATCCCCCCCAAAATAGATAAAAATCAAGATAAACCTTTTATTTCATTTACAAGATACTTTTAAAAATCAACCAAAATTTCCTTTGTACAATTATAATATTGAGAGACTTAAACATGTTGTGTTTATGTCGTTTTGTTCCAACGAGGTTCGAGGTTCGGAAAGATGTTTCATTTCACTCTGGAAACATGATACCAAGAACAAAACAAGTGTTTGATGTGTTTTCTAAAACAATATAGATGAAAATATTTATATATTTTTCGAATTATATTGTTACCATTCAAAAGATGACCATTTAATTGACGATGTGTTAACTTTTTAGATTTATTTCATGACTGGTTTAAGAGAAACGTCTGTTCAAAAAGTTCTCCATATCGATACCACTCCTTTCTTAAAAATTAAAATACCAAAAGGGATGTTATTTGTGCTAAAAACAAGATAATAAGAGATTCTTAAATTGGTTTTAGTACAACTTTAATTGCACATTTTATGTGGAAAGGAGCAGAGCAGATCTTGGACCCCAACAATTTTTGGCCCCAATTTTTTACCGGTGTCTTTGAACCAATGTTTCAAGGTGCAAAATTATGAATTTTTCAAAGTGGTGTTTTAGAGACCTAGTTTTTTAAAGATTCACATTAATGTGTGAATGTGATTTGTTTTATAAGTACTTTCATGTTTCAGGAACTTAACAGAAAAGATTATCTTGAAAGTAATTATTATTTTATTATCTTCATGGAATAAACATATATAATACATCTGTAATAAATACAAAAATACACTAGAGTCTGACGTTACTGTCAAACTAGTCTAATATAGCGTTCAATACATCACATTATTTATGTACATATGCACACTATGCGAAATGACTGTCGAAAATATATTTCAATTTACAAATAAAGTACCGAATGTTCCCCTTGAACTTGAAGGTGTTCTGATAGATAACACAACATTCCTCAGTGTAATTGATGACCATATATCAGAATTAATCTGCAGTTGATTTAATGAATTGATCATTTTGTAGTCTATAATTGCAATCGTATGTCACCGTGTAATACAAGGTATTCGGTGTCAAGTATGTCTTGTGTGACATGATAAATCATAACATAAAGTATGGGTGATGCTTGCAAACCCATTGATTATACTTTCTGTCCCTGATAATACGCTTGATAGAACAGTTAATATTACAATTTTAGTCGGTTCTGATTTAGGCCGGGTAACCTTGTATCTAGTCTGGATCATAATTGTATCTACCAATTCATGAATTCTAGTAGTCCCATACAGTATTCAATCGGCTTTTAGTTAATATACACTATACTAGGTATAGGGCCACAAAGGGCATTGGATGCGCATGTCAACGTTGTAAAGCACAGAATGGTTCATCTGCGGGACGGTTGGTCATTCCACATATCCACACTGAAGAATGCATCAGGATGATGATGTACTGATGTGAGACCTAATATGACGATTAATGGCATTCAGAAGAGGCGACGCTGATCGTTTGGATAACCTTGGAACGTGAAATCCCTTAATGTTTTTATGCGATTGTTTTGAATCTGCAAAAACAAAAATATGCTTCATGACAGAATATTCAAAAACTACTAAATACGTCATCAAGACTTTTCGTTATTTCAAATGGAAATGACTGTAAATATGATGTGCCATGAAAACATCGATATAAGATTGATCACACATGTATTGTCCGTATTTTGTCACATACAAATAGATTTAAGAGATTCCAAAAAATGAAAAAGTCATTTTAAACAATGAACTTCAAAAATTCTCAAAAATTTAACACCAATGTAATCCTCTTATGGATTTTAAAGACCAGACGAGTCTGTACAACAATTATAGCATGTAAAAGTGCGTTATTTTAATATATTTAATATATATTTTTAATATATATAATCATATATTATGATTTTTATAAGATGTTATTTAAATTGTATGATTTCTAAATAAAATTGCTTACTCATCCAAGGCCAGATGACTTTCAAACACACGCCGTCTCCCCTTAAAAGAGCGGCAATTGGACTGCTTTCTCCGTATTGAGGTTTACACTGCATCCCGTGTCCACATCTTTCTGTATAAACGCCACATCTATCCCCTTCTTGCTTAGCGCACACAGCAGCCACAAACACCGGGTTCACGAACAATTTCACATCCACGGGGCTTAGCGCATTTAGACTGATCACAGGGCGGACAATCGAAATATCGGCGCATTTTGTTCGCACTTATCACTTGCGCTAATTGAGTCAGAATTATAGTCAATATGATCATATGTGCAAAATGTAACATATGTCTGTTTCTATGTGAAAGTATTTGTAGATTCATGTCCTTCTCTCAACAGAATTCTCGAGCACGATTTATAAAAGAAATATTCCTTGTTATTATGTTTTCGTTGATGTGTGTTATCCGGCCTTTTGCTACAAACTAAGTTGCCTTCATGAGTGAGGTATATACATACCGTATAGTTCCTATGTTCAATTAATACATGTCTACTACCTCGAAGTCATAAATTAAAATAATACAAAATACCAAACTGCTCAGAATCTATATAGATCTCGATATCTGAATGGATACTTAACCAGCAATTAATTTACCATCAGCTTTCTATTACAAGAGAAACGTGTTAATGCACCAATTGTTCAATTTCTCTTAGTATGCAAACATTAATGCAAATACTAGCACCGAATTCTTCAAGAATGTCCTAACTTGAACGCTCACCAGTGTTTTATTGTTTCCTTTTAATGAATGCTATGACGCACGTACGCCGAGATCACCCAGTACATTTAGCAATCATCAAATTATGAGTTTTATTATGTAATCACTAAAATGGTAATTGGCATCGTATGTAAGGGGATGTATCAAATATGACGATTTAGACTCCAAACACCTAAATGTATATTTCACTTTCCTTTTACCCACATTTCACATAGGATATACTTACATGTACTGGAATGAAAAATAGAACACAAATAAAATTACTGGAAAACAAATACCAAGTCGGACATTTGCATATTTTTATATTTGTTGAAGTTAATTTCTCGAAGTCAAATATTTCCCCAGTTTTACATTTCAGCTAGTCTTCGTACTAGAAGCAATTATCATAAAGGCAACGATGATTAAGTAATGATCAGGTGGGAGTATAATTGCCTCGTACGCGTTGAACCCACAGGGATAATCGAGGACATCTTTCCGAAAGACATTTGACACACTGTACTGGACAGAATGATAAGTGAAGCCCGTTTCAAATATCCATACATGTAAAAACAGTCATTAAGCAGCTACAGCGTTTTTCCAATCGTATATCTTGTCATGAGATCAAATCGGTTAAAATCCTTTCAAAATAATGACCTCAAGCATGTCAATTTTAGAATAATATCACGGAAAGAAATAAGACCAAAGTGGATAATAAAGATGGAAATCAAATGAGATAAGAAATAAATTCTTTTTTATTTATATAATACCAAGTTCTCATCCTTCAAAATTGTTTGCCCCTTCAAACTGTTCTTTTAAAGTTTGAATTATATTTCAACCCACCTAATGTTCAATATTATTGAAGGAATACTCTAACTTTATGGTATACAAGTAATCGTGGAATTCTAATATAAAAACATTTAAATAAAATCTAAATAAAATCTTTAAAATACGGGTCGGTCCAAAATCGTCTATTTTATTTTGCTATATCTTTTCATTAAATCAACCATGGATTTCAATAATATATTTGTAATTATTGCAGTTCAAATGGTTTCCAAAATTTCAAACGGTTTAAAACACAAAGGGCTTACAATAGTGACAGATATCATATGGAACAAGGTAGTCTCTTTGGAGGATATATATTCTTTGAGATGATTGTATAATAATAAAATCTCAAGCAAAAATGTATCTGAAATCTGTGGCTTATCAAATAGGTTAAAGCAAAATAAAATATGTTTTATGGACAGTGTTTTATGTATATACTGTGTTTAAATGCCAGCCTCAAAATGTGCAATTAGGCAACCTCGGTGGATAAAATGTTTTTCAGTCACTCTCTCTCTCTTGTTAAATATGTCACGTTCATTCTATTACAACTTTTGGATCCCTTTTAGACTCATTCTCTACATTTCTAAACATTATTATTAGTCTATCATCTTGTCTGTCCCAGCCCACTCTAATTTCAGTTGACATATTGTGTTCATGTAACACATTCACAAATGTAACACAAGACATCAAACAAAACCTCTGTAACTCAAGATATTTCAATGAAGTGTGGAACTTTCAGAATTTATTTTCTATATTTAATTAGTAACTCCATCAATAGGTAGTGTAAACCATCGTCTTAATTTTGTGTCTGTTATAATTTGGAGTTACTGAGGTTGAGGTAAATTGGTTACTAATACTATACATATATTTCCAGTTCTTTTAACATAGAAGTCTATGGCAGATTAAAAAAATGGGACCTAAAAATGTTCACATTAAAAAATGGGACCTAAAAATGTTCACATTAAAAAATGGGACCTAAATATGTTCACATTGAAAAATGGGACCTAAAAATGTTCACATTAAAATATGGGACCTAAAAATGTTCACATTAAAAAATGGGACCTAAAAATGTTCACATTAAAAAATGGGACCTAAATATGTACACATTGAAAAATGGGACCTAAAAATGTTCACATTAAAATATGGGACCTAAAAATGTTCACATTAAAATATGGGACCTAAAAATGTTCACATTGAAAAATGGGACCTAAAAATGTTCACATTAAAATATGGGACCTAAAAATGTTCACATTAAAAAATGGGACCTAAAAATGTTCACATTTAAAATGGGACCTAAAAATGTTCCAATATCCTAGATGCGAGTAGAAACAATCTTGATTTACATCATTTAAAATTCAAAATTCAGTCAAACTGATGTCATATTTGGAATCGACATGTAAAATTACATCTAGAAATATAGTTTTGAAAAGAGTTTATCAACTTTGAAAATTTAATTTTCTTTGAAAATGTGACTTCTAGGTCGGGGAGATTCCCCATAGCCCCCATGTTGTAAAATCACAAAAATGGAAATATCTTTTCTTGTGTTGGGCAGATGATACTTTCTTTTACTGGACATATTTTAATTTGTATAACTATCAGATACATAAGGGTAATATGAAATGTGAACCACTAAAACTGATGAATATTCAAGTTTAAGGGAATTTTGTAATACCCTGCCATGTTATTTCCCCCGAATCAGCCACCTGGTGGCGAAACTGGTAACTACCTACTCGCATCTGAGTAATTGAGAGGTGTTTGGATAAGATAAGCATTGAGATAAACAGGTTTTACTATACATTATATATGTTATTATATGCAGAAATGAATAATGTCAAAGCCACAGTCACTGGCCTGTCACTCACTTAACTTTTCACCACAGTCCAATGCCAAAAAGGAGGATATTTTGGGAACTTATTTTTCAAAGACTGGGATGTATGAAAGATGAGAGGGTATGGATTGGAAGGTAGGAATGTATGGTGTGAAAGGAAAAACGTTTGAAGGTTGCTTTAAAATGTAAAAAGTGAAACTGAAATAAAATAAATATTACAAAAAAGGAGGAAAATTTGGCCATGCTCCCCATTTCTATTGAGAAGACTGATATTTCATTGACATACTAAAATGGAAATTGACCAGGTGTCCAGATTTAGTTGAAAAAGTAGCATAACTTTTATCACTGACTTATAGGAAGGCTAAATTACATGTTTCTAGAACTTATAAAAAACAAGTAAAATGATGGTTTCTCTGGGTAATACATGTAGTTCTCCACTTTATCATATTTACTTACTCAACTTTAAAGTTATAACAAAAATAATTGTAATTAGGTCCATGGAAGAACCAATTGAAGGGAAAGAAATCCCTGGGGGTCATGTTATTACACAATCACATACTACATAATATCTTAACATCCCTATTGATGTAATTTTATCTCAAAACAGATCCAGAAATACCCTTACAGTGTATATTTTATGTCCAGGGTAAAAAGTTACAATGCAGCACTGTTCCAATGATAAAATATATAGAGAAATAAAGCAAAATTAAATTTATAGAAAAGGAATTATTATGGATATTTCTCAGTTGTCTAGTTAGCAAGTTATCAAACGCTGATTCCTCAGGTTCCTGTAAATCACTTTGTTGTTTGTCCTTCACTTGAGCAAATATGTTGTATCTGTTTGTCTGCTTCTCTTCCAACTCTTCCTGGGATGAGGTTACCATGGCAACATACCAATATATGACAGGACATGAGGATGCTATGAATCTTGTTACAACCTGGAAATAATATTACTAATCTTACTATTTTGGTGACTCTGCATGACAATAAGAGCAATAACCAAATTTTGGGGCACAAGTACAATGCTACAGCAAATGGCAGTCAATTTCAAGAGAACGGGTTTGTATTGTAGAATCCCTCCAGTGCTTTTCAAGATTTTGTACTGGGCAATTTTTCAAAAAATAATGCATCATTTTCCAACTTTTTAAAATTCAATCTGATTTTTAAGCTTCCATCAGTTAATCGTAATATATACACAATGTATATGTACCTGAGAGTTTCAACGAAATATTGAAATGTTATGGCTGATAAAGGACTATGCCCTTTTTAGTTAGAGAGAGTAAACACGACTTATAGTACATGTGTACTTCCAATTTCAAACTTGAGCTCCAAGATCTAAATTAACAATCAACGATGCATTGACAAAGTCTAACATGGGGACAGGAGGGCATTAAATATAATAACTAGAGTTCAACCCTGTCTTGGTATTTTCAAAATGAATATGAACTAACAAAGAAGTGATTGTCAAAGAAAATGTCAAATGCTCTGAATGTAGTAAAAACTTAATACATGTACCTGTATATGCATGAAGAAGAATCCAAAAATGACCATAGCAAGCATATGGAGAACATAAGGCAGACACTTCTCACTATCAAAGCCTGTATCCTTCAAATCTGGCACAGATGCATCACTCTTCTTGTGTATGTAACTACAAAACATAGTAATAACTTGATATAAGGTACACTAAGTTAAACAGGAAGGTTTCATTCAAATGGTATACCCATTGATAGAGTAGGATATTATTCTACAGCATAATCATGGACTTCTATTGAATGACCATGGAATAATAAAACATCTGAGAGATTTGAGGTATTCTTTGAATATCTAAGAAAATTAGTGGACAAATTTTCTGACATTCTATGATCCTTGTTCAATTACAAGTACCATACATTGTACATATTGTTACCTTTTTCTTCCTAGGCCCAGTGTAATGCTATACTTGAGATTCTTGCTGATGTAACGCAGTGCAGTCAACATACATATAACAATCATAGGTGATGCAAGGAGGAAGTTAGGAACCTGTTTCACCTCAAAATATCTAAGGAATCCAACATCCCAATGTGAGTTCTGCACATGGGAGTAGGATAGTGGGATAGTCCATTTACACCAGAGGGGTGGTGGACCAACACCCATTATGGTATAACCTCTAGCTGTTCCATATTCAAGAATATTCTGAGGAATGCCATCTGCTTTGTTTCCAGTGCAGAACTGAGTATATGCAAAGTATTGTACCAGTAAAAATGGTGCTATGCAGAGTATGGAGTATAAAACCAATGGAATGGTACATATCATCCAGAACACGACATTTCCCACCATAATTTTGTCTTTAAGGCTGAGTCCTCTAAGGCCAGGAACTAAACGGATATATTCTCCCAGCTTTCTATGCCACAAATATCCCATGTTTATTAAACCATTTGCTCTTATGGAAGTTGTTACTGCAAACCAGAATGATCCATTCCTGGTGTTTCCATCAAACCTCTGCATTCCTGTGAATGTTATCCATGCAAACATTGATTCTGAGTATGCAACTGAGAAGAATACGCTTGCAGGGTTGATACAGTACATAAGGCATGCTTTGTATGCCAGGGATTCATGATTCAATATGGCCTTCCCTAAATGATACAACATCTCTGCTGATTTCACAAAACAGTAGAGGTTTATAAATACAGCTGACACCAATAGTACATTGCTATAGGTGGCAAACCACTGGAGCGGGTATAGTAAACTGTTAGCTACTACTCTCACTGTTAATGGAAAGAGAGGAAAGAAAGCCAGACAGTTCTCGTAGGTGTATCCATGTTCTGCTATGTGTAGAAAGTACTCAGAGTCCCACCTTCTATAGCCAGCAAATAGGAATGTTATGATATCATCCAAAATGGTTTTGTCTTGTTCTGCTGGTGGATTGAAGACCCCAGCATTGTGGTCAGGAATGACAGCATTCGCAACAACCTGGAAGCATAAATTCAATTTCTTGTTATGGACATACAGAACTGCTCTAACTAGAAAACGTAAATGTAAACCTAAATGTTCAGATCCAACATGGCCAATGTTGATTCTTCAGAAAATTATTCAAAGTGTTGCACAAAATTTTCTCCAGAATGGTTGGATAAATTCTCCCAAAAGTGTTGTCATACCTGAGATTGTCAACTTTAGAAAAAAAACTTGTCAAAACTGCTTATTTTTTGTAAAAGATGAGAAATTCTTACCTTTACAAGGGTACTCCTTCCATAAAATTCACTAAACTCAATGTAGGTCAATACATATATCTGTTAACATTACAATAACAATTGACTTCGGAGTCTGAACTAATGTAGACAAAGACAGGATACATGAATAGCAAATTAATGATTCTATTCAAGCATAATAAGCTATGGTCTTGAGAGCATTGGTAAGATTATAGCCACATGGGTGGGTATATTAACAAACAATAGCTTAAAACATGTGGTGACAAAATTATCTTAGAAAAATAACATAGGTAGACTTGCAGCTGAATTCTCAGTATTCAGCTTCAAGATTGCAAGCTAACTCAACATCTACATCAATAATCTGCAAAAGGCTAATTATCCCATTTAAAGTAGATATATGGTTTAACAATGGTAGAACTTGAATAAAATATAATTCAAACCTTACATTTAGGTCAGGGTGCATGTTCGGAATTTTGATGCAACCCTCAAGTGGGTCACATGTTATTTTTCAAATTTGAATCACTCCTCCACAATGTCTACATCTCTCACGTTTGTACAATTGTACAACGAGTGCACTGATGTACCTAGAAGAGAATGTAAAGAAGAATGTTTTGATCAAATGAATAAAAAACAAGAAAATTCTCTCGTTTTTTATACATTTTATAAAACAAATCTTCTCACCAGTCTTTTCTAGGCACATAAGTGCACTTGTGCAAAACTGGAAGATGTAGACAATGTGGGGAAGGATTACTCACTTCGAGAGCCATGTTAGATTTTGAAACTTATGGCTCTCCAACAGAGAAATGGACAGCTGAATAATAGTGACCTTTGAAACACGAATTAAGTTGATCAGCGGCTTACTTTTGTTCTTTAACTATGTCATACTTAGTTATCATCCCTCCGTGCAAGTATTGGAGTGCTGAAGTTCTTCCTTTTTGATCAAGACTTGTAAGTGAGTCGAGTGAATGTTTTTTCTGCCAAATTCCAATATGGCGTTTTCTGCTCGAACAGATCAAGCAATGCTTATGTATGAAATATGGGAAGTTGCCTACCCTTCTATTTGAAAGCCCATGATCTACATGTAATGAAACTAAGATTTTCGACATCTAAAAAGTCACTCGACTTTTTTGTGATTTTGAATCATAGAAAGCATTCTGAAGTTTCAAATTAATTGGCTCCACGTTTAATTTTTGGCATCCGCCTAATGTATACCACTTACCTTTTATTGATTCTTTCATAAGTTTCGTCATAAACTCAGTTTGACCAGAAGTATCTTTGTTGCCGCTCAATTTTTTAAAAATGTCCCTTTTCTAATCACCCGGATGTGCGGTTTACTCGGACTCGCCCAAAACGAGGGGTGTCAAACGCAAAATGGTAGAGATGAAGACATGTCGCCACTCTCAGAGAATCTATTCCATAATTTCATCATTACTACGCGGTTTTACAAGCGAAAAAGATAAGGGCAGATTGTATATACAGTTGGGGACAAAAATAAATGACAGGTCGATTTTCGATCACCATTTCCTAATTATGGTGGTCTGAAAGCCCATAATTTCCAATATTGTCTAGATATATATCCCTTAAAATTTGTATATTTTACATTTTGTATAATCTCATCCACTGATGTATGGCCTCTTGTAAATTCTCTTATTTTTAACATGGGAAATCCTCACTTCAGCAAATCCACCTGTCATTTATTTATGTCCCCAACTGTAGGACTGGACAAGATGAAAATAAATATTCTAAACAGATGACACCCCTTTCGAAATAAGATGAACTGAACCTATCACGTCACCGATTTCTTGGAAGAAATTAAGTCAGAAAACAAAAGCTCCGTAGAGAATTTTCGCTTGAAATGTTGAAAAGCAAGCCCAGTTTTCTATGGGAATATACCGTAATTAATACAATATTACCGAGTTCAATGGTGCATAAGTTAGGCGGTGGATCATTTTGTAAGTACGACAATATGAATTCATGTGACTGTTACTTTTTGGAAGTTTTTTTGCAAAAAAGTCGAGTGACTTTTTAGATGTCGAAAATCTTAGGAAATTCTAACTCTTGGCCCAATTTTAATTTTGACGTCATTCGTAGTTAGACGTTGTTTGAGACTTTCAAACCCAAATATATACGGGCCAATATTAATAATCAATAGAGTGACACAATCTTATGGCCCTACCTGTACGACGAAGACTGCAATTCTGGAAATTAATGCGAATTTTCTAACTTTTTGCTCAGCCGGAAGCGCCATAGCGAAGGAGTTTGGTACACCTCTTTTGATTGGCCATAATTCGATTTTCCAAGTGCTTGTTTGCAACAAGAGAATTCATTGGTTAAGAACTTTGAATGGCTTTTTTGACAAAAATATTGAGCCCTCTGTGTTTACACATATAATACTCACATTAATAAAGAGCAGGTAAGTAAATGTAACTGTTTTCTATAGTATCTCTCTCTACTCATTCAGTTTTCTTGGGTTCCAATTCATTTGATTAGCAATAAGTACCAGAATAAGAGCAACATTTCAAAAGCAAAAAGTAGGTCAGAACAAAAGTGTGAAAAGAAAGTGAAAGCTAAATCTTTACCATGGGCTATCAACTATTGATTAGACTAAACAGATTTTATTCATCGAAAATCCATCTACATGCAAGGCTAAAAATGCTTGATACACAAAAATTTATTAGCCAATCAACAAACTGAATTTTATCTCATGTCTCACATTATTTACAAGGATGTCGTGTTGTCTGTATGAATGATTTCAATATCGTAAAAACAAAAGTCGAAACCACTGCCATTTTATCACTCCAACATTTCTGTCATTAGTTCAACAAGTTAACCTTGTCTAGCCTAATTATTCATTTATTTTATCTTATGCTGGGCTGCACCCTCCGAGACATTCTGTGTTCATCCCTTGAATTCACAGAATTTGTACATGATCAGGATAATAGACAGGTATGGAATGGTACATATGTGGGACTTATCACGCAGATTCAATCATCAGTTACAAGTTGAAGTGATAGATCAAAAATAATATTTCTCATTCATTTTTTAAGTCACAAATCTAGAATTTTCGTCGAGTAACATGGGGTCACTTCCAAAGATTTTTAGTACCTTATAAATGTAGCACTTATGACTGTACAACCTCCCAATCATATGTGTAGAAAACCACTACCAGGTTTCTGAATGTTGTTGCTACTTGCTACATTAAGTTATTATTTCTCTGCATACAGGCTGCATTTTACATTGATGACCACATAGTATGAAGGGTAAAGGGAAGAATATGGGAAGCCAGGATAAAGATTGTCCATTACAGTACCCAGACTTCTTACCAGTTGACCACACCAAGTTATGTCCAAGATATACTGCAGGTAAGTAACAATTGTTATCCTATGGTAGAATAAACATTCACATTTGGTACCCCATTCCTTGAAAGCTACATGTCTTGGGATGCATGACATTTTCCATGGGATTTTCCATGAGTTAGGTATTTTTTATTGAGTAAATTCTCAGGATGAAACCATCTACTAGATGTATAATTGTATTTCAGTTAGCTAATTTCCTTCTGTGGAAAAGATAATGATACTTAGTGTGCTAAATGTATAATAACTTAATTAAATAAACTCGATATTTATTGGCAAAATTAATAACTGGAGGATATCGTGATGATATACTCCAGGCGGAGGATATCGTGACGATATACTCCGGAAAACCCAATATGTGGAGGATATTGTGACGATATACTCCGCTTGTTGATTTCCCGCCAAATTGACTCTATTTGGCATGAAATTCATTTTGCAATGATATTATACATTTAGTACACTCCTTGTAAGTGTAGGATAATAAGAACATCCTATGTTTTTTTCAGAATATCATTTTAATCTACTCGGTGATATTGATATATGTACTCGTTCGCTTTGCTCTCTCGTGCAGATATCAATATCACCTCGTAGATAAAAATGATATTCCTCAAAATCATAGGATATCCTATAATTATCATCCCAAGATTGAGAAATGGTCAAAACATAGCTACTCCTTCCAGTCATATATTTTCATACATTTTCTACTTGCAGTCCTCCAACGGGACAAAGATGACAGTGTATCTATTGTGGAACTTGATTCACTGCAGACAGAGATGGAAACTCTGTTCTCCTCAGTGGCAAAGAGAATGCGACTACTAGAGGGAGAGGTGCAGATCCTAACCAATTGGCAAGATAGGGCTTCTGGAAAGAAAGGAGGAAAAGGGGTAAGTCATTAACATAAAGAGAGGGGATGGGGGATAAGCTAATTGAATGAGGATGAATATTGAATAGCAAACAATGCCAAATATTCAGGTTTTTTGATATGATGGGTACATTTTAGACACAAAAGCAAGAGATTGGGTGTAATAATGAATAATCTCAAAAGATAATGAATGTTTACTATGTACTGTGTCTTTATATGTTTGAACATTTCATGATACTTTCATAATTATTTTGCAGACACCATCACCTTGTCCATCCCCATCGGGCAAACGAGGTAAAGGAAGTGATGAAAGACCAAGTAAGAAATTTAAAAGTGATGGTGGAAAGGGTGGTCCAAGTCGAGGTGGAAAAAATAGATCAAGTCAGGTTGGTTTTTATCTAACAGTAGAACGCCACTTAATGACGTGATTGATATTTTAGAAACATATAGATGAATTACACATCTACAAGAATAGATTGTTTCGATTTTGTTTCCAGCCAGCCAAAATTCTAGACTATAGTTATGCAGAATCTCCAATAAATGATCTACCAAAACTTCCAAAGAACGAGGCTAGCAGATTCTGGACTGCCGTGGAGCCATATTGTGCTGACATCACAAACAATGATCTAAAGGTATCATGACCATTCTTCTTGAAATATTTTAGTTAATTACAATTAAACTGGTATTGTTGCAGTTGGATTTATATGGACATCACTTCGGAAAGATTCAGTGTCAAGGGATGTTATTTTGAATGCAATCTGTTTTAGATATATGAATTGTCATCACCAAGAAGTGGTAAGTTAAGTATTGTTATTGGCACCATTTTTGTGACTGGCAGCTGGAGGCAGCAGTCAATGAATGTTTTGTCTTTCTAATGAATTATCCCATGTTATTTCGTCCATCTATTAAGTAAGTATCAGCACTAGAAAACTGTCCATTTCCCTCTAGGTGCTTCAAGACTTGCTCCAGTGCCAGGAGGATGACTCTGATTATTACAAAATTCCTCCTCTAGGCAAGCACTATTCTCAGAAGTGGTCTCAGGATGACATGTTCGAGGAACAAAAAGAAGGTTTGTATAATTCAGCGCCTCATTTACTTAATCTAATATTTAATTTTTTAAAGTTTTATAGTAAAGTTCTTACTTTGACAGAAGATATTTAATCATTGTGCCTAGTTATTCACCACTACATGTAGAGGTTTAAGCATTTTGCTTAATTTGACAGTCTAGATTTATACATTTTATTGAATTTTACATTAATAGTTGGGTCATTCATTCTGCTCATTTTGTTGGTCAAGACTTTACCAAATGTTTCTGTTACTGTGCTGAAAACTTAATAATATAAATATTTCTGCTTTTCATTTAGGTGCCAAAATCACAGATAAACGTCTGAGTAGTTCGAGTACAAGTGCAATAAGCGATGAATCCTCTACTTTGCTCAGTAGAACAGAGAATAACATGTAAGATCAGTTCTTTTATGGAAAAGTAGAGTGTGCGTTTAAAGATTATCTAAGCCTATTAGAGAGAATATGGTATATCTATTGCCATGTTAACTAATTGTCAGATAAGGTTCAGTCATTCAATTTATATAGCTGAGAACCTTTAAAAAGCTCATGAAACAAGAGAGCTTTACACAAAACTGGTTTCACATTGAAAACTTACTTTTGCTTGACCATGAAAAGGTGAAACATGAAAGATGAGAATAGCAGAAAATAATTTGGACAGTTGCTTGTTTTGGTTATTTCATGGATTTCAGCTGAATGAGACTATGAGTTATCCCCACATCATAATTACAATTTTAAACTGCTATTTTGTCTTCCGGGTCTTAGGAAGTTGGCAATTTTGATGTGAAGATATAACCTACAAAAATTTCATTGCGGTGGAGTTACTATTGACCTATATTCAATAAAAAATTCCCAAGCTTTAATATAAAATGTTTCACCTGGACCAAAATTTCGAAACTCAATTTTGTCACAAACTCAAGATACAGAAAGCAATATTTATTTGAATCTGGACATTTTGGTCATGATTAAAACCTCTAAGACTGTTCAAAGTAATCAGAAAATATTAGTAATGAAAAGGGCATATGAACTATACTATTTTGCAAGTGAAATTAAATATAATGTTGTCCAAGATGTCAAAATTCAAACAATGCTACATACTTTGGCTGTACAGTAATAGCAAGGACTATAAAATATGACTATGTAATTTTATTTGTTGTAGGGACATAGAAGAATCCTCCCCATTTGGTCCTCTTACTCAGAGATTGGTGTCAGCCTTGATTGAAGAAAACATCATGGCCCCAATGGAGGACTCCAATGAGATAGAAAACCAAGGTATTATTATGAATATATTGCAATAGGGAAAACTTTAGGCCTTTGTAAGGAATTTAACTACTGCATTGATATGCACTGCAAGCATGCTGTCGGTAGTATAGTTGTGTGGCAGAAAGTACAGTATATGTGCTAAATTGTACATCAGCAAGATTTCGCACTTATGAGCGTGTTTATAAATCCTGTGTGTTTATAACTTATAACAGGTGTTTTATGTCATCATTTGTTGTGCAGCTCTATCCATCTATATGTAGCCATTGCTTATAAAACATTGTTTATAAGTGAGGGAATACTTATCTCGTTTAGACATAGTTATTGGATGAGAATCATAGAGATATTTGGCACTAAGTCATATTACTATCCAATCCGCCTCATAAATCGTATATTTGTAAGCAAAAATAATTCATTCTTGGTGTAAAGAACATTAGAATAGATCGATGCAAAAATATACATTTCTGTACATATAAGTACATCTTTTTGCAAAACTTTCAATTCACTTATACTTATAACATATAGCTATTCGCATAGATATAAGTTGTGCTTTTGGCCTTTCATGTATAAGCGAAATATCTCTATTGTTTAGGAGTACAAGACTTATGTATTGGGTAGATTATCAAGGAAATAACCTGATACTCATATCTATTATCCGATACTTTAAGACAAATTGCAGTGAGATGCAGATACGTATAAATTATTTCCCTTTGTTGGATTCTGGAAGTGGGTTAATATCTATTATCCTGTTTTGGATGATCATTGGTTGAATACTTTAGTTGTTTCTTGTATATCAGTTCCTAACATTTCCCTTAATATGGGATAAATGTCATATATGATTTTGAAGAAACATCATTTGGGGAATATTCTATTATTTGTTGATTTATTATTCTTATATATATTTTTATATTCCAGAGGCCATAGAGGCGAATGCAGCAATGTCCCCCAAGTCACTTGCAAAACAGCTGAACATCGGGAACACAGTCATGCTTGAGCGTAGGATACGTCGAGAGCTTGAAGAGCAAGGTCAGTTTCTCAGTGCTCCAATTACAGCATGCATACACTGAATATATATACAGAGCTTCACATCCTCTCCTGAATGCAAAATATGGCATTTTGTGTCATTTTTAAACATGCTGATTATGTTGGAATTTTAAAAAAATGTACGACTCTTTAGGAACATTTCATGAACAATTTGTAATCTCCAGGTTTACTCCAACCATCAAGTCAATTTGAGCCAGGTTAACTCAAACCCTAAGCAACTCAGACACAACTTTAATTAAAAGTTTGAGTCATCCATCAATCATCACATATGTGACCACTAGAAGCGTTTCTAATGATTAAAGATAACTAAAGTCTGATTCAGTCCCCTGATCTGTGCTCACTTATGGTCACAATTCTTATACTACAATTTTTTCAATCGATTTCATAAATATAATCTCAGTGTCATCATGTTTTATCTAAAAAATGGTTCAAGGATTAGAATTTAATCATGAACTTTATTATGGACTCATTTTACATATTTGGGAGTTTCCTGTTATACATTTGGAATTGTGAATAATTACATTGATTTGTACAACATCATGAAGAGTTTCGTGAATTTTGACACAAATATGTTGTACTTCAGGTATCCTAGAGGCAGATGATGTCCTAGATTCTGACCCTGAAGATGAAATCCTCCAAGAACTGAAGAAAAAACAAAGTGAACTAAAGGCAGTGACGCAACATAATACTCTTGTTACTAAAAAGCTGCTAAGGCTTGCTAAGGATGAAATGGAACGTCAGGAGTTAAGAAAAAAGATGGCAGCAGCTGATTTAGAGGTAAATGTTACGACCAATAGGATGTTGATTCTGTGAAGGACCAATACAAATATTCAATGTCAGTGAGCTAACTATATTTTAATAGTTAACTCTCAGATACCACCTCCCCCTGTGAACTAGATACCTATACTTCTCATTTTTTGGACTATCATATTTTCTATATATGGGATGGTTGGTTTATTAAAGTGAACAACTTTTGGGCTTGTGGATCAGATTTTAATCCTTCTGTATATCAGTCTGTCCAGTTGTCATTGAGTGATGACATTCTCAAGAATTTGATAATTTATATCGGCAGAGCTTAACTATTTTGGACATTAACACCCTCCCAAACTATGAGAGTTATTTATCTGACATTGAACTTTTGCATTGGTCACATACACTATTTCAAACATTTTTATGTCACCACTCGAAGTGGCGACACATTGTTATCCCAACAGACGAAGTTTGGTAGGGATATAGTAAAGTCCTCTGTCCATCCATCCGTCAGTCTGTCAGTCCATCCATCCGTCCGTCTGGAAGATAACTTGAATACTAGTGGATGGATTTTCTTCATATTTGGTGGAAAGATGTATATTGGTGAATAGTTGTACGCAACAAAAGAAATTCCCAAGATGGCCGATTTTTCGTGAAAATCTTAAAGTTTTAATTTTAAACCAATGTAAGAAATATAATTGTTTGAAATTTTGGAAGTTTATTCACAACATATATCTATTTCATATATATCCACGTTTTTCACTAGACCCCCAGGGGCCATGTATGGGGGGTCAAGAAAATGGGAATTTGCATTAATTTTTCTAAATCTCTCTAAAGTATAGCTTTATTATACTCAAATGAAAGGCAATTTAGAGTGGATTGCAAATATTATTGTATCAGTTTTGTAATTTGGGCCTCTTAAGATTCAAAATGGCCCCCTTATGTGAGATTTTACAATAATTTTCTGATCCCTTTAAAGTATGGCTATATTATACTCAAATTGAAGGAAGTTTAGGGTAGATCATAACTATGGTATTGTCCTTTTGATTTGTACCTCAGAAAATTTGAAATGGCTGCCAACAGAAATTTGCGTTAATTTTGATATCTTTCTAAGGGGCCGGGTCAAAATATCGATGTCCATATGGAGACGAAAGTACTTTCGCGAGGGGGAGGGGGTTTTTGGGCACTTTCGTTGACCAAAAAAACATCGATAATTCGGATCTGATATACAAAAAATAATTGGACTTACCCACTTTTTCTGGCGCTATGTTCTGATAAAAAGGCTTGTTTTCAATAGTTCGTGAGCTTTTTTGTGTGATAGGTCCAGAATATCGGTAGATAAAGACGATAATTCGATCATTTTTCAAATAAATTCCGTACTTTTCCCTCCTCCTTTTGAAGAGTTTAATGCAGTTAAATTGTGAACGTGTGTTAATTCACCGTATGGATGGAATCGCTATAGTATATCATCGGTGTATAAAGGTAACATGTTCATCAATGTAATCACGGGTTCCAAATCATTTGACAGTAACTGAAAATCAATGTTTTTTTGAAGTGACCTAAGCTTTCGTCTAGAGGGGGGGGGTGGGGGGGTTGTTGTCCAAACGAAATTACTTTTGTCTCCATATGAACATTGATATTTTGACCCCGCCCCTAAAGTATGGCTTTATTATCAAATGAAAGGCCATTTTACATGTTTTAGAGTAGATTGGAAATATTGTATCGGTTTTGTTATTTGGGCCTCGTAAAATTCAAAATGGCCTCCGCCTTATGTGGAATTTCACAATGATTTTCTGATCTCTTCAAAGTATGACTATATTATTCTCAAATTGAAGGAAATTTAAGGCAGATCACTTATTTGGTATTGTTTTCCAGATTTGTGCCTCAGAAAATTCAAATTATCTTTATTATTTGTGCCTTTAAAACTCGTAAATGGTAATTCAAATGCTTTTAAAATTGGTAGAAATTCTGATATATCTCTAATGTTTCCAATGTTTTTATTTTTGTGACAAATACAGATTCATATATGTTAGCATGTTCGTTGGGATTTGCTACTCCGTAAAGTTGCCGTTTTCTAGTTTGTTATAGTCTCCAAGTTTTTGTGGATGGTGTTTGGTGGCTGGTGTTCGGTAGTCAGTGTTTGTTTGTTGGTGTTTGGCAGTCAGTGTCTGTAACTAATGAAAGTGGTGACATTCTTCACTATATACCCCATGTTAAAAATAGTGAAAAATAAAATATCCTTTCTTGTATTGGACAAAAGATATTTTCTTTCACTGGACATATTTTTAGTTGTATAATTATCAAACTCAAAAAGGTTATATGAAAATTGATCCAATTAAATCTAATGAATATTAAAGTTTAGAGGAACTTTTTCCTATATCTGCAATGTTATTTCACCCAAATCAGCCATCTGGTGGTGAAACTACAAGCACCTTGGTAATTGTGTTGCTTTCATTCATTTTCTTGCCAAAGACCACCCAAAAGCGGCCCCAAACTAGCAGGTAAACATTGGAAAAATCAAAGACAGCACATGCAAATTGCAAAACATTTAACACTGATAATATCTTAAAATAAGCAATATAACTATGTTTCAACTTCTATTGTTGTTGCCATCGCCACACTATAATAAATACTCTACGGTCCCAATCAGTATTCTCCGTGCTCCATAATTGAGGTTGTGTGTCTGAATGATTGAAACCCATGCAGTGGTAGAAATCCACTTACTTTTCTTCCATTGAAATGCATGTTAAGTTGACAAAGTTCAGATTGAAATTTCTCAAATCTCAGCCCATTGATTTCCAAAGATTTTTTTTGAAATAGAGCCAAACACCTTATCTTTCTGTCAAAAAATTACTGAAGTAAATGTCAACAAAAATATCCCATGAAATTAAAACTTCTGCTCTCCAAGTCTTATATAGATGGCATGGTAAAACATCTTCATATTTCAACCTATAGATATTGACCAATTTACCACTACCAAGCACATCCATCCACAGAAAATAATCAAATATTTTACTCTTCTGCTGTTGTATATCATCGAAGTCCCCAAATAGGTTTTCAATAGAACTTTCCTCATACCACGAAATAAACAAACCGAGTACGAGTAGGATAGTTCACTCAGTAATGTTTGTGTTTACTCAAATAAGCTAGCCCTTTATACTCTAACTGTAACTATTACCCTCTTGCAGTATGTAGATGCATAATATGGTGTGTATCTTATCTTCCCACTTCTCTATGAAATAATGAATCTTGTCAGTTCTTTGTAAAGAGAATACATGTACATAAAACCATATACAAGGGTTGTTCAAAAAGTTAAAATCTTGTCAGTTCTTTGTAAAGAGAATACATGTACATAAAACCATATACAAGGGTTGTTCAAAAAGTTTAAATCTTGTCAGTTCTTTGAAAAGAGAATACAATGTACATAAAAGCATATAGTAAGAGTTGTAAAATCAGCTGTTTCATCCAAATATTTGCAAATGTCGCTCCTCTAGTAAGATTATATATATATATATATATTTTTTTTTATAATTTTTTTTATTTCAAAGAATAAGCATGTTAAAGCAATTGCGAAAAACAATTACAGTACAGTTACATGGTAAACCTACATTTAACAATTTTACAATACAGTATTGGTTAAATATTTAGTCTTTAAGAGACGTTATACCATTGGCATTTTTTTTATTTAAAAAGAAAAAATCATCAGTTCATTTGTTTAATTTTGTTTCCATGATTTTCCACTTATCGCTTCTGCCAACCCATTTGTCCATAATAAAATATTCCTTCACATTACTTATAAAACCTTTAAGTGTTGGTTTTAGCATAGAATATTTGCACAAATAAACATACCTTTTAAAAATACATAGCATATTATTTTGGTTGAGAAATATGAACAGGGACTCCCTTGCCATATACAAGGGTTGTTCAAAAAGTTTAAATCTTGTCAGTTCTTTGAAAAGAGAATACAATGTACAGAAAAGCATATAGTAAGAGTTGTAAAATCAGCTGTTTCATCCAAATATTTGCAAATGTCGCTCCTCTAGTGAGATTATATTTGGTTGAGAAATATGAACAGGGACTCCCTTGCCTCTTAAAAGTCAAATAAAAATAATGAATAAGATAGTTACGTATTATGATATATATTCCATCTATCCTATGTTGAAACAAAAAAATGTTTCATAATGCTATCTCTTTGAAACTCTTAAAAGCAGATAATGGCATAATTAAAGCCTATTATTCCCTAATGATTCATATTGAAAGTGTTATGCCTTGGTTGTTTATGCTAAATAATGTATACAGGCGCTAAATATAGTGGGAATTCACAATATGTTGCAATTACGGATGACAACATTTTCTCAAATGTATTCAATGCATATAGGGTGGGCTACAAAATTGGATACTATACCCAGGGGTTTCATAAGCAGCAGGCAACAGGCGGTTTTCACCAGTTGTTTTCACAAAATCGCTTGTTGTCTTTAGGGACTTTTCAACTTTTCCATGTTAAATTTATGATTTCCATTAATTTTGCCTTTTGTTATGTCCCCACCACATAGTGTTGGGCCATATTGTCGGCGCGCGTCCGTCTGTCTGTCCGTATGTCTGTCTGTCCGTACGTCCGGCCGTTTTCTCCAAAACCGCTACAGATATCACCTTCAAATTTTCAGGGATAACTTATGAGTGCATATAAATGTGGATGAAAAAAAAAAATAAGCTCGATACCTACTTCCTGTCGGCCATTTTGAAGTCAAATGCTAAAATCCTTGTCTGCAAACTTGAAGAAAACAGCTTCAAAGTTGCTTTTAAAACTTTAAAATCTTGTTCAGCTCACTTCATTCTAGATCTGATTAGGTTTTGGACCTGTTAGCTCAGTCATGGCAGCCATTTTTAATGTCTTAGCGTGCGATAATACTTTGTATCATATTAAATGGTGTTTTTCAGTTTTCATACTTCAACTATTTAGTAGCTTTATAAATAATTTCAGATGTACTTTGTTGTAAAAGCCTATGTTATTGTTAACAGTAGTTATATGTGATAATTTTGTAAAAAGAAATCAGCAAAAACTTATAATCACTTTTTTATTGTCGGCCATTTTGGATTTTTCCGTCTTAAAATCTTGTCTGTAAAGTCTTGTCTACGCATTTTCAGGTGAACCGTTTGGTAGATCAATTTCAAATTTTCAGGTATGATTCTTAGTACAAAAATCTAGATCTGATTAGTGTTTGGGCATTCTGGGTAAATGTCAAGGCAGCCATTTTGGATTTTCCGTCCTAAAGTCTTGTCAGTTAAGTCTTGTCTATGCGTTTCCAGGTGAACCTTTTGATAGATCAATTTCAAATTTTCAGGGATGATTCTTAGTATGAAAATCTAGATCTGATTAGTTTTTTGGCATTCTGGATAAATGTCAAGGCAACCATTTTGGATTTTCCATCTTAAAATCTTGCCCGTAAAGTCTTGTCTACGCGTTTTTAGGTGAACCGTTTGGTAGATCAATTTCAAATTTTCAGGGATGATTCTTAGTATGAACATCTAGATCTGATTAGTTTTTGGGCATTCTGGATAAATGTCAAGGCAGCCATTTTGGATTTTCCATCTTAAAATCTTGCCCGTAAAGTCTTGTCTACGCGTTTTTAGGTGAACCGTTTGGTAGATCAATTTCAAATTTTCAGGGATGATTCTTAGTATGAACATCTAGATCTGATTAGTTTTTATTGGGCATTCTGGGTAAATGTCAAGGCAGCCATTTTGGATTTTCTGTCCTAAAATCTTGTTTGTAGTCTTGTCTATGCGTTTCCAGGTAAACCGTTTGATAGATCAATTTCAAATTTTCAGGGATGATTCTTAGTATGAAAATCTAGATCTGATTAGTTTTTTGGCATTCTGGATAAATGTCAAGGCAACCATTTTGGATTTTCCATCTTAAAATCTTGCCCGTAAAGTCTTGTCTACGCGTTTTTAGGTGAACCATTTGGATTTTCTGTCCTAAAATCTTGTCAGTTAAGTCTTGTCTATGCGTTTCCAGGTGAACCGTTTGATAGATCAATTTCAAATTTTCAGGGATGATTCTTAGTATGAAGATCTAGATCTGATTAGTTTTTGGGCATTCTGGGTAAATGTCATGGCAGCCATTTTGGATTTTCTGTCCTAAAATCTTGTTTGTAAAGTCTTGTCTATGCATTTCCAGGTGAACCGTTTGGTAGATCAATTTCAAATTTTCAGGGATGATTCTTAGTATGAAAATCTAAAACAGATTAGTTTTTTGGCATTCTGGATAAATGTCAAGGCAGCCATTTTGGATTTTCTGTCCTCAAATCTTGTCTGTAAAGTCTTGTTTACATGTTTTCCTGTTAACTGTGTGAGGGATCAATTTCAAATTTTCAGGGGTGGTTCTTTTTTTGGCATTCTAGGTAAATTTTAAGGTGGCCATTTTGGATTTTCCGTCCTCAAATTATGTCGGTTAAGTCTTGTCTATTCATTTTTAGGATAACCATTTGACTGGATCACCCATAGGTGGGGACATTTTGTACACATTTGTGTTCTTGTTTTCATTTATTTAGCCTGTTGTGAGAGATTGTAGTGAAACCCCTGTATACCTAAATCGCACTTCACTTAACATTACATTGTGTAAAATGAATTTAAGCACATAACTCAATGAATTATGGGTGATATAATGAACTCAGTTCTTTCAACTGGAGATTATTCCAAACATCACTACTGATCACAGCCAGAATTACGACCTTCTAGAGCAGAATGTTTGAAACCATCTACTGTATACTCTAATTATAGAAATGTAAAAATATCTAAAAATATTCCATGATTGATTTATGATCTCAAATATTGTTTTCAATTCTAGGTAATGGAGACATGGAGAAAAATACAAAATGCCAGACAAAAGAAAAAGGTTCTCACAAAGAAAGAAAAGGAAGTTGCATTTAAAGTTCTTAAAGAGAGAGAGACAATAGTTAAACAGCTGGAGCTGTCATATGCAATGTGAATTGCTTCCATATGTGTGTATGTACATATTGTATGTATGTGTGTAGCAGACAGTGCACTCTAGCAGCAAATAATGTCTACAATGCAACATTTGAGACTCACTTTCTCGACAGGTTTATACTGATAGGACTCTTACATAGTGTGGCCATAAAATATTTGAACTGCCATATTAGGCACCCACCAACCAGGAAATTACCACCCAACATGATTAAATGATGATTCACAAATATCAAGGGACATAGATGTGGGAACAAAGAATGAAGAAACAGTGTGAAAATTTTGCAAATCAATAGTCATCCCACCTATGGCCGTCAATCATTTTTCTCATTCACTTTATTCACTTTACCAATATGCGTTCATTAGTTTATGATATTGCTATTGCGATAAAGAAACCTGTTTATTAATGATTTCCTCCAATAAATGATACAATTGAACAACTGGCTATTAGACAATGCACAGTTTATCTGCATGTCTCATATTAAACTCAGGCAAAATCACCTCCTTGTTGAAATTTGAAACTTTCCTTATTTAGTGCCATTGGTTGCATATCATTGAACTAAATGTGTAATAGTAAAAGGCCACTAGAATACTAGAATATTTTACTTATATGGTGTCAAATGTTAGAAATGTAAAAACATAATTTCATTAGGAACATTCTATTGAATTATACTAGAATATTTAACATATATGTGATTTGTTCAGATGTAGGAATTTAAGCTAATAGTCTTAAAACTGAAATATTGACCATGAAATTACAAAATATGTACTGCATAAGTGGACATTTTATTAAGTTAAGATTAGATCAGATGCAATGACACATCAATACAACTAATGAAGTAAAATGTGAATGAATCAACATGACTATATAAGGGAGAAGGAACTAAATCAAATAAGAATTTGTTACTTTTTATCAATGCTGATTTTGTGTAGGAGAAGGTTTAAAAGGCCAGATTAAGTCAAAGGAAATATTTTCGAAATTGAATGGGTGATAATGTTATAACTCATTCTTCCATATTAATGGGGGAGCTTTCTTTGAATAAGTTTTACTAAAAATAAACATTGATATTGTTCCTTGGCTAATAGTTCCTAGTAGATTGTACATATTGATGTAAGTAAATCAGAAATATTATAGAAACAATATATCATATGCATAAACAAAATAAAATTGTTCAGCTTTTGTTACCTATCCAACAAGGATAGATAGAATGTTTTACACATCACTTATCACTGTTCCACAGCTTGATGACTTACTGCAGTTAGTATCATTCGAGATGGTGGCCAAAATTATTTCATTTTCTATAAACCTCAGCTAAACTAAGTTGAATCTGTATTCCAAATGTTTCGCCATGCCAACTAATAAAGTTAGGATTGTAAACCGTCACAAGAAAATGTTCTAACACCTGCGATATTGGAGTTTAAAGAAAACCGACTCACTGACGAAATCTTAATTTGATGATGACGTAGGAATGACACGCAGATTCTTGAAAATTTTCTTGTGACTTTACAATCATAATTTTATTAGTTTACATGGTGAAACATTTGGAATCCAGATTCAATTTAGTTAAGCTGAAATCGTTGGTTCATCGAAAACGAAAGAATATTGGCCACCATCTTGATTGATACTAACTGCAGTTAGAGTCATCCATCTGTGGAACAGTGCTTATACCATGTATAACTAATTAACTATCCCAACAAACAGCTTATCAGGGATCTAGTGAAGCCCTCCATTATATTAGTCCAGACAGGAAGCAACTCAAAGTGGACTTAATTTCTTGATAATGCTGGAAAGATGTATTGGTATATGGCGTTATGTATTTTTTCAAAATGGTAATTTGCAGGAATATTTATTTATTTATTCACAGATTGTTAAAATCTTGTTTTTCATTTGTAACTAATGAGTAATGAATGAGTAATAAATCTACAATCTGATTGAATCTGTAAATAGAATGTATCAGGTGTCCCAAAAAGTGAGCCACTTTTGACAAGTACTTTATTAGCAAAAGATCAGCAGAATTCGTTGACATTTTTATTGAGGAAATATAGACTATTAGTATCATTAGCAACTGCAATAAATATGGAAGAGATCAGTTACATATTATGCCAGTATTTTTAAATTAAAAATATTGTGCCAAAATATCCATTTACTTCAGTCTGACAGAAGCTCTTTTTTCCAAACAGAAATTTTTTTTTTGTACAGATTTTGGACATAACAGTTTTTGGATACAGAGAACAATGAAACAAATCAATAAACCTGATACACAGACAAGCTATTTTGAGACTAAAACTGATTGACAGATACTTATAACCTGATAGTTGGCACAAACGCTATGATGGTCTCATTGCAATTGCATAGCTGTGACATTGGATTTTTGATGTGCAATTTTGAAAGTATCCATACTCACATAATATGTAACTGATCTCTGTCATAGTTGTACCATTTGCTGATACTACTACCCTTACCATTTATAGAAATTTTCAATGAATTGGAGTAACCTATTGCTGAGAAAATACTTGTCCAAAAACTGCTCACCCTTTTGGGGACACCCATATATCCATAAATTCTCATAAGATGTCTCTAAAATCTTTAAGGCTTCTTACATGAAAATGACAAAAATGTTGCAGATTGATTTATTGAATTAATCATTGAAATAAAAATAAGATAACTATATTTGGCTTATACCCACTGGGCCCATTTTATCATACGTAATAATACCAAATATAAGTGTTTTCATTCAAATTGCTATTGAAAATGATTAAGCCCGGAGGTTGATATACCCTTTTTCCAAGAAGTGCTAAATGAATTTAGTTTATGGAGGATAATTATATAATAACATTAATTGGCAGGAATTGATTCACTCAAGGTTACATGCCTGATGTGGAATTATTCTCGAAAATCTAATTCTTTATTTCCAACCAAAGTAATAGATATTACTGCATGAAATCCAGGGGATCGAGAGAACAGAAATGTTCGTTACTTTTTGAAATTTCTTTATATATACTCAAATGAAAAGTATTATAGACATGATAGATAGGATTCCAAATGTTTATCATTTTTCAGATTTCAGCCTCAGAAAATCCAAACTTTCCACCCGATCTTATAATTTACAGTGCCACAGTGCATTATTTTCACACATTGCATTTGTTATACAATATCACTTAAAAGATACGAAATGACTTAAAAGAATATAATTTCAAAGAAACGTTTTGCAAGGGTCAACTTGTCACCTTGGCGACCATTCAATACTTACCATTTGATACAATTTAGTATTTATTTTTATACTCAGCTATGAAAATGATAAGCTTGTCAGTTTCTTTGTTTCACTAGAAAGTGACCTGGATGGGTTGTTGGTTATATAATTCAATGCATGAAATAGGTTGTCCTGATTTGTTAGAATTGGTCAGATCTGTTAACATTATATTATGATTTTAATGTATCTAATTATTGTATGCTAACTTTATACTGAGACTAACATAAAAAATTTAGAGTATATTAGTCTCAGCTTTATATTCGATGAATTTCGTTATTTCTCATACAATGAATATAGGTTCTGATCTAGCAGCACGTTTAAACGAAAATTGTTTTTAGAATATTACTCAGATCATTGCTTGTCAAATTCTAAAAAATACTTTATTTCAGGAGAATTAAAGATTTTTAAAATACAAACGTATTATTTTTCTATAATTATGGTTTTTGTTACCCCTATATATCTGATTCTGCCTTTAACCAATCTGTTCTCCAAATTCTCTGTGATTCTGTCAAAGAGTAAATCGACACATTCTCATATTTCTAAATTCAATTACACAATCTCAAATGTGTACTAAACGTACGTTTTTCTATTATTAATAGTCTCACTGGTGATCCACTCGATTACGCTGGTTACCGAAACGGTTCCGACGGTTCGTTTTGGTAACAAAATGTCGGAACATCGAAGGTACGATTTTTCTTTTTTTCCTTATTTCACTCGTTGTAGGCAGAATTCCCACGACATTTTTAACACAAACGTGTATTAGTAATAGTATCATATGTTTAAGAAAATGTACATATTTGCGAACAAATAGTTCAGAAGACAACAGAATTGTCGATTTAATTCCTCACTTAGTTACATAAACGGTTTTCGAAAAACGGTTAAGATCTGCTCTTTTAACCCAAACCGTTTATGAAACTTAAGTGAAGAATTAAATCGACGATTCTGATGTCTTCTGAGCTATTTTTTCGCAAATATGTGCATTTTCTAAAACATACTGTATGATGCTGATACATGTTTGTGAGAAAAAAGTCGTGGGGATTCTGCCTAGAACGCGTGGAATAAGGAAAAAAGAAAAATCGTACCTTCGACGTTCCGACATTTTGTTACCAAAACGAACCGTTTCGGTAACCAGCGTAATCGAGCGGATCACCAGTGAGTCTGATATATCATATTTAATCGAGTCTAGCTTTCAGCTAGCAGCATGCGAATTGTTAATTGTTAATCCTCGTCAAGTTTTGTCATGCACTGTGTTGCCGGGCCGTGTTGTGACTGTAGACTGTAAATTTTTATTATACTATATAGATATTCCGTTATGCATGCTACAGTCCCCTCCATAAGTTTGGCAACCTTTTTCCCCCATTGAACTACGTGTTAAAGCCTCTTTACGTTTGAATTTTTATTTACTTAACCGGCGATGAAATAACTTATGATATTGATGGAAACGTAACTTGACTTTATTTCCAATACCTCCAAATTTTCTCAATTTTTTTTCCTCAATTACAATAGGTCGAAAATTGATGATAAATTTGATGAATTTTTGAAAATCGTCATTCCCATGTAATCCAATGGGAAATGGAGGGTTCGGGGCAAATCAGAAATCAGGATATCTTTTCAGTAAAAGATTCAGCAAAAAATATTTTTATATAGGAAATTGAATTGTCTAACTTTTTTGAACACTAAGTGTTTAGTTTATTTGATGAATATTAAAGTTACAGCGCTTCAAAGTCATTTTTGAAAATAATTTTTCGCCTCCTGTGTTATTTCAATGGGGGAGGTTTTTTGAAAAACAATTTTGACTTTAAAGCCCTATAACTTTGTTGAACCTGAAGAAACATATCAATTTTTTGTTAAATAAAGTTAGAAAATTCAATTGCCTGCCTAACTCGTATTTTTTGCAAGGACTCGGATGGATGGATATTCTGTCATATGACTTGCGGCAAACCTACCATTTCTCATTGGTTAACATGGGAATGTCAATTTTCAAAAATTCATCAAATTTATCATCAATTTTCGACCCATTGTAATTGAGGAAAAAAATTGAGAAAATTTGGAGGTATTGGAATTAAAGTCAAATTATGTTTTCATCAATAGTATAAGTATTTTCATCACAGGCTAAGTAAATAAAAATTCAAAGGTAAAGAGGCTTTAACACGTAGTTCAATGGGGGAAAAAAGGTTGCCAAACTTATGGAGGGGAGTGTACTTGCGACAAATTGAACCATTTTAATAATTGGATCTGTGATAGTCGAAATTATCAAATAATTTTTATGTTACCCAACTATCATTAAAAATGGCCCCTGGGAAATGGCCACTCAAACATGTAAAGGACAAACAATAATATTAATGCTTCTGGTCTCATAATGTCATCAAAAATGGGGTCATCATTTTATTTTAATTCTACGTTATTATGCCAGTATGCCACTAATTCTGGATTCATCAATTTAATAAGACGTTAAAATGCCATCATTAACAACACATTACAAACAGCAAATTGCAAATCAATTTAACAACTTTTTTCAACTGTAGGTGAGAATCTTGCTTCAAAAATCCCCAAATCAAAAAAGAACCCACTTGATTTCATGCAGAAATTAGGTCAAACAAAATCTACTCTATTTCTTAATCCAATATCTCATGATGAAATTCAAACTGAAATAAATAATCTGAAAAATTCAGCTGCTGGTCTTGATGACTTTAAGCCGTTTGTCATAAAGGAGTGTGGTAACGCACTCTTACAGCCCCTTTTGCATATATTTAATCTATCGTTTAGCAATGGTATATTTCCAGATCATTTAAAAGCCGCCAAAGTCATTCCAATATATAAAAAAGATAATGACAAATTATTTACAAATTATCGCCCCATTTCTGTCCTTCTTGTATTCTCCAAACTACTTGAAAAATTAATGCATAGG